GGTTTAAGAGACAGTAATGTCCAAACCGAGCCAGATGATCTGGGAGGCTCCATTTCGATGACCTGGAATGTCGGATAGTGCAAGGGTCGAATAGTGGGATCCCTTCCTTGCTCATCTAGGAAGAGTCCATCTTCGGGCATCATGGTCACCAGGAGGCTCAGGGTGTCCTAGAGGTGACCTTCTTCCTTCAATACGGTTTCTCTGACATACTTAGAAGACGTCTGAGGCAAATCCTCTGATCCTCCAGGTGTAGGAAATGGGGTACACCAGAGCTGTACCTTGTGAGACGAGCAGTATGCAGTGCACGTAACAAGCACTGATAGTCCTGTATCATATGGGGACTTATCCCAGTAGGATCTGCATCAGCAGGACCCGTATTTGTTTAGCAGGGGGCTCACCCACGGTGGTGTGCCTTGATAACCCAGAGGACACCCATATCAGTAGATAATATACCTGGCACAATATGGGAATGATATGATTAACTGGGGCTCACCCAGAGGACACCCACATCAGTAATTGTACACTTGGTACAGTATATAATATATCCCTGTTAAAGGGTAGTAGTGATTGCCCTCAGACAGCATATAATACACTAAGTCCAGAAATTCCACATACATCTTATGTCCAATACTGTTTTGGTAGTCTTGTATCAATTGAAGAAACGACAGGCAGTATAAACGATCCGGCAATATGAAGTAAGTACCTTTTGCTGATATACATTACTTGAATGGGGACAGGTAGTGGTAATCCTAGTCCTGAAGTCTCCGGATCGAGTGAATCTGGAATGAAGATCTGAGGCTATCAGTAGGAGAAGTTGCAGAGGAACAAGTACACGAAGTGCCAGACTCTTGGTACAACTGGGGCTCGCCCAGAACCCTGGTAGCGGGCAATGTGTCATGAGTGTAGTAGGTGCCAGTGTACTCTCTAGTGGTACAAAAGGGAGTTTCCTTTGAGTGATATGGGAGACATAATAGTCTCATAAAATTGGGGTTCACCCAATAAGACACCTCCGTGGGGTTTGGTACCTGAGAGGGCTCACACTCTGAACAGACGCTCAAAGGCGTGTAATTATATTGGGGCTCACTCCGTTGTTCGAGAGCCGTAAGTCGTTCAGCAAGAGTATTTAGCCCAATCACTTGTATAAACATTGCAAGTAATGTACCATATCTTTGTAAAGACTGCTCCGGCAGAGCTATCCGTAATAATCTGGGGGCTCATCCCAGGTGGGGTGCCGTGAAAAACCCAGAGGACAGCCACATAGTTGTAATATACACGTGGCACAGTACAGAATAATGCCAGTGGATGAACAGATCTGTAATAATTATTGGTATTGTCTTTTAGACAGCCATATGTAGAAAATCCATATATATGCTACACTCATGCGAATGAACATGTATTAATCCTTTGTACAAGCAGATTCAAATCGTTTTAGTAAGCAGTACCTTCCACAATAGGTATAATTGGTAGCCGGTTGTGAAATCTATATCCTCAGAGTCCAGACCGAGTGATTCCTGATCTGGAATGACAGAAAAAGGATGGCCACCGGGAATCCCGCGGTACTCGTGAGCAGTGGCGTACTAAGGGGGGGAGGGGGTGGTCTGCCCCGGGTGTCACTCACTAAGGGGGTGCCCGGAGCAGACTGTGTTTGGTCCTGGGTCACTGACCGAGGACCCAACACCAGGAGGGGGCCCGGCGACTTGCTCAGCTTACAGCCGGGAGCAAGGCCCCTCCCGCGCCCATCGCAGACACTGGTCTGCAGACCATGTCTCTCACGAGATCTGATCAATCAGAGCGTTGCCGCGGATTACCACGGAAACAGCTCTGCAGACCGGATATTTTGGCCACCGAACCACCAGGGAAGGTATTTAGTCTGTCCCCCCCTCTCCCCATCCCTCACACCATCACCCCCCTCCCTCACACCATCACCTCTCTCTCACATCACCCCCTCCCTCTCACCATCACCCCCATTCCTCTCATCACCCCTTCCTTCTCACCATCATCCCCCCTCCCTCAAACCATCACCCCATCTCTCACCATCACCCCCCTTACTCACACAATCACCCCCTGTCCCTCACACCATCACCCCATCTCCCTCTCACATCACACCACTCCCTCTCATCATCACCCCCCCACATCACCACTCCTCCCTCTCACCATAACCTCCCCTCCCTCTCACCATCACCCCCTCCCTATCTGTATGTCACTCTGTGCCTGTGTGTCACTCTCTGTGTGTCAGTGTTTGTCTGTATCTGTGCTTCTACGTAACTGCATGTGTGTACCTATGTGTGTATGTATGTGTGCCAGTGTGTGTATATGTGTATACATCTCAGCATTTCGCCTACACTAAACACAAATACAACCCTGCATCCAAATGTCAACACTAAATAAAACCAAACCACCATATTCACAAACCACACTACAGAAAAATGCACACCTGCATTCAAATACCAATACGTGCTGTGAGCGTAAAAGTGGAATTGTGCTTGATGGAAGATATATCAGGCCTGATTTGTTAAACAGCAACCTGGGAATTTTCAGTTAAATGCCCCAGGGAGAGATGTTAGAGTTTGCAATCTACATTGCTAAGGTTCTGCAAAACATGGTATGGGTCCCTGGGGCGGAGTATTTGGAGAGCAGGGTGGGCCAATGCTCCAACAGCATTAGTTGCTGTGTAACAGACCACTATTTGGATCTGACTTACGAGTTAGTTAATTGGCACTCACCTGTAGCCAGTCAATTAGTAGACAGGCCTTTAAAAGAAGAGGGCAGCCTGCTGCAGAGTGAGGGAGAAAAAGACAGCTAGGAGAGATTGTGTTTATTGCAAAGACATTGCTTTTGTTTGGAAAATTGGTAAGTGGGAAAGCCACCCAATTGCAGATAGCAATTACTATCTAGTAAGAGCTCAAGTAAGAGCAAGGGATTTTGTTTGTTTTTGTTATTATTTAAAGTACCTGCTTTCTTACTGAATAAAAAGGAAAACTGAGCTGAAGGTGTCCTGGACTTTGTATACCCTAGAAGGCTGTGGTTACTGCAAGATCGGTGACAATCCTACCTGTAAAAGAGGTGGTTTGTTACAGTGCAAACATACACGTAGATTCACTCACACATACTCCATAAAAAAAAAAATGCTTACATTCAAACACACAAATACTGCTCGGTGCTAAATACATAAAAAATAAAAATGAAAACACTGCTTGGTGCTAAATACATGAAGAAAATGTGCGGGTGTTTTTTTACATTTTTAAGCTGTGGGGGGGGGGGAGGAGATGGAAGGAGTGCCAAATACAGGATCCGCCCCAGGTGCCAAATGCTCCAGGTACACCCCTGCTTGCGAGGATCCAAGATGACCGCGATTCACACGCAACAAACCTAACAGGTATAGTAAGACCAACCCTGCAAACCCCCTCCACCCCGTGCACACCCTAAATAGTGTCCCCTGACAAAAGAATGAGCGCGAACGCGGCTAAAAACGGCCGCAACGCGCCAAGTGCCCTGAGGCTAATAAGGCAGAGGATAGTTAGTGACAGTCTGAGGGAATAATGCCAGAGGGCGGAGGAGGGAAGGAAAGTCCAAATAATATACTAAAACACCAATAAAACCCCAATAGTCATAGATGAGAGGTGACAGAGAAAGTAGAAAAAAAGTCTAAATAATCCATATTAAAACAGTGAAAGTAGAACAAAATATTCTGCCATGTGCACTAGCTGGAGCAGCAAAGGGCGTGGTCTTACAGGGCCTTTTGTGGAACATCCTCCTTTTTTCTGATTGGTTGTTTATGTTTCTGTGCTGCTGGAGATTTACAGTAAAGAGAGTTATGCAAATATGAAGCCTCCTGTCAAGCGGTAAAATCATAGCTTTCACGTACAGCAGAATGAGTGAGACATAATGGTTTGCCAGTATTTCGTACTGCACTCCACCTCACACTATCCTACAAGGTTATTCTCCAAAGTGAGAATTCAAAGTGAATTTCAAATTTTAGGCCAAGGTAGCTGAATTGAAAGCATAGCTGACTTCAGAGAGTTTTTTTTTACAGTTCGGCTATTGTGGCCTTAAATTTGAAATTCACAAAACAAGAGAAAAAAAAATTGCAAGCACAAAATAAATAACAGTAAGAACTCAGCTTCTCGGGCTCCCTGGGTTAGACTCTGGTTGGGGTCACGGCTTATGGCCCACAAAGGAGCCTTGACTGGTGTACTCTCAGGGATGCCTGGGGGGGGCGGGCGGGGGTTGTTGCCCCCAGTATGATAGATGGGCAAGATGGCTCTTTGTCCCAGGTGGCAGGAACAGCAATGGAGCGGGGTCAACGATAGGGCTATGCTGGATCGAGTCGCTCTCTGGAGTTATCTGTTTTTCTTTCTGTTGTTATTAAAAACCTTGACAGATTGCGACCAAGCCAAGTACCTTCGTATCACCTAATCCATGTCTTAACATAACGACTTTTCCTTTCTATCCCATCAATGTGACAATGTATACAGCATGTTATGGCTTTTGCACAGGCCTCAGAAAAGTGATTGTACCGCAATTTCTGTAATTGCAAAAAATAATTAAAAAAAATAAAAATAAATTTGAAATTCACTTTAAATACTTACTTGACAGGTTTTATTCACTAAAGCAATAATGCAAAGTGAATTTCAACTTTAAGGTCAAACTAGTAGTAAAATTATGTAATACAGCTACTATTTTTGGCTACTTTTCACTTACATTTCAAATTCACTTAGAAATTTCACTTTAGTGAATAACCCTGTTAGTGAAAAACCCTACTAGTCTGTTCCAGCTTCTGAAAGTCAGGAGAGAGAGAGACACTAACAGACAGCTAACAAAGCATCACTATAACCAAAGGAAAATCTAAACAATACCACGCCCCTCCCCCCCCCCGTTCCATGGGCGTGGCTACATAGCGCTTAGCGTGAGCCAAGAGGGAATAGAACGGTTTCCGCCCTTACCATTGATGGCTGTGCGTGACACGCTGGAACGCAGCGTCGCTCGCGCACTGTGTCATTGGTTATCGCCGGATGTGTGTGAGTTTTTTTCGCGGCTCTCATGATTCTTGTGACGGATAAGGAAATCGAAGCTTGGTTATCTGCACCGAGAGCTCCAGGTTCTCCTCGAATCCAGACAGCCATCACTGCTGTCTGTCTTAGTGTCACATTAGAAGGTTTCTGTGCTGTGTGGGACCCACTCTCACTGACAGGAGCCACACTCTCCTGGTCATGGAGGAGGATACAGACTCACCCCCCGAGAGAGAGACAAAGGTATGGGGAAAAACTGGGTCTGATGCCTCTGGGTGCTCCAGGGTTTAATTCCAGCCCTTGCATGTCCTGCAGATCTTTTTAGTTTTAAAGGACCACTATAGGCGCCCAGACCACTTCAGCTTAATGAGGTGGTCTGGGTGCCTGGTCCAGCTAGGTTTAACCCTGCCTGCTGTAAACATAGCAGTTTCTAAGAAACTGCTATGTTTACATTAGGGTTAATCCAGCCTCTAGTGGCTGTCTCATTGACAGCCGCAAGAGGCGCTTCCACGCTTCTTACTGTGATTTTCACAGTGAGAAGACGCCAGCGTCCATAGGAAAGCATTGAAAATGCTTTCCTATGGACTGGCTGAATGTGCGCGCAGCTCTTGCTGCGCATGCAGCCGAAGAGGGAGGAGAGTCTCCAGCACTGAGGGAGCCTGGCGCTGGAGAAAGGTGAGTGTTTTAACCCCCTTCCTCCATCTTCAGCCGTGCGAGAGTGGGAGTTTTCCTGGCACGAGTTTGTTTTCCTGGCACTATAGTGGTCCTTTAATCCTTATCACTTTTAGCTAGAGTAAATGAGATGAGACTTTTGATCCTCCAAGAGTTATTGAAATAAAGTTCTCCAGTTCTAAAAGTCAGATGAGTACCTCTCTTTATTGCAAATTCACTGATCTTATGATCCTTGAGGTAGGACTGACACACAAGCAAAACACACATGGGATACGGCTGTGGAATCTAAAAAGAACATAGACAAAACTTAGTGTAATACAATTTTAACAAATAATGTGCGCTGTGCAAAAATGCACTCACAAGATGTGGATAACAGCTGTTAGCTTTGTATAACCATCTGTAATTTACTTTGATTTTATGGTCTCTGTGGAAGTTCCAACTGTGGGACGAAACGCATAAGACCACCACAACTACTGCTGTTTTACCAATTTTATTTGATTTATAATAAAAGCTGCTATTTTATACTACCATCCAGAGTCCTGATTTACTGCTATCCTGCAGACAGCGGAGAGGGATCCATTGCTTCCCCCGATGTAATTGGGTGGCTCCCTTTGAGCGCATAATGTCTAGATCTTGTGAGTGCATTTTTGTACAGCTCACATAATTTGTTAAAATTGTATTTCACTATGTTTTGTCTGTCCTTTTTAGATTCCACAGCCGTATCCCACATGTGCTTTGCTTGTATTCTGGTTTTAAGATCACTACCTGGGAAGTGATCCATTGGGAGGCTGTCCACTTGATTTACCTGATAAGTATATTGCATACTTATTTCACATGTGATTGTGGTGAGTTTTGTCACAGCCACCATTTTTCCCAGTGACTGCCCCTTAATGACCAATGATGGAATATTTCTGTCATGGATGTCCAACCAATAAGAATCCATGATGGAATAATTTTGTTGTTTTTTTTATTTTATTTTTTTATACCAGAAGAGACCTATTGCCTGCTAGTAACAGGGAAGTCTCAGGTATTATTTGATACCTGGTGCTCACATCTGTCAGCTGGGCCAGAATAAGTAATCACATGCTGATCAGTGAGCTGAAACCAATGCTCAAAGTGTGTGCAACGTACAGCCCTTTAAATCAGTTTGTTTGAATATGCGGGTTGCAGTGTCTCCCGCCAAGCCGCCTGCAGCGCAATTACCGACTGCAAAGGATGATCAGCGCTGGGCTTTGCTGGCATCCAAATGCTGATTATTATTAGTATTATTATTATTATTATTATTACCATTTATATAGCGCTTTACAATATTATGAGAGGGGAATTTAACTATAAATAGGACAATTACAAAAAACTTACAGGAACGATAGGTTGGAGAGGACCCTGCTTAAACGAGCTTACATTCTACAGGAGGTGGGGTGTAAAACACATTAGGGCAGGAATTTGCAGTTAAATAAGGTGGGCTGCACATTAGGAGGGAGCAAGAGACAGGTATGTAAGGTAGAGGTTACTCTGGGAGGCGATAATCTTCCCTAAAGAGATGGATTTTAAGGCACTTCTTAAAAGATGCAAGTCTAGGGAAGAGTCTGATGGCGGTAGGCAGGCTATTCCATAGGAAGAGAGCCGTCCGTAAGAAGTCCTGCAAGCGTGAGTTGGCCGTACTGGTGCGGACAACGGACAGGAGCTGGTCACGGGCAGAGCGGAGAGACAGAGAAGGGACATACCTATGGATCTGTGAGGAGATATGAGGGGATAGAGTTATTCAGTGCTTTATAGGTGTGAATTAGTACCTTGAATTGACTCCTATAGCAAACAGGAAGCCAATGTAAGGACTGGCAGAGGGGTGAGGTGTGAGAGAAACAACTAGAGAGGAAAATCAGTCTGGCAGCAGCGTTCATTATGGACTGTAGCGGTGCAGTACGGCTTTTGGGAAGACCATGAGTGGTCACGGCTGCAGGGAGGATTAAATATTATCGTGACCTTTTATTATGACATGACTTAGCAGCTGAGTAGGAAATAACTCTCCTCATGCTGCAATTGTAAAGGGAACTATAAGGGATTCAATGCTTTCCTATGGACGCTGGCGTCTCCTCACTGTGAAAATCACAGTGAGAAGCGGCTGTCAGTGAGACAGCCACTAGAGGCTGGATTAACCCATATGTAAACATAGCAGTTTCTCTGAAACTGCTGTGTTTACAGCAGGCAGGGTTAACCCTAGAGGGACCTGGCACCCAGACCACTTCATTGATCTGAAGTGGTCTGGGTGCCTATAGTGGACCTTTTAATGTAGGAGTTCTGGTGAGTATAATAGTGCCCTTCGGGCATTTTCAAAAGGCGGTGTTTACATTGCCCCTGGGGACATCTTCAAGTGGCCACTCCTCAGATGTCCACTGGAGGTGCTTGCTGGCTCAGGGTTGCACAGTATGTATTGATTCAATGCATCTCTATGAGGAGGTCCCGATTGGCCAAAACAGCATTTGGCTCCGCCCACGTTCACAATTTTAGCCAATCCAATGCTTTCCCTAAGGCTTATTAGAAGTCCTTTTAAAAGGAATGAGGGAATTCACAAAAAGATAGATCACTGATTTGTAAACTTAATAAGTAAAATACTGAGAATATGAGTGAGAGTTACCCCTACCTCTCACAATTTTTTTTTTACACACCAAGTTTTTTTTGTTTGTTTTTTTTTTTTTAATACACAAATTATCTCATGATTAAAGCAAATTGGAATATTGGAGGAATGTTTGGTTTTAACCATATGGTATATATCCACTTTCAGGGACCCCTTCCCGCCGGACTCTGGGGAGAGGAAGGGGTTAAACTCACCTCTTTTTCCAGCGCTGGGCGGGGAGCTCTCCTCCCTCTTCTCCTCATCTTTGGGTGAATGCGCATGCGTGGCAGGAGCCACACGTGCATTCAGCCAGTCCATAGGAAAGCATTCACTATGCTTTCCTATGGACGCTGGCGTCTTCTCACTGTGATTTTCACAGTGAGAAGCACGCAAGCGCCTCTAGGGGCTGTCAAGAGACATCCACTGGAGGCTGGATTAACCCATTTATAAACATAGCAGTTTCTCTGAAACTGATATATATATATATATATATATATATATATATATATATATATATATATATATATATATATATATATATATATATATATATATATATATATATACACATAACGTATATTGTACCGAGGTAAGGTAATAACCCTTCCCTTTTGAGCTCAACGTCAAAGCACGTTAGACTCAACTGAGTCCAAACCCAGGCACCACCGTACATAGAAGAAAACAAGACAAGACATGTACTTATAGAGTATCTCCTATGATTTTATACTATTTTCTCAGTCTACTTAAAGGTCTTCAACTTAATGGTGGTCTGGGTGCCAGGTCCAGCTAGGGTTAACCCCCTTTTTTATATATATATCCCCTTACCTCGGTACAATATACGTTATGTGTTGTCTTTTGTAAGTGGGTACACGAGGAGGACTGGCATCCTTTTCCTCATGTAAATTATATGTTGTTTATTGTAAGTGGAAGATGCCATGTGGGTTTAGAAAGGGAGCTTAGCAGTATACTAACTGTCACCCATCCATGGTTAGATGGATGACTCTAAATGTTCGGGGGTTAAATACGATTTTAAAAAGAACTATCCTATCTAAAACTCTAAATAAAGGGCATATAGATATTGGCCAATTCAAGCATCCCATTGGTCCAGAAAAAAAAAATCAAAAAAAAAATCGCGTATTAAAGGACCACTAAAGGCACCCAGGCCACTTCAGCTCAATGAAGCGGTCTGGGTGCCAGGTCCCCCTAGTTTTAACCCTGCAGCTGAAAACAAAGCAGTTTCAGAGAAACTATGTTTACACTACAGGGTTAATCCAGCCTCTAGTGGCTGTCTCGTGAGTTTTCCGCGATTTTATATTGAGTAAATTTCACTTTTTTTTTTATGCTGGACGTCCTCACGAAGTCCAGCGTCAAATAAGATTCTCATGGGAAAGCATTGAGTAATGCTTTCCTATGGGCCGGTTTGAATGCGCGCACCTCTGCCCGCTCATGCACATTCGGCTCCACTGACGTCAGCAGGGGAGGAGAGGTCACCAGCGCCGAAGGAGCCCGGCACTGGATTAAGCGCCATAGGAGGGGAAGCCCAGAGGGAGGGGGGCACTCCAAGAGCCTATAGTGCCAGGAAAACAGACTTGTTTTCCTGTCACTATAGGATCCCTTTAAGGGCTATATAATGGCAGCAGAATCCTCCTAAGTTTTAAAAAAAAAAGGGGGGGTGTTGGGGGGTAATGAATTGTAATGGTAGAGGTAGATCAGGAACGAGGATCATTGTCTTAGTATGTCGTTGGAATGGAAAGTTATATACAATTGTAAATGTGTATGCCCCTAATAAATCCCCACAAATCTTTTTAAGGAAAATATTGAATAGAAAGAAATAGTAATTCAATCTAAGAAGTTTTTAACAGATTCTGAAGGAGCATTCTTTATATGATATCTGGAGAGCCTTCTTCCCGAATGAACAGGATTATACGTATTTCTCACAGATTTATCTCTCCTATTCCAGATTTGCATGTTCCTAGGTGAAGCTCCGTTTATGAGAGAAAACTAAATGTAACATAAGAGAAATTACTGAATTTTTTTATTTTATTTTGTTTTTAAGAAAATGATTCCAAGGAAATCCAGCCAGCAAATATTTGGTGTTCATATAAATGCGTTTTGAGGGACCATCTAATAATGTTGGGGTCTAGAGACAGAAGGAAAGATGAGCTTCTGCTCCCAAAGCTGCTTTTTAGAACAATTGTCAAGAGCAAATAAACAAATTCCATCAGATTCAATAATTAAGAAGATAGTAGAAATTAAAAACAAAATAAACTGACATCATGAAAAAAAAAATGAAAGCAAATTTAAAAAGGCTAAATCAAATTTGGTATTATAAAAATAACAAGGCAGATAAACTTTTGAATCATTCCATTTTAAACCACAAGCTATTGGCGCTGCAATTGGTCGTTTCTGTAGGAAGCTTTATAATATCCCGAAGCATACTTCTTCTCTAACTTCGGCAGAATATCTAAATAATATGAAATCACCCACCCTTTCTAACCCCTTAAGGACACAACTTCTGGGATAAAAAGGAATCATGATGGAATATTTCCATCATCTGTCCTTAAGGGGCTAAAGACCAGCTGAATTCTCTAAATCAACCATTTTCTGTAGAAGAAGAATGAGAAAAGCCATAGATCAATTAAAAAAAACAATGTTGCCCCTGGCCCGGATAGGTTTACAAACCTAATTTTCAAGATACTAAAAAATCATTTGGAATATAGATTATTAAATGTATTTAATTCAATAGGCTCAGGATTAAATTTCCCTAGCGAAATGATGCATGCAAATATAATCCCCATTCTAAAAGTAGAGAATGATCCCACACAGGTAGCTATCGACCAATTTCACTTTTAAATACTGACTCTATTATTGGCAACAAGGCTAAAAGAAATAATGCCTGACTTGGTAATAAAGATCAAGTAGGTTTGTAGTTGGCAGATCATCTGACAGCAATATGACACGCCTCATTCAGATACGATTCAGCAAAGAAACAGAAAACCCCCATGTTGGCCCTGTTTTTATAAAAAAATATTTTCACAGGGTCAACTGGGGGTTTATGATAGATACTTTAAGAAAATAACACACAAAATATGGTATAAAAGTGAAGTTTTGTTCTCCGGTTGGAAAGACCTGAGTCTCTTATCCTCAGGTTTGAATAAAAATGAAATAAATGCTTATAAAAATAATTTAATAATGTATAGTCTTTTGGGGTTTTGGAGAGAATGGAAAAAAAAATGGGTATTCAATGCTGTGCTCTCCCCGATACATTTTTTGGATGAGAATATCTCAGATTTAGGCATTAAAAGATGGAGCCAATAAGGTGGATATGGCCAGTTGTGAAAAGATGGAAAAATTCAAGATTTCCCCCAACTCGTGTTGGAGCTCTCCCTCCTGAATAATGAAATATTTACTTATTTGAGAGTAAGAGGCCTTCTAATGAAAGTAAAAAGGAATGCTATAGAAATTTTTTAAAAATAGGCAAATTATTGGAAGGAGAAATAATGATCAGGAAAATTATTAAAAATGATCGACTGGAAATAGGTGATGATTATTTGGTAAAATCTAAGGCCCTGATTATATGGGAGAGAGAGAGCTCAGACATGAGATAGATATAAATAAATGGTACAGTAGTATACCATATCTTTAAAACAACTATATACATTGATATATATATGGCACTTTGTGCCAGAGAAATTAAATAAGATGTATGAGAAGTGCTCTAGTTTTTGCTGGAGATGTAAGAGAGAAATAGGTTTTTATACTCTTATCTGGTGGACCTGTGCATTGTTGGGTATTGGTTGCTTCAAATTTGGAAAACCTGGACATTAGGGGAATCAGAAGGGAACAAGAAACTTATCTTTTGCATTTAAGTTGGCCGAGTCTAATTAAATTACAAAAACAAATCTAGCAGCAAAAATCGTAATCGCTCGGAGATGGAAAACCCAAGAAGTCCCTACGTGGCACTCCTTAAAAGAGCAAATAAACTTTCAATTACAAATGGAAAGAGGGCCATCACAAGAGAAACAAAATGTCTTCGGAGAAGAAGTGTACAAATACTGGGAAATACGGGTTTTAAGCTTACTAAATATTAGCTCAATATAAGATATGGATTGGTAAAGAAAAATACCCCCAACCCCCCCTGAAACCTAACCAATACTTATGCATATTAAGCTCCCAAAGCTAAATTAACCACTTAAGGACATGTGACATGTCATGATTCCCTTTTATTCCAGAAGTTTGGTCCTTAAGGGGTTAAAGTAATTTAGAATAAAAATCCAGCATGGCATCATCCACCGTTTAATTGTATTTTGGTATTGTCTGTTCTTGGTCTTGTGATGTAGTTTTATTTTTAATATGTTTTTGATGTATATAAAAGAAAAGGAAATTGGGGTAAAAAAATAAAAATGTTAAAAAAATTGATGATCTGGAAAATTGTTTTCAAACTCATTCATAGTCCCAACTTGACTATTTTTGCTTCAGCTTTCCTATTTACTATTTGGATTCTAGTTTAGTGAGTAAACCTGTGTAAGAGTTTTAAGTTGTTGTACTTTATTTTAACTCTTTCTCTTCCCTTCAATTTCTAGGACTTCCATTTCCGCCAACTGAAAAAGACACGGATTTTTGATCCTCCTCGAGAAATCCTCAAAGAGCGCTCCAATCTCTTGGCAATCTCTAATAAATATGGCCTCATCTTTGCTGGAGGCTCATCAGGGCTGAAAATCTATTACATTAAAGATCTACTTGTACCAATCAAGGCTGGAGAAGATCCAAATTCTATCGGTAATGCCCTTCATTGCATAGCTCACCACTAACCATTAACAAACTCCACAGACTGCATGACTACAAATGCCACCAGTTGTCTGAGAATTATGAGAGGTATAGTCCAGCACAATATACTGGTATCTGTGCTTAGAATTTCAATTCTTAATCTACCAACCAAGGAGTCAATATGAATCAACAGGTTTATCCGTTGCACCCCTTATTTCCCTCAATATGACACCCGTCTGCCAGTTCTATGTCAGCAGTTCATTCTTTCCTCTCCATTTTCTGTAGCTCGTAACATTGATCGTAGTAGCCCATATTTCATGGCCATTGTGGGGAAGTGGTAATGTTGGGTCATGGGAAAAACTTGTTTGAGAGTAAAGCAACAATTAACCCAAATGCAAGTTATTAAACTCTCTGCCCATTGCCTGTGTTCTAATTTTTTTATTTGTAATGTAGTTTTTCGCGGTTTTTAAGTTTGGTTTAAAAGGAAATAGCAGGAAAACTCTGCTGTACCTTCTCGATACTTTAAAAGTGCTTTACCAGTAAGTGTCTTTGGGCAACTCCTTCCTGGAGCCAGCCTTATGTTTGGGAAAACATTTATAAAAAAATAAATAAAAAATTAAACTGTTACCTTTTGGCTTACTCTGTTGTACATAGCTTCTCGAAATATTTTAATGTAATATTAACCTTATTAAGTGGAAAGTTGATATATTGGCATGTCTTTTGGCAGCATTTCCGCCACCCCCAAGAGATTGTTATTGTGTTCAACTGTTTATGAAATAATATCAGGCTTTATACAAACTGTGCCATTTTTCATCCTTTACAGTTGCAGGCCCTCCTGGTATAACAGTGCCCTTGAAACTTTCCACTCACCATGTGGCTCTGAGCTCTGACAGTTTGACATTATCTGTGTGTGTAGCCTCCAGTACTCATGGCACTTTCATCTCATTTTATGATGTACGGACTCTGCTAAATGAGGTGAGATTCTTTCTTGGCGGGGGAAAAAAAGACAAGTGTGCTGAAAAGTACAGGCAATGCAATAATCTTCCATGTCTTATTATTTGTTAACTCCTGAGAAGATTTGTTAAGATGTCACTAATGGAAAAATGGTGTCGATTTGTAAAAGTGGGCCAGTTACTGTGGAAAACAATAATCTGAATGGAATCGACAATAAGATTGCAATGATTTCTATGGTGATTGCTCCACTTCTACAAATGTTATTTATATACATGCACCGTTTAAATCCGCAGTGACTTCCAACCAATTATACAATGCCACCAGTGGTCCAGAATTTAAGGCTTATCTCAAAATCACAACGTTTAAGTTTCCTAAAAGAAGAAAAGAAACTAAATGAATAATATTTATGTAACTGTTTGTTTTTTAAAAGAACACTATAGTTGTGATGGGGGGCGGCCTAGCAGATGGATATATGGTGCACAGAGAGTGGATCACTTAGGGCAAGGGTGGATGTTTCCACGATTGGGCCATGTACACGTTGAGAGAAACGGCTGAGGCAGCTGAATTATTTTTATTACAAAAAGACAATCAAGCAACCCCATTGTACAGGCTGGCTGGATATTGCTGTTGTGGTTTGTTTCTCATTTGGTAATCTGATCACATGCACAATCTGTTGTATTTGCACACCTATGTATACCAAAATGCCCTGTGATTTCATATTTTACTTGTATTGCTTGTACCGTAACTTATGACTGCCCACATATAAGTAAAAAAGAAAACAACACTAGAATTACCCAGACCATTTCATCTCAATGTAGTGGTCTGGGTGCAGTGATCCTATGTCCATTTACCAACACAACTATAATGCATTTGATAGGTTTTGCTATGCTCTATTTTTTGCATGTTTAAATCTTTGCAGTTTCTGCACCAAAACAAATTGAAATGTTTTGAATGATGCGCCATGTATAATTTGTTTTATAGTTATTATTTAGACTGTTTCTTATTTGTCATTCAAAAGAATTAAGTGTTCATCTCAAGGATACTTTTTTCCTTCTCTAGGCCAAACCGCAGAAAAGGCCTTTTGCTTTTTATGAGCTAACAAAAGATGGTAATAATCGTGTAATCGATCTCAAATGGAACCCAGCAACACCAAACCTGGTGGCCATGTGCCTAGATGATGGTAGTATAACAGTCCTACAGGTCACGGACGCCGTCAGTGCTTACGCCACTCTGCCTGCCACTGTGGGTGTGACAGCAGGTGGGTCACCTGGAATTTTTATACCAGTAGTTTTATTACATATAGATTTTCCTGTGTTTCTTTATCCTTGGATAGAGGCCAAAATTGGTTCACGTCATGGTTGAACCATGCATGTTATATTTATCGGGACCCAAGAAACTGTCCACTGTAGCATATAAGCTATATTATAGGTTTAGAATGAGTCACTGAACCTATTTTGCAATTAAGAAATTAGTTGCCTAGTTATTGCCTTGTACATAATTTAGGTCTCTGACAAAAAAGTTCAAAACCACTAGATTAGGGATTTGAATATATCTGTTTTCATAAAACTGCATTGCTATAGTGATTTTAAAATTATAGATCAAAATGGGGGGAAAATTCTTAATTAAGATTTCAGTTCCGCTATTTTGACCGAATATGTTCCAATTAGTTCACTCTTTGAATTATCCTGTGTAGAGTCTGTAATCTGGTATGAATTCTACCTCTGTAGAAAGGTCAGGCTTTCTGTTAAGAACTGGATAGAGAATACAACATACTATTACACCAAATGCAAGGAATTTACTACCATTTCTGCAATGTCTCTTTTCATGATTATCATTACTATAATTGTTATTGTAAAGCATCAACCTATTTATACATTAAATAGAACAGTGATTTAAAGGCATTTCAAATGTAACTTGATTGAATGAAACAGATTGCTACATTTGTTAGAGAGGACCTTGTTCATAAGCTTAAAATCTAGAGGGACCAATGAAATGCAAGGTATTGAGGAAGATGGTAAAGTTATATACTCTGTGCAGACATCATCAAAATGATGGTGGTTTTAATAGATTTCTTAAAAAAATAGGGAGGAGATGCTAGAAGTTATAAAAGGAAGCTTGAAACATTGAGTTTCTAGATAGAAGAGGTGAGCTGAAGAATAAAAGGGCCACAGTGGTGATCATATTTAATTATATATATTTTTCTTCCCATTTTAGTGTGCTGGAGCCCAAAAGGGAAGCAACTTGCTGTGGGCAAGCAGAATGGCACAATCGTTCAGTTCCTTCCAGTAAGTGACTTAATAAATCTGTGACGGTCGGTAAAGCTCTTAACATCCAACATGGTGCGATAAAGTGCTTGCGATGTGCAGTGCACAACAATTGGGTCCTCGAAGATTAGCGGACTATGTGGGTACTTGAAAACCACAGCTGTAAAGAGAAAGTATGCTAAAAGTTGATACAAGTAACCAAATAATGATGGCTGCAGTTCTGTGATTAAATCAGCAACACTGTAATGGAAGTGTAGTATTGTAAATACACAATGAAAGTGTAACACTTTCCGGTGCCATACGGAGTAACTGCAGATCTTTTCACAAGTTAATATCCGCTAGATAGGCCGGTAAATAGGTACAGATAAATCAGAGCTTAATAGAAAATAACCCAAAGTTCCATAGCATAATTAAGTGAAAATAACAATCAGCAGCACCACTTGAACTCTTGTACATAGAGTTTAGTAAACTAGAGCCAGCAGACCTATACATTATCAGTGAAAGACAGTGAGGTACCAAAGTGTCTCTTGCTCCCTCACCCCAGTAAGCACTGTTGTAGCATTTAATAAGATTAAATGGGGAATAATGCCAAGGGTGACAAGTGTTAAAAAAAAAAAAGTTGCCGCTTCTTCACTTTCACTCTCTGGACTGCTCAGGCGTACCCTAGCATCTACAGAGGAATTATGTGTGGGCATGGGCATTGTGTTAGTAGTGCTGTATGAATGCATATGCCAAGCACATATAACTGCAGGGGTCAAAGGCATACTATACACCCAAAAATAAATGTAACTTAATTAAGCCATTTTGGTGTTCGTTCTTCTGCAGTCTCACTGCTCAACTCTTTGCCATTTATGAGTTAAATCTCTTTGTTTATACAGCCTAGTCACACCTCCCTGTGTGTGACTTTCACAGCCTTCCTAAACATTTCTTGTAAAGATAGATCTAATATTTAAACATTATTTGCTGTTGATTCTAAATGTGAGGAAGGCTGAACTTGATGGACACATCTCTTTTCAGCCTATGTAACATGGAAAATGACAATACACGTGGAGACTTTTTTTAAAGCGCTGCCTTTTTAAAAAAAAAATTATTTAAAAAAATATATATAATATTCATGAGGTTCCGCAGATTGAGACAAGTGGCAGTAAATAAGGCCTTCAAGGGCAGCACCCATACACATTAGAGCTTTGAGAACCCTGGAAAGTCTTCAGTGGACACCTCTGAATATATGTAAGAGAAAGCGCAATGATCTGCTTTTTAACATGCGGTGCCATTATTGAATGTGTACAAAGAGTCACTATTCTTTTGTACATATCTTGATTGTAGTGGAATTTCAGTGAAAGTACAGTGTCCATTTAGGTCAGGGGTGCCCAAAAGGAAGATCCCTATATTTTGTAGAACTACAGCTTCCATGATGCTTTGGCATTTTAAAGCATTATAAAGGCATGCAGAGCATCATGGAAGCTGTATTTTACAACATCTGGGGATCTATTTTTTTGGGCACCCCCGATTTAGGTTCTATTATTTTGAAACTACACAACTTTATTGTACTGATCATACAGTAGCCTTTGTACACAACTTAGTGGATTGAGTTATATTTAATCTATTATATCTACTGAATCTTAATAATCTTTTTTTTCAGAATCTTCAGGAGAAGAAAGTCATTCCCTGCCCCACCTTTTATTCAGAGAACCCTGTAAAAGGTGCAATTTATCTTCCAATACCCATATACTAGTAAATGTAATGTCATGTGGTGGACTATTTATTTAAACTCAGATTGGATGTTTTTGTCTCCTAGTGCTTGATGTCCTCTGGGTTAGTACATACGTCTTTGCTGTGGCGTATGCTGCTGCTGATGTTTCTCTCGAAACCTCTCCTGAGCTCGTTATGGTATTACTTCCGGTATGTGTCAAGATACTAATGCCTTTACTTTATTTTTTTTTTGGAATTTTCATCAATCCATGTACTGTAACCTGAATGTGATGTTGCAGTCTTGAGTTTTTCAAGATAAAAAGGGAAAATCTACTTTGACATTACCTAACTGGAGCAAGAAAATAAAATTTATTTATTTCTTGTGTGTCAATTTTAGCAAGATTATTGTGCTGCTGAGAAGTTATTTTAGGCTTAACATTTAATAGTTAGGGATGGAAGTTGTATTTTAAGGTAAAGGTTGGGGACTATGCCTTTAACCCCTTAAGGACCAAACTTCTGGAATAAAAGGGAATCATGACATGTCACACATGTCATGTGTCCTTAAGGGGTTAAAATCTGGCCTTGGGTATTGTTAGGAATTTTATAACATAGGTAAATGGTTTTGGGGCTAGAGGTTTTATTTTGAAAGGGATATATTAGGGTTTTAAATCTGTATCCTAGCAGTGTAATTCAAAGTATTAAAGGGACACTCCAGGCACCCAGACCACTTCTGTCCATTGGAGTAGTCTGGGTGCCAACTCCCACTAACCTTAACTCTTCAAGTGTAATTATTGCAGTTTTCATAAACTGCATTAATTACATTGCAGGGTTAACTCCTCCTCTAGTGGCTGTCTACTAGACAGCCACTAGAGGGCACTTCCTGGTTTCTAGCTCAGGTTTTCTGTGCTAAAGCGTCGCTGGACGTCCTCACGCTGTGCGAGGACCTCCAGCATCGCTCAATTCCGCAGTGAAAGCATTTTCAATGCTTTCCTATGGAGAGGTCTAATGCGCACGCGGCATTGCCGCGCATGCGCGTTAGGTCTCCCCCGCCGGCGGCCGTGCATGCGCGATCAGTCTCCCCCGCCGGATGATGTCCGTGGGGGGACCCGAAACCACTGCCGAGGGACATCAGCGGGGGTCTCAGGTAAGTCACTGAAGGGGTTTTTACCCCTTCAGCAACATGGGATGGGTGGTGGGAGGGAGAGGGTACTTGCAGTGCCAGGAGAAAGGTTTGTTTTCCTGGCACTGGAGTGTCCCTTTAATCAGGCACTAGTAATTACTGGTTTCAGTAAAGTGCATTAAACACTTAAAACAAGCCTGCACAGCCTGCGTCCCCCAAGATGTTTTGAACAATAACGTCCATGACTCTTTGACTGAAACCGATGGCCAGGGAATCATGGCAGTTGTAGTTCAAAACATCTGGGGGGCAGCAGGTTGTGCAGACGTGACTTAAAGGAACACTCCAAGTACCATAACAACTTCATCTAAAGCCCCGTGCGCACTCTTACCTCAAAGGGTTAAACCGCTCTCAAATGGTTTGATCCCAAAGTGTTCTAGAGCGCCTATCTCAACATACCCAGACGGCATCTTGCTTCTGAATTCTTAGTTTCAAGAAGTGCGGAGTGCCACTGGCAAGGGGTGCTGCAGAGTAGCTCTCAACCAATCAGTGACTCCCCATTCACAAAACTGGCTTTGAAAAAAACACACACTTTTCCTTTAAGGTAAGAGTGCATCCGGGGGCCTCCTGGCACCCTAACAACTTAATTTAGATTAAGTTGTTATGGTGCCTAAACTATCCCTTTTAATTGCCAAGAATTGAAAAAACTTATTTAAAATATATATACTATATTTATATACTATATATATATATATATATATATATATATATATATATATATATATATATATATATACTAAAAAAAACAAAACTCCAACTATTGCCTGACTATTGCAGCTTCTTTTTCAGTTTATTACAGTTCAAGGTTTTGTAAATAATTTATAGTTACATGAATACTGGCTGATGTATGTTTTATGTTGTGCAGAAAAAGGAAGACAAAAAGGGTGAGCGATTTCTGAATTTCAGGGAGATCTGCTATGGCAGCCCTACTGAGAGACATCACCATTTCTTCTTGAATTATATTGATAATTGGTGAGTAACGTAGCATTAAAATATAGCTAGTTGCTCCATTAATCCATTCACTACCAATGGATTTGGATGGAAACAAGTGTGGGTTCTTAGGTGGAAAACCTATGGGGAAAAAAGTATATGTGTGTGTGTATGTATGTATGTGTGTGTGTATGTGTGTGTGTGTGTATATATATATATATATATATATATATATATATATATATATATATATATATATATATATATATATATATATATATATATATATATATATATATATATATATAAAATTTAAGAACAGGAAAATAGGTTACAGAATAATGAAGATAGAAAATCAAATGTGCTTTTAATGCATGCTACAGTCAGTTCAGTGTGACACAATCCTCATACTATAATTCCTACACTATATTTCCCCCAAAGCAAATATCCAGTGTTTAATTGTCCCTTGCGGAAAGATTCCTCATACCATTATATATTTACCCATACTCATTTTTTTTTTGCGTAATTTTCCTGCATGATGGTCAGCTGGTGAACGGTTTCAAGGCTGGCGTCCTCAAACCTCTCTCATTTAGTATACAGAATGAGAGCAGACAGTATGCTATTGGACCTTTTTGTCCCCCTCCTCCCCTCCACATGTACTTTGTGCTCTCAATGCCCGGTCTCTTCAGTGAGCCTTACCAGGGAGTTGAAGCTGCCAGTGACATAGATACACGGGGAATATGTCACTTCCACTCCCAGCTGACTTCTAGACTCGCTAAAAAGATTAGACAAAGAGAGCACGGAGCAGGCAAAAATAATTTTATATAAAGGCCCCACATTCATGGTTAAAGCCTCTCACGCCACACCTGCTCCATATATGTTGATCTATATACATTGCCCAACATATTTCCGCTTATATGTTTCCTCCTTATGTTCTATTGATCCCACTTTTTGTTACGTTACATGTGTTGTGAAACACACACAAAGCTGCAAAGCCACATTCAGGATATCCAAGAGCTGCTTGACTGCTACACATATAGAGATACATTTACTTACAAACTCTCTTTCTGTTGTGTGAGAGCAGCAGCTAGAAATCCCACAATGAATTATTGCTCGGAACTCTGCTCCCGATCCTGTATACATGATGGTGGCATTAGAAGACATATCCCAAACGTGTATTCACTTTATGGGCAGTAGAGGGGTTAAGATGCAATTCTCCGCTAACAATCTCTTTATGTTTCTAACTTTGCTCCATTAATAGAAAAATGTGTTAGTGGCATGTGCTTATGTTGTGTTATAATAATGTCCTTAATCCAAGTATATTGGATTAAGAACTGAAGTCTGCTTTGGATATAGACCCCCTGAGCATGACAGGATCTCTAAGTAATCATATTTTTTTTTTTTTTAAGGGAGGTTCTTCTGGGGGCTTCTGCTGTCTCCATTGAAGTCTCTGTGATTTCCCGGCCACCAGATCAGGTAACCTTCCTTTTGTTTTGTTTTTTAATTGAGGATAAAACTATTCCTACTTGAAGCAATAGTATAGTTTTTACCTAAAATGAAACCTTAACTAAGAGCTGTTTCTTCTTGGTAAGTCTGTGATATTGGACTTTTCCCTGTAGAAAAGTTTTTATCTGTTAAAACAGCATTGTCACTTTTAAGGTTTCCATAAATATTGAATCTGTATGAGAAACTCATAAAGAATGCATTGGTATTTGAATATATGAGACAAAGCTAAAACTACTCTTTCTTGTAATCAAAGTAAGTTTGGCTAAAGGGAGAGCTTCTGCAACCATTTCTTCCCATGAGCCGTTGTTTGAGGGCAATGGGAACTGGCACCTTTATGGGCAGTAGATAACTATGGCATCTCTCTGCACAAGCTATCTATAAGTCTTTAAGACCCCCTACCTATTTCATATTCTTGCCTATGTGTGATAGTATACCAGTGATGGGACGCTTGCTAGATGGCTGTTCCACTCTATCCCAGGACACAACCACTTAAAGGGTAACTGTACTCATTTTTCTTATTATTGAAAATAGATGATTTCAATTAATATGGCCTTACTATGCATTATTTTGTAATAAAAATACATATTACTATTTTATTGCATCTCCTTGCATACTTATGCTCTATGATGACAGCCATCTTTAGAACTCTTTGGTCCGGAGCACCACTTGTCCGCTAAGATGATGCGTGCAATTTAAAGGTCTAAAACCATTCCAGAGTTAATCTAGGAGTTCCATTCTCTTCTATATGATGTCGGGATTCGTTAACACACGTTAGCTCTTCACTGCATGCGCATTTCCTTTTGGTCAATTAAGGAATTCTACAGTCTTTTATTTTAAATGCTAATTATATTTTCCCTTCACATACACATATCAATTGGGGCGGAAATAGACTCTTTATACTTGGCTACCTTGTTACTTCTGGGTTGTTTAACTGATTAATGTGTCGGGGTTCAATTCCATGATTTTTTTGAACTCATCCAGTCCCTTAACATTCAATGGCTGAACCTTGAGCAGTGTGGAATATCCGCATAGGTACCCTCTTCTTACTGACCAGTGTCACTGTGGTTTCTATGCTTACATCTAGTGATATCGTATGTGTGCATTTTGTCAGCAAAATGACACTTTTTTTTGTGTGTGTGAAAATTCATTTATTTTAGAAATGTACTCTAAAAGATACTATATTGTCTCTTTCACAGGTCGGTTATGAATTGTGGCTTCTGGAAGACACAAGTCGGGCTGATCTCCCCGTGAATGACAACAGTGATGATACACTTCCCATGGGAGTAGTTGTGGATTACACAAATCAGCAACAGATTGTTATCAGTACGTCGTCTTATTAAATGTAGTACTGAAATGTTTCTTTTGCCATGGGTTCCACACCTCTGACTTAAAGGCAGTGTGGACCTGTCATATACCCATTTCTTCTATTATGTGTTCATACTTTTTAGTACTAAACACATAATAGGCTTGTATTGCTGCAAATCAATTTGCATAAACTAACACTGAACTCTGATATTTCCTGTTTACAAGATTATCCACTTTTTGTAAAAACAGAAAAACTGTCTGAGGGGAAGAACCAAGATTTTTGTGTTATCTGTATTATGACTGAGTTTCAGGTCAAGGAACCCGTCAGAAACCTGTAATTGAGAAAAGATCCTTAGTCATCGTCTTGTCCGCCTGCCCCCATCATAAATATATGTTGTACTTCTTTGTTATAAGTGTTGTAGCATGACTTCTGTAGCAAAAAAAAAAAAGTTGCATCAAGTGACAGAACTGACACATGCAGGATTATTCAACAAAGTTAATTTCAAATTTAAGGCCAATGAAGTCAAACTGGAAGCAAATCAGTTTTTTCCAGTTTGGCTATTTTGGCCTTAAATTCGAAATTCACTTTGCATTCTCACGTTACTGTGTATGGTGGCGATTACCCACATTATATAATATTGTAAAGCGCTGCGGAATTAGTTGGCGTTATAATAATAATTTGCAGTGTGATCACTATAACGAGAAATCATTTGAGAAAAAACACTCTGGTGGTATCACCATTGTAAGTACACACTGACATCTGTCCTGCATTTGTGTCTATCCTCATAGTCCTCATGCCAGAGACTTCTACCCTGACAGTCTTTCCTTTTCTGGAATGCCCCATTCATTTCTGTTGACGTGATCTCCCATTATTTGCAAGATAGTGCCATTTGTTGTCTCCCCATGCCTTGATTTTACCCTATGTGGGTGCAATACTGAACCCAGTTGTCATAGCTAAATTTGTAGTGTTTTTATTTATGCTCTCAATAGTCCTGCGCATGAGTGCCCTGGCTTAAAACCCCACTGTAATTTGCTACAGAAAATCTAATTTCTTTTTTGTAGGTGAAGAGAAAGTTCTTCCACCAACGCCTGTTCTCCTGGTTTTGTCCTCTGATGGAGTCCTGTGTCCTTTCCACATGATAAATTCCAATCCAGACATGAAGTCCCTAATGGTGCCTCTTGAACGTTTACCATTGGAAGGAGAGAGACAGATGAAGACTATCGGTATGTTGCAATTTTTTAACTTTAATATATAAAACATTAACATATTCTGCAGTGCTGTACATTGAGGAAACTAAATGTACCCGTGACTGTGAGTATAGAAGTTTGGCAGATGGAAGGTTGAAAGCACTATAAAGGGAAAACATGAGATGAGTAAATCTCCTCCTTACCTACCCCTTCTAAGAGCCACCGCTAGTTGACATGCCGCCTATAACACAGATTTGTTAACTGTCTCAAGGGGTTTCCTGGCAGCGTTTAAACTAAAAAGTGAGTCTTTGTTAATACTCACATGAAAGACTTAACATAGTCTCTTTTTGGATGAAACATTGACAGGTCACTTCTTATTGGCTGTAATAAAAGCGCATTTGTACCTTTGAGAAGACTTCAGTATTTATTTCACAGATGTTTGAGGGTGATTTGGCTGGTGATCATTTGAAATCATCCAGTTGTTTCTTCTCTGCATGTTTTTTGGATATGTTTGTGACCGTGGCTGTGTATTTGGCTTAAATGGTGTGTCTGGGTGCGAATAGCTAGTTGTCTTTGTATATCTGTATGTGTCAATAATCTATATAGGGGTTACATTGACTTCACTTAGTCAATGTAACCCCTATATTCACTGTGTATACTGTTCAGTTCTGGTCCTTTGGTTGTCTGAGTTATTCTTTTCATGTTCGTTTACCAAGTTATTTTTATCTCTTCTCAGGAACAGGCCTTACTTCTCCAGCTCCTGCTGCCCCTCAAACTACAATTTCACAGCCGGCCACTTTCAGTATTGCTTCTAGCAATCCAGCCACCAATACTACACCTGGACATACCAATACTACATTTGGAGCCACCAATACTACACCTGGACACACCAATACTACGTTTGGAGTCACCAATACTACACCTGTACCTACACCTTGGGCTTTGCCCTTGTCAGTCGGAAGTACAGCAGCTTCCAATAACTCTTCCAAGCAGGTTAATCCACCTGTGTTCTCCTTCCAACCGATGTCGGGCACAGGGGTTTTTGGAATGGCCAGCTCAGGGACAGGTAGTTCAGCTCTTCCAGAGCAGACGCCCGTAACAACACCCGGCTTTCTTCCTGCTGCATCAGTGAAAGTGAACCTGAAAGACAAGTATGTATTGAGACTGGCTCCAGAACCAGTATCTGCTATAAAAATTGTCTATTCATCTCTTCAGCTCTATAAAGAACCATCTTTTTCTTACATTGGCTATTGTAAAACCTCTTACAGGGGGACACTTCCTAGTGAAAACTTTCAATAACTGATATATATGTATTTTTTTTTTTTTTTTTTTTTTAAACATGACCATTTCTGTTCAGCTAACCTGGAATTCTTGTTGGCATACTGAGGTTTCTGCTCCCTCACACCAGCGCTCAAAATTTACACTAGCCATGACAAATAGAAATTCGGCCCCATTTAAGACCTGGCTTGTAGCATAGGACTTCAAATTTTAAGCCTAGCAAACACAGTGCAATTAAGAATTCCATCTTCCCCATAGAGTGAAATACTAGGAAATAATCCATGGATACTAAAATTTCAGATTGTTTTTGTTTTATAAGCAACCAGATTGTGATGACGAATTGAATTTACAATAGCTTGCTTAAGTTAATATAACTTATGTTGTAAGTAGTAAATTGGTCTACGTTTTGCTCCCAGTGAATACACATGATACTTGTTTCCCATTTTGTCTCACAATATAAAACACCACATGTAAGAACGGAGTGCTACTGCACAATAGTACTATATTTTTATGACCGTAGAGTGCTTGATTATGTGGTTTAGTCACACAGCTGATTATACCCAATAAAGTTTGCATATTTGTTCCAGATTCAATGCTGTTGGGGCACAGGCACCTGCTCCCAGTGCCAGTCTTGGTGCTCCAGCCTTTTCATTCACTCCTCCAAGCAAGCCTCCAAGTTCAAGCGATCCCCGTAGTGGCGCAGTATCATTTCAACCACAGGTCACCAAGACTCCGAGCAGGGCCACTGTTGGAGATGGTAAATAAGCATTCAGCTTATACATTTTTTTTTTTAAATTGTATTATAATTTCTTTGTTCTCCATGTCAAGCATATGTTGATGCAAGTTCATTTTGCTTATAGTTGTCCCGGTGATGCCAAGCACTCCCATTGCATCTACTCAGAAGACAGCCAAAATTAACCCTCCAGCAGCAAAGCAAATGCCTTCACAGGTAAGCCAGAGTTCTGTGGCACATTCTCAACATGTCCAGTTTGCAATCCTCAAACAGGGGGTGATGTGCTGCAAGTCACAAGAACAATGTTGTAATGATATGCAGGTAGGTACTTCACAGGAAATAAATGCAAAGCGAGAAAGCGTGGCTTGTCTCATCACTGGGACTAAATGCACTGCAACTATGCGCAGCAATCAATATGTGCGGTAATTGTTTGTTTTGGGTTTGTTTGTTTTTTTCAGTCGCAGGCAAATGTACCAAGAGAAAATCCACACACTCAAACCAAGGAGTCTGACCCTTTTCTGATTGCCATAAAAGAGGAGGTAAGTACATGTGAGGGATATATTCCCTTTTAAAATAATCGTTCATTCATTAGACTCTCATATGTTTATGAAATGCACACATTTGGGATTATGTATATCTATATATGTATAGCAAGTGTTGTGCTCTGAAAAGTGCAGAAAAGGGGTTGGGCCACCAGTACAATATTCCTGCTTGATTCTATGGTGACTGCCCTACATTTAGTAATTTCCTTAAGCCAATCCTCCTGCCTCTCAATTTTACGTTTTTATTTTTGCGAAAATTCCATCTGCTTCTGTTTAATAACTGTAGAAATTCACAATTAATGTGCCTCTCCCCCAATCCGGGCAGATTGCTCAATTCCAAAAGGAGATGGATGACCTGAAAGCTCGCACAGTAAAGGCATGTTTCTCAGTAGGCAGTGAAGCTGAAATACGTCAATTAAGGACAGAGACAGATGACCTTGATGGCTTTCTCCTTGAGATCAAAGAAACTACTGAGGTAATATGGGTGCTAATGTCAAACAAACTATATTCGACTTTACAAATTCTACGGTTTTCAGCAGCATTTACTTGTTGGTATTGCCTCTGTGGACTGTGTTGGAAGACCTTTTTTTATTTTATTTCTATTTATTTTTAAACAAAAATGTACTCCCTCCAGATCTCCCCCTTTAGGGAATATAGTGCCATTACTCACCAACTGTCATTATATCCCTTAAACTGGAATTCTGGGGACAGAACAAATTCTTCTAAAAAGGTTTTACAAGCTACACTCCAATATTGCACTTGGAAGAAAAACTTAAAAAAAAAAAGATGAAATCGTTTAAGGTTCCATTTATTTTTCTTTCTCCAGTTTACAGAGACTCGTATATTCTGGGTTAGAAATCTGGACAAGAACACTTGCTCTTGTTTAGTGCTACGTGTTTGTCAGGATATCACTGGATATGGCTTGTTGTCTTTCTCTATATTGTTTTCTGCTAGTTAACTATACTTTTAAAGTGCATTTCTTTAATATTTTTAGAATTAAATATTTGGTGTTAAAGGTGCGTGCCAGGCACCCACAAATTGTAGGTGCAATGTATAATTTAAGTTACAATTGATTATGCTGGCACTACTATTAATCCCTAAGCTAAGTCGTTATTCCTTAATTTTTTCTCCAATAATACGGTGTTTGATGCAATTTAAAGAACTTGCATATACAAGAACTTTAAATGAGAGTGCTGTTTTGGGTTTTTTTTTTGTAATTCTTTTCTTTTCTCTTTTTTTTTTTATTTTTTTTTTTACATATACTGTATGATGCAGTATCTTTATGTTTTTTTAAAAACAGTCAACTCCGACCTGATTTTAATGTTCTACATTTCTTCATCTTGTGTATGAAAGTCTCTTAACAGCGACATCCATAATCTAAAAAGGAATCATCTTGAGGCATTTGCAAAAATCGAAGAAGCTACGGAGCTGAATGAGCGAAAGCAGGATCCAAAGTACCGGCACCTGCTACTCAAGAGACCATTAGATCCCAAGAGTGAAGTTCAGGTTAAGGTAATGTTAGCAATGGGTTAATCTGACATGCAAACCATGCCCCCCACTCCCTTCTCTGCTTTTGTGATCCAGGATCTTTTCAATGCTCAGCCGTAGACCACAACAGCTGCAATGGCAAACATTGGCCATCAGCAGTACATTCGCTTCCTACTCACCTGCTCAATAAGCAGGTGTAATACAACAGACAAATCAATTATGTTTTTACAGCTGATAGCTGCACAGGGCTGCATGACTTCTATTTAGCAGTTTCCAGCATATTTTAAAATTATTTATATTTTGGCTTTATTTTTGTTTAATCATGGCATAGTGTATTATGCCATGTATTGTTGTTCATCTGAGGTTGTATGTACCTAAATTTAAAGGAACATTCTATGGTCAGGAACCCAAACATGTATTCCTGACCCTATAGTGTTAATACCAAAATTTAAGTGACTTACCTCCCCTTCCCCTTAGCCCCCTTTAAAGGTAATAATACTCACCTTATTTCCAGCGCTCTCTGGCTGGCCGACGCTCGCCCCGATCCCTATCCGCCTCTCTGCTGACATCATCAGAATGTATGATTTTTAGCCAAGCCAATGCTTTCCCATAGGCGGGATGGGGGCGAGGCCAAACACCGGCTTGGCCAATCAGCACCTCTGTGAGAAAAATTCTGCGTCTCCATTCTCTGAAAAGGCAGTGTTTGTATGAAAATGCCTGCAGGGAATGATTTTACTTACCAGAACAAATGCATTAAGCTGTAGTTGTTCTGGTGACCATAGTGTCCCTTTAAGACTTGCTAAAGAGCAGATTATTGTTATTAATTCCTGATATGTAAAACCATAGAATTCTAATTTATTTTTCCCATGACTTTATGCTCGTAATATTACACCAAAGTTACAGATGACCAGGTTTTTAGAAAGTACATCTAAATACCTTATTTGGCTATAGTAAAAATGGAAATGTGCCATATTCCTCTCTACCCTCCAATAACATGTGACTCCTGTGTCATTTTCACGAATATCTAAAAGCCAAGTCAGCATGTTTGCTGATTTTTAAAATGCTGCTCTGTTTCATAGGAGATCCGCACTCTGCACCAGTATGTAAAGTCTGCAGTTCAAGATGTCAGTGATGTGTTGGATATACAGTGGGAAAAGTACCTGGAAAACAAGAGAAATCAAAAGTAAGGGATTTTTTTTAGAATCATAGTTTCTGATTTATTTGGGCATTTCTTTATATTGGGTGTTATGTACGAAATTGTACATGAAAGAAACCAGGGCAGTGGCTGAACTGGACTACTGGAAGCCATTCTGCCTGAAAATACATCAAGATAATACGCAGGGCGACATATACACAGTACAGCTCTACATAACTGTGTGTCTGGCCTCATCCTTTCCGTAAGTGTATTTACCCACTAGGACTGAAGTTTCAGTTCATGTTTAGTGTAAAGAGTATCAATCTCAAATCAATATTCAATTCCCGGTACAATGTTAAATGTGCCACAAACCAATATATTTTATTCATTGATTATGTTTAATTTTACCTGAGGTTAAGGGCTGCTATTTTTAAAGGTACAGTGGGAGCCCAACCGAGATTTGTGTGTGCATCTGGGCAGGGTTCTGATAAGAGGTCTCAGGCAAGGGCCCTGCTGATTGGCTTAGAGCAGTCACCTGATGCTCTAGGCCATTCAGTTGCTTCTGATTCATAAAACAAAGATATGGACAGTTTTTATGATTGAGGATCTACTGATTGGCTTACAGTATCAGCTGAACGCTCTGAGGCAGTCAGCTCTGCCTCTGCCTGAGACTCCTGTTATCTATGATTTCTTGACAGGGGACAGGGGCAGACCAGTCTGGTACTGGAGCACAGACTTCTAGGGTAAACCAGGGGGTGAATAGTTTAACCTCCAAGGGTGAGTCAGCACCAGGGACTTCCTGGCACCATAACAACTTCATTTTAATGATGTTATGGTCCTCAATATTATCCTTTAAACTATAGTGTTCTTTAACCCCTTAAGGACCAAACTTCTGGAATAAAAGGGAATCATGATGTCACACATGTCATGTGTCCTTAAGGGGTTAAAGTGTTGTTGGTTTTTTTTTTTTTTTAAGTAAGTGCCACTTATCCAGGTGAAAACCCTGTGCAATTGACTCAAAGCCTGTTTTTGAGATGCCTGGTATTTGCAAATGAGCGCTAATATGGGCTTTGATGGGATAAGCAGTACTTGCACCTAAAGAGAACTTGAAGATGGCTGCTGCCACCACATAGCAATGTTAACCCAGAAGATGCACTGAAACGAGGCATGTGTGTGTATACACTCATACATACATTAAACTAGTGCACACGGTAGATAAAAGACAAATCTCATGAGATTAACAGAAGCTTCGTTAAATTTTACCTTGTGAGCCCCACCCCCCGGCTGTAAACAGAACATCCAGCTATTTATTTAAGTTATTTGCATTGTATTACTTAGAGTTTCCAAAAGTAAAAATAGTAAGTGTATGTCCATACATTTGGTGATGGGCTGTGTTTTTTGTTTATTTGTTTGTATTCTGATCTTCTCTACACTCACACCTACTACCATGGCCCCCTTTTTAGAGGTCTAATTGTCCCAGAGCGACAATCACTATTTCACACGCTGGTCAACAACCGGGAAATTATCAACCATCAACAACGGCAACTAAAACAACTGGTGGACAAACTACAGCAGCTCCGATTGTACAAGCAGCTGTCCCAGTGGAGCATGCCAAGCGAAGACACGAGCAACAAAAGGTGAGATTGAGACCTTCATACTGCTATTTCTATTTAAAAGATGGTAAACATGGCTAATTTATTTTTCAGATCCTTAGATTTGAGGACAAATTACTCAATATCCTAGTTTATCACATGGCATTTCTGAGAGAGACCATTTTGACAACTCCTTTTTTTTCAATTGCCATATATCATTGGAGTCTGATAGGTTTCCATGAACAGACCCTCTGGGATTAAGGGCTTGGTCCCAGTCATCATCAAGAATACACTCTTATGTGCTTGTGTTTTTTTTTTTCTCCTTTCTTACTGACCGCGTTTGTTCAGTATGTACATGGTTTCAGTAGGAAAGCTGGATGTAAATTCTGAAGTATGTTGTAAAAAAAAAAAACTTAAAAATATTGGGCAAGGAAACAAATAATAGTCTGAACTACCAATGCAAACAAAATACTGAATAACATCACTCCAGTTAGATGTACGAACAGAGTTGGAAGTAATTTGAGTAATTCTATACAGCAGCTTTTTGTTTTTACACCCTGTGTCTACACCGAAGCTTGACTTTCCCCATGCTCTTTCACTGGGACTCAAATGTTTGAAAACGTGGTGCATTATATTCATCAGAATGGGAAAGCAAGAATTGGCTTAAATCATCAATTTTGATAATGTCAACCTTTTTAAGGAGAGGAGGGGGGTGGAGGAGGAGGGGACAGGCCACCTAAATGGTGTCTTTAACACTATAAGGTCAGGAATACATGTAGTATAAGCTGACTAATGATGCTGCTGAAGTTACACGTCTGGCAGCGAAGTGCTTAACTTTATTAAATTTACTTTCAAAGTGAAATGCTTCACATTCAGACTGCACGCACCATGACCACTTCAACTCAGTGGTGTTTGGAGTAACTCCTTAAGAACCATTGGTGTACCCGGAATCATGTATATTATTCCTGTCAAGTAGAAATCCAGTTTAAATAGACCATAACTCTTTAAATATATATATAATTAAAATCTGATTCAAGCATACCTCTTTATAATTTTATTTTGTTTCCTCTGCAGTTTTGAAAGCAATATTGAAAGCCTGCAAAATACATTGTCCAAGACGGCTATAAATATGAAACCCAAACCAGCACCGCAAGTACCATGTGAGTAGCAAACATTATTAGCAGTCTTTGTGTGGAATTGTTTGTAATCCTGATTTCCAACAAAATCACACTAGGCGTTCTCATTTATTTCATACATTTTCATGTTGGATCACAGTCATATTGCTGACAAATAACACACCACTTGGAAGTGCACAATTCATTTTTTTCCCCACCATCTCTTTTCTATAGTAATTACTCCCCTTTGTGATCTTCTATCATGCCATACCTGTCTTCTATTTGACCTTTTTTTGTTTGTTAAATACTGACTATTTTTACTGTACATAGTGTTCCTTGAAACATAAAAAAAATATAAATATATATATATATATATAATTTATAATTTTTGGATGCTTCCCTAATCTCTTCTTTCTATATAAAGTATTTATCAGCTGGATTTAGACCCTAAGTAATGGAATGCTGTACTATTAACAGCCAAATCATATCGTTTTGTGATGATCTCTTATTTCGCTATATATTTTTGTAGCCAAAGTGTCAAAGGTAAAGGTCAACCAACTGCGAAATTTTCTTACCACGAGAACAGTACCTCGTATCCGGTCTCTTGCGCCAGGTATGTGTGATTTATTTATTTACGGTATTTATTATTATTATTATTTTTATTTATTTTTTATTACTACATTTGGTGGTGACCTTTTTAGGGAACTGTCCTAAATGAGTTCTTTGCTTTTATGATGCTTGAAAATATAGATTACCGTATATACTCAAGTATAAGCCGACCCGAAAATAAGCCGAGGCCCCTAATTTTACCACAAAAAAATGGGAAAACTTATTGACTCGAGTTTAAGCCTAGGGTGGGAAATGCAGCAGCTACTGGTAAATTTCTAAATACAATTAGATGCCAATAAAATTACATTAATTTAATATTTATTTACAGTGTGTGTATAGAATGAATGCAGTGTGTGTGTGTGTATATATAATGAATGCAGTGTGTGTTTGTGCAGTGTGTGTAAACTGGATGAAGGGAGGGCATTTTTATTTAAATTTTTTAATTTTAATATATTATTTTATTATTTTAATATTATATTATTTTAATATTATTATTATTTTAATATTTGCATTATTTTTTTTAAATGTTTTTTTTGTCCCCCTCCCTGCTTTTTCCCCCTCCCTGCTTTTTTAAATAATGCAAATATTAAAATAATAATAAAATATTATTATTTTAATATTCTATTATTTTAATAATATTATTTTATTATTATATTATTATTTTAATATTTGCATTTTTTTTTTGTCCCCCCTCACTGGCCAGGCAACAAGCAGGGAGGGGGGACAAAAAAACCATTTAAAAAAAATAATGCAAATATTAAAATAATAATAATATAATATTTTAATAATATTATTTTATTATTATTATTAAAATAAAATATTAAATCCCTGGTGGTCCAGTGGCATTGGTTGTTCAGTGGGGGGCTGACAGTGAGCTCTTACTTACCTTCCGTCAGCTCCCTTCTCATCCGTGCAGCTCCCTGCGGGTCTCGCGAGATTTACACTGTAAGCAGAACGGAGCTGGCCGGGGAGCTGCACGGAGGAGAAGGGAGCTGCAGGAAGGCAAGTAAGAGCTCACTGTCAGCCCCCAACAGGACCGCCGGGCTTGTTATGAGCCCAGCGGTCCTGGTCTGTATTATGGCAATGTAAATTGCCATAATACAGACTGACTCGAGTATAAGCTGAGTTGGGGTTTTTCAGCACAAAAAAGTGCCGAAAAACTTGGCTTATATTAGAGTATATACGGTATTTGGTATTCCAGGAATCTGCAGGAACATTAGCCTTGTAAGTGGACAGAGTAATTGGAAAGACGGTTGGCAAGAACTATTGAGCACAGCTAAATTATACATTCCCTACCTGCCCACAAGTATATCTGGTGCACTTTACCTTGTTTTGGTGTAATCGTTGCAGGTACTTTAGTAGCCTGTCATTCAGAAGACTAAACACAGAGGTTTTGTGAATTAATTCTAAATACCAAAATAGAGGTAAAAATTCTCCAACTTGACTATAGTCACAGCTTGGCTATTTTTATCATCCGCTTTACCATTTAGAATTAATTCGCAAAAATGTGGTTATAACTAATGTTATATAATTGTATGTGCAATACTTTAGTCTAGTGTCTTGTCTGTTTTGTGCATTTATTAATTTAATTTCATCCTGTTTTATAGCAAACCTCAACCGTTCGTCATTCCTGGCCCCAAGCTTTTTCGAAAACCTTGATGATGTGAGCTCTACATCTTCCCTGTCGGACACGGGAGATAACGACGAGAGGGGGCTTCTTCCACAGGTGGTTGGGAGGCATGAGACTCTGCCCCCAGAAGGGACACCTATCAGAACTCCCCGACATGCTGCTGTCGTCCGTACAACATCAGTCCAGCCAGGCTTTGCTCCACCAATCGCTCCATTTGGAAAACAGTTTGGCCCAGGTCCTATCACCAGTACACGTGAGAATTTGTTTCCTTTTTTTGACTCCCTGAGTGCTAGTTAGGCTATATCAGTGGCAGTGATTTTAGTTTCTAAAAGGAAACACTCTAATTGTTAATTCTCCAGTATGAAGCTTAAAAAAAGTTAGTCTAAAAAAAAAAAATACCCTTTATAGTTAGTTGGTACAAATAATAGCTGTGTGGCATGTGCTTGCCTTACTAGATCTTGTATGGTCAAGGAAAAGCAAAGCTCCACCTTTTGCCATTGTAGGAGTGTTGCAAACCTCTGTGTCGATGATATATAAAATAGACGTTTTGCCCCATAACCTATGAAAGGTGCAGATGTGTTTTGCTACTTAGTTTCCCTTGTAAGCACAGTTTCAAAGTACGAGCAATATGCTAGTTAAAAAAAAATGTTGTAAACCTATTTGGCATAAAAGTCCCGTTAAGTCCTATCCTACCTTTTTATACCAGGCTTCTGTATTGTTGACATTTGTTGTCCTTGGAACCCTAGCAAGAGTTCTAATAATTGTTGATCTTTTTCTTTCTTTTTAGCGGCTGTTCCTGCTCAGTCCATCAGAGTGATCCCACAGGGAGCTGACAGCACTATGCTGGCCACCAAAACTGTCAAACATGGAGATCCCATGATCATCGCTCAACAAGCTGCGGCTGCAGCTGCCCTGAGGAGACAGCTGGACAACAAGGTGCCAGGTACTTCAGTTGCACTTTTTTTTTTTTTTAATATTACTTACTTTAATATTATAAACAGCTTCCTGATTATCTCTTTGTTTTGTACGCAGCCACTTTGACAGAATCCACCCTGCAGACAGTACCAAAAGTGGTAAACGTTAAAGAGCTGAAGGGTAATGGTCCTGGTCCAACCATTTCCACCACATTAGGGTAAGGGTTTCAGAATCTCCTGTATTGCTGTGTGCCTACCAGTAGATGGCAGTGATAACCCTCTTTAAAAAAAAAAAAAAAATCAGACCAGCTGATTGCATCATGAAGTGTATGTAGTGCACTATAAGCATACCAGCCGGCATTAAACTAGTTAATACTTTCCTATGGCTATCTAATGTGAGAGCCGCCAATCAACCAGACTGTCAGTCTGTGAGCATTGATGGCTCCATGGCTTGAATTTCTTCTTGGATGAAGAGCGGACAGAATAACAGTAGGTGGCTTGGGTAGAGAACATAATGTGAATATTATGCCTCATTTTCTTTTCCAAAATAAGTGACGTAAGAATTCTGTATTTTTTGGGGTACAAAAATATTAATAAATGGAATAAGTAAAAAAAAAAAAAAAAGTTAAGCTGGGGGCCGAGCCAAGCTTGAGCCTGAGCTCGGCACAAAACAAGATTCCGGGCCCGGAAATCACAGCCCGAAACCGGCACCAAACTGACCCACAGACTGCTGTCAACGACATAGGCCGAAAAACCCAGAAGCCCTAGCCCGAAAAACTGCAGCAAAGCCTGAATATCGGAGACCTCTGGAGACAAGTGCCCAGGGCCCAAACATGGCCGCCTACAATGACGAATGCTCTGATGTCTCAGACGACTTTACAACAGGGGTGGAAGCGGAGCACTCGCCTGCCGTATTGACACCTCTCCAGACTACCCCACGGCCAGACTCCTCTCCGGTGACCACTGCTGTCATGAAGGAACTACTGGCAGGGCTCCAGCTCACTATACAGGCTGACATGGCCCGACTTCGTAAGGACCTTCAAGGTCTGACAGGCTGTCTGGGCACTCTGGAGGCTCACTCCTGCCATAACACACCACCTGCAGCAAGCAGTGCAAGATCTGAAGCAGCAGCACCTTATTTATGATCAACGCTTTGCAGCACTGGAGGATCAGAGACGTAGCCTGAACATCAAGATCCGAGGTATCGGAGAAGAGATACCGGAGGCAGAGATACCACACGTCATACGGTGACTCCTGCAGGCCCTCTTGCCTCCCAAGCAAGCTGCCATGGACGGGATGTTTCAGTTACCGAGAGCAGTCAAGGCCCCCAACATTGGCACAGAGAGATTTCCTGGTAAGCTTTCAAAACCACAGGGACAAAGCAGCAGTGATACAAGCCACACGAAACCACTCCCCCTACCCATTTGAGAACATGCAGACCTGTCGGGGTCCACACCAGCATGGCGATGCTCACTCCAGCCCTTCACAACTCTCCTATACCAGCACAACGTCAAATACATCTGGAGAGGGTCTCAAACACTGCTGGTCCACCATGGGGACTTTGCCTCCATTATATGGGACATGCACGGGGTCAAAAGAACTGCTGCCTACCTTGGGTCTCCAAGTGGACTCAATGCCCCTAGCGGAGATAAGTACCACACCGGCACAATCCTGCACCTGGGACCGCGCAAAAGTGCTCCCGTTCGTCGCCAGTCGGGCTGAAACAGTGGCTTATGCAGCGGGCCACTACCTGATGCAGCCACAAGTGCCAACCTGCTTCCAGACCTCCGATTCTAAGCAGAACCAGCCATTTCACTGTTAAAATTTGAATGCATGTAAAGATGTTTTGATGCTTTAATGTTTCTTTTCTTACGGCAACCCTCACAACTGCTAGCCATCCAATGCACCACCACACATCACGTTTTATAGCTCACTCAAATTCCCTCGCAAAATGATTAGCCCTCTTCCCTTCCCCACACAGGGTAACAGGGTAAACTCAAGCAGCGCTAGATCACGGTATTCAGGGACAAAAGCTCTGTCTAATGTGTGCAAATTACTTTTCATATTCTCTTGCACTTATGCACGATATGCACTGCGTTAACTGTGGCTATGACCTGAGGCAAAAATAAAGAATATAAAAAAAAAAAAAAGGTTAAGCAAAAGAAATAATAATCTAAAATTTGCCAAAGTAATACATTGTAGAAAAGTGATTAAATGCCGCTACCCAGCAGAACAGAAACGAAAATAAAATTTCAAAATACAGAGCATCGCATGAAAAAGTTAACACAAGTTATTTTTATTTTCCATGATATAGAATGGTGTAATTTCTAGAAAAGTGACAGTTCTCCTTTTAAATCCAGAAGGTTTTCCTGGGGTGTGACTTGTCATATCGGTACCAGAGTTAGACAAATCCCTTGCTACTATGAGTGTCCTGGCAGATTGTCCATCATACATGATGTCTGGCCCTTGGTGTCTGCGGTGGGTTTTGTGTAACTCTGTACACTTCTGGAATACCAATACCATATTCTGTGCCTAGAGGAATGCTGCAGCTGCATTAGGACTGAGCATTAATGCTTACAACGTGCAGTTCATATCTCTGTGATTGCAGTATTAAAATGTAAGCTGACTTCTTAAAGTAGAAAAATATGTTTTCTGTTCATTTGTAAATTATCTATCAATAGTAACAAACAAATAGCAGTTATTGTTTTTAATATTTTCCCTCCCCTGTGTACACTTTAACCTGCTTTGTGGCTTATTTGCACTGCAGTCACGTACATGATTCCAAGCAAGGGCCCATGCCTGACTGAGCCTGGACTAGTCCTGATGTGATATTGATCTCTTGTTAAAACAAGCTGAGTATATTCAGCCGACAGTGGATACTGCTGCTGTATTTTGAAAAAGGATTTCAGTAGTGGAGCACATTTACATAGTAAGACCAAATTCACATTGCTTCTTTGTATTTCTTCCTACCTTAGGCCATCGGTACCCCATTCTGCTGCTCAAGTTATCCAGCAAGTATTAGTCTCAGTGGGGTCGGCACCAGCTAAGCAGGTAATGCATTATTTTCTTCATTAACGGTCACATTTTGTTAATTTTTCTTGAAGCCATCAAATTCTTCACATATACATATTGTACGGAAGCCGTGATAGGCCAAAGTATTGTTGCATGTGTGTATATTTTTTTTTAATGTTATTGTTGAATCATACTCCTATTACACTGTATTTAAAAAGGTCAGCCTTTAAACATTTCAATATTCTTCTACGTGCTTCTGATATCTAAGCACAGGTGGCTTAAATAGTAAAAAGTAAACACACAGTTGTTGAACTACAACTCCTTAAACCAAAATGCAGATCTCCAGTAGTCGTAGAGCGGAATCTTCCTTGATGCAGTGGGGATTGCTAAGATATTGTCAGTCTGTTAAAATGGGTTTAGATGCATGTTCCTAGTTTCCATCACATTTGTCGATAATTTGAAGGAAAACAAAATTCAGTCACCTGAATCGATATATGTTGATAGTCTGATAAACATTCATTATCTGTGTGACCTTTACTGCAAAACTCCCCCAGATGAGTTAAAGTTGAAGCTTAGAAAGGTCACCTTCAGTGGAGCAGACGTTTAGAATAATGAGAAAGTGTTGTAATCTTTCCTGAACCTAGAGATCTCACAGACTTGCTGCAATCCTTCAGCTCATCCCTGGGATAAGTGTTGATCAATCATACTTCATGACTAACAATAATTCTTCCTTCTTTCTAAGGCGCCACCTGCTGGTGCTATAAAGATGCAATCTGCTCCTGTGTTACCTGGCAGCATCGCTCTACCAGGACAGGGTTCTGCACCCAGCAAACCTCCAGGTGAGTTTGGTTTGTATCTCTGTAGCAGATTAGCAACATAGGCCTTTATGTCCATTCACTGGTTCCTTTTAGACCACAGGACACCTTACTTTAACACCTATAGTGCTAGAGTGGGTGAGACAAGGAAACCCACAATTTAGCAGTTTTTCTGTTAGAGCGGTTAAACCTGTGTTAGAGACCAGCAATGTGCAACACTTCCAAGCATTTAACAAACCCGTGTAATATTTAGAGTAGAGACCGAGAGCCTGTTAGTGACAAGTAAGACCAGGAGAAGTCTCTGAGTCCACAGAATAGATGTATATGCTGCCGCTATTCAGATCTATGCCGATATTTAGTTGAAGGGGGATAAGCAGGAGGAAATATGTAAATAGATTTTTAGGGCAATATACATTTGGTAGCAAACTAGCACAATATATAGATTGTCTGTCTACTAGCATTTTTTGGCTTTGTGTACCTTGATAAAACACCTAACAATGAACTGTATTGTTTTTAAAGGAACACTCTTAACATTAGAAGTAAGTCTACTTATTTTTGAATGTTGCTTTTTTTTTGGTGCTGATTTTTTTTAATTTATAATGAAGGTCCCCTCTCCCCTGGTATAAAAAATATATACACCAGTAGAGAAGATGACCAGCACTCAAGGATTCCAATAAGTAGTTAAAAGTTATAAATTTATTAATCCATCATTAAAAAGCTGCTCCACGTTTGGGACTTTCATCAGGAACAATGTCCCAAACGTGGACTGAAATGTTGAGCAGCTTTTTAAAGATGGATTAATAAATTTATAACTTTTAACTACTTATTGGAATCCGTGAGTGCTGGTCATCTTCTCTACTGGTATGTGCAATCTCCCCCAGACTTCAAGCACCCGGTTTAATTATTTTGAAGCCAGAGTGCAAGGACATTGTGGATTACAAGAAAGTTTTATGGTGATAAATATAAATATTTATATTTATCACCATAAAACTTTCTTGTAATCCACAATGTCCTTGCACTCTGGCTTCAAAATAATTAAACCGGGTGTTTGAAATCTGGGGGAGATAGCACATACCAATAGAGTTTATTTATTTAATTTATATTTATATTTATCACCATAAAACTTTCTTGTAATCCACAATGTCCTTGCACTCTGGCTTCAAAATAATTAAACCGGGTGCTTGAAATCTGGGGGAGATAGCACATACCAATAGAGGAGATGACCAGCACTCACGGATTTCCAAGCAGTGATTAAAAAGCTATACATTTATTAATCCATCTTTTAAAAAGCTGCTTCAACGTTTCAGTCCACGTCTGGGACTTTCATTTTTTATATATATATATATATATATATATATATATATATATATATTCACCATAAAACTTTCTTTTTTTCGAATTTGAATTTTATTGACTTTTTCGAGTATGCGAACTTGGGGGGGGGGTGGGATACAGAAAGGAAAGGGGGGGGAGGGGGGGAGACAGGTTATCAGCATTCGTGTTTAAGCAGTTGTGCAGGTAGACAGTTATACCATTATACCAATATACCATTATACAATTATACGTGGGCTCCCAGGTATATGTATATTTCCCCGCTATTCGCCATTCGCATGTAAACGGTTGTACGGTTATACAGTTATACCCTTATACCATTATATCATTATACAATTGTGCATGGGCTCCTAGGTATATTGACATTTCCCCGCTATGCGGTTGACAAAGGTTTTCTCTGGCGTATCTCCCACTACGTGTTGCCTTTTGTGGGCCCTGGTGGGTGGTTTGCTTTCTGCCCACTAGTGTGGCTAGAGCTTATCTACAGCTTCCCGCTGTCGTGCTAGCCTTCCAAGTCTTGTGTGCCTCAAGTATATGAGTGCGTTTCCCAAATTGTGCCGCTGTCATGAGTTCGTACTCCCAGTTTTGTTCTACCTGTTTTATCACATCCTGGATAGTGGGGGGTATTGTTTTTTTCCACAACCGGGATATCGTCAGGTTTGCTGATATGAGTGTGTGATAGAGAATCGTCCTAATGTGCTTCGGAATGCCCTTGGGCAACATAAACAAGATGCATGTTTGTGGGTTATCTAACCTGGGTGTCGGATGTATTTTTTGTAAAAGTTGGATCACCTCCTTCCAAAATGGGCTAAGTGTGTCGCAGGACCACCAGATATGTAGCATGGTCCCCACCTCTCTCCCACATCTCCAGCATTTGTTGGTGGTGTTTGGCCACATCTTTTGGAGTTTGTCTGGTACTAAGTACCAGCGGTACAATAGTTTGCGTTGTAGTTCTAGGTGTGTGTGGCATGCTGTGAGTCCCTGGTGCGCCAGATATGCCCGGTCCCATGTGTCTTCTGGAAACGTCTGTCCTAGCTCTTGGTGCCACGCCTGTTTGATCTTATCTAGTGTTTGTGTTCGTGTTGCTATCAGCTCCTGGTATCCCCATGATAGGGTTTTCCCCAGTGTCTTTTTGCCCACACAGTGTTTTTCAAGTCTCGTCATATTCAGTTCATCGTCCCATTTGTCTTCAGCGTCTAGTTTACTTGAGACGTAGGACTTTAGTTGCATGTAAGAGAATATGACCTTATTGGGCAGTGTGTATTCCTCCTGGATTGCCGGTAGTGATTTCAGTCGCCCCCTGTCTATCACCTGATATATATGGTGTATCCCCCCTTTCACCCATGTCTCCCACGGGAAAGTTGGGATGTCCAGCCCTACTGTTTGGATTGGTGTGGCCATGGGAAGCTTTTGCTTTGCCACCAGTTTATCTCTTATTTTGTGCCATATTTGTAGAAGGGTCTGGGTGCTGGGCAAAAGTTTGTCCCGGGCGTGCCTAGGGCAGTTTCCTTGCCATATCAGTGATCGTAGGTCCCGCCTGGGTGCCCAGTGCGCTTCTATGGCTACCCATTGTGGTGCCTTGGCGGGGAGGTTTATTTGTGCATAAAACTTTCTTAATCCAGCGTCAGGACAGACTCCTCAGAGCTGCTGTGCTCAGCCTTCTGTGAAGTTATCAGTTCTGATGGCTTGTTCAATTCAATGCTTCTCATACAGAAACATTGGAGACATAGATCGCATTACTTGTAGTCGCTTCTCTCTATCCAAATCTTCTCAGAGTGAGAATCATTTAATAGAATATAAACTTTCAGCTTCCTTGTGCTGTGCCTGATCCAAAATGTCTAGACCTTTTAAAACGTCTAGAGAAGTTTCAGCTCCTCATTCCTTTATTCCATTAAATGTTAACGCAGTATAGGTAAGTTTAAAAAAAAAAAAAAATGTGGTTACCTTTGCCAGCCCAGGATGCTTCTGCTTGCGCACTTTGGCGCCTAATGTAGAAATGCTGTACCCCTACATGCCCCGTTGTCTCAAGCAGTCTTAAGTATCATATTACAAAGCATGGAAGTTAAAGTAAATAATTAACACAATCAATAGCTAAATCTAGGTTAGCTATTGTGTTGTGTTTAAATTTAGGTGACACAGTTCCTCTCTTAGGAGAAAGTGCCTCTAGTGGCTGTCTGACCGGCACTAAAAGGCATGTTATTGGACATATGTAAACGTTGCTTTTTCTCAGGAATGGCAATGTTTTTGTTTGTCCGAGTAAACGAAGAGCATTTTTTTTTTTACCAAAACCAGTACATTAAGATATAGGGGTTTTGGTGATTTGAGTGTTCCTTTAAGTGAGTCCATAAGTAATATATTCTGACTACTGAACATATGTCTCTATGCATCTGTAAGACATTTCCTGTGACTTTGGGGTGTTACATTTAAACTTTTCTTTCCAGGGCAACCTTTTCCAAAATCTGAAACTCCACCTGTCCCTCCAGCTGTCAGTACCACGTCTGCCACAGCTTCACAGTCAAGCAAGCCATTTTCGTTTGCAGGTCCAAGGTAAAAGCATGACAGTATATCTATTTTTATTGTCAATCTATTATGTTTGACTACTTTTGCCTTTAATTTTATTGAAGCTACAGTTTTGGTTTTCTGATGATGATCATTCGATTTAACAGATTATTTTATTGGACGTATTCTAGCAAACAATTGGAACTTTTGTTCCATTCACGCTCCATGTACCTGATGCAATTTTAATTGACATTTTTTTTTCTGATCACTCCTTATACACTCCTGCATGACATTATCACTCTCTTGTGTTGAAAAAGCATATCATTTAAAAGTATTTTTTTGAAACGGTAACATTTTACTATCTGTCTATTTATAATGCATGTTCTAAAAATCAACTGCATCAATGGCAACAATAATAATACTGTGGCTCAATCACTTTTCCTTATTATTAACCTGCCTATAAATCACTCCTTATACACTCCTGCATGACATTATCGCCCTCTTGTGTTGAAAAAGCATATAATTTAAAAGTATTTTTTTTTGAAACGGTAACATTTTACTATCTGTCTATTTACAATGCATGCTCTAAAAATCAACTGCATCAATGGCAACAATAATAATACTGTGGCTCAATCACTTTTCCTTATTATTAACCTGCCTTCCTGTTTTCTTGCTATACAGTTCGGGATTCAGTTTTGGTGGCGTCACCCCAGCATCCTCTTCTTCATCCAACTTGGGAGGCAGCACTGCAGGTAACTGAAAAAATTAGGTAGGGCTGGAATGGAAAAAAAAAAAAAAAACACAAGGGAATTATATTCTGACTTTACAGATTATGTTGTTCTAACAATTATTACTCTAATTCTGACATATTGCTGATTGAATGGACCACTTTAGGCACCCAAGCCACTTTATCTAAATGAAGTGGTCTGGGTGCAGTAATTCTGTTCTTTTAGTCCTGCAATGTAAAACATTGCCATATTGTAGATGTGTTAATGTTTACATTGCAGGGCTAAACACACCACAATTCGCTGTCTTCCTGGCAGCCATTAGAGGTGCTTCTGCTGTTATAACAGTCATAAAGTCCTCTAACGCTGATCCTATGGGCAGTATGGGCAGTATTTTGATTGGGCCATGTTTGTCGTCCCCAATGCTTCTCTATGAGGCAGAGCACGAGTGAAAATATGTGCTGGGGAAAAAAGGTAAATTAAAATCCTTTTTTCTTTTCTTACTGGTTTTAAGTTAGGGGGTCCTAAATCTAAATTGGTAGTAGAACACTAAAACTTTAGGAATATAGGTTTGTAGTAAAGGGAACACTCTCACTACAGCCTGATGTACTGGTTATAGAGCCAGGAGTGCCCTGGTGCCTCTCATAGGGGAAGTATTTTAAATCTGTGATTTACAACTTACCTGAGGATTTGGTTATAGGGTTTGGAGCAAACTCTAGTGGTTATTCTGACTGGAGGGTTACTAGATCTGTTATTAGAGTCTAACTCTTGCATCACTATGATGGATATAAAATTCTTAACTGTTTTATAATAAGGAAATGATGCACATCCAGTTGTTGATAAACCACTTGTGTTTTTTTCTGTTACAGGTTCTTCAGATCCATCCCGGGATCCTAACCAGTCCTCACCTTTTACATTTGGAAGCAAGCCTGTTTTTGGTTCTGGATCTCTTGGATCATTTTCCTTTTCATCTGTTAAGTCTGCAACTCCGTCAACTATTACAGATACTGCTGCCATACCACCCACTTTCCAACTTTCAGCACCTGCTGCTGCTGGTCTAGCTGCTTCTTCCACTACTGGGGAAAAGTCGGAAGCCACAGCAACCAAACAAGGGGATGGTCTTTTTCAGACTTTTTCGGGTGGAGAGACACTGGGGAGCTTCTCAGGTTTAAGAGTAGGTCAAATTGAAGAAAGCTCAAAGCCAGATAATTTAAAAGCAACAACCTCCACTCAGCCAGCTAAGTTGCCTAGTGCTACCCCTGTGTTTGGTACTGGGGGTGGACTTCAAATTTCAAAGCCTGCCGAAGTATCTTCCAGCACTAGTAGTGCCCCAGGCACTCTTTTTGGTAGCTTGCCATTAGCAGGTGCTGGATCTTCAGCCAGTTTATTTAGTTCTGGTGCTAGTAAGCCAAACTTCTCTTTTCTTAGTCCATCAAGCACAGTTGCTGCTGCAGATTCTTCATCTGGAACAACAGCTTCAGCAACTCTGTCATTTCAGAGTCTCCTAGCACCTGCCACCTCAGCCCAGTCTTCTGCAGCTTCCAGCCCTGCAAACCAAACTGAATCGTCTTCTACACCTGCAGCCTCTACATTTGCATTGTCCAGTCTTTTGGTCCCTTCTCCTGCAGATGTCAGTTCCAGCACTCTGGAAGTAAAGCAACCTTTCAAATCTGATAAACTTGTCAGTGAACCTGCAGCTCCTCCTCCTCTTCAGCAGCAAAACCCATCATTTCCCACAAGTGAGGGAGATAAAGAACAAACTCCAAAACAAAATCTTGTAGCAGGAGCCAGTACAACCCCATTTGCTCCTGTTGCTGCCTCTATCATTCCTACTGCTCAGTCAGCAGCTGTGACCAAGGAAGATGCAGCTCCTATCCCCTCTCTCCCTGCCACAGTGAGCTCTGGCCAAGTATCAGCCATCGCATCTGAAGTACTCAGTCCTTCAGCACCTGTAAATACATTGTCTGCAGTACTCTCCACCCAAACACCAGCTCCCGTTACATCTTCTCCTCCGGTTGCACCGAACAATCCACCTACGGCACCTCCACCAGTAGGGTCCACGGCCTCAAGTTCTGCATTTGGTCAACAAAGTGTTGCATCGTCCACTCCAGCTGCACTACCAGCTTTTGGCCAAGCACCTGCATCTAGTTTGGCACCCACGCCCTTTGCACAACAAAGTGGAAATACAACAAGCACCGCAGCAAATACTACCACGGGTTTTGGAACAAATGCTTTTGGACTAGCAGGTTCAACAGGAGCCGGCTTTGGACAGCCTTCCTTTGGCCAGGCACCAGCTTATTGGAAAACACCAGCTTCCAACTCTGCTAGTAACTTCTCTTTTGCCCCATCAAGTTTTGGCACACAGCCTGCTTTTGGCCAGCCTCCAACATCTACTGTAGCTGCATCGAGTACTGGTGCCCTTTTTGGAAGTTCCGTGAGCTCTAACAGCGCTACCACTTTTGGGCAGCAGTCAGCTAGTGCCAGTACTCCCACTGCTGGAGGAACGGGACTGTTTGGGCAGAGTACCACTCCTGCTTTTGGGCAGAGCTCTGGCTTTGGGCAGGCTGCGCCAGTGTTTGGTAATGCAAGTTCCTCAACGACAACCACCTCATTTGGTCAGTCATCCGGTAAGGACCATTTTATTTCTCCTTTAGTTTCCCTCACTTGAACTCCCATGCAGAAAATGTAAATTCAACTTTAATCACACACAGGAGGCTCCTGCAAAAAGCCATTCAATGAGCAGGAGACAAATTCTAAATTAAACACACTGTGTTGTAAAGGATGTTTAAATATTAGATATCTTTACAGGATGTGTTTAGGAAGGCTGTGTGAATCACAGGTAGGGAGGTGTGACTCGTACTGCATAAACATAGTGATTTAACTCCTAAATGGCAGTGAATTGAGTGGTGAGGCTGCAGGGAAGTGATCTATAAACCAAAACGACTCCATCAAGCTAAAATTTGTTTTGTGCTTATAGTATTTCTTCACTATAGGCACCCAGACCACTTTAGCTTAATGAAGTGGTCTGGGTGCCAGGTCCATCTAGGTTTAACCCTTTTTGCTGTAAACATAGCAGTTTCAGTGAAACTGCTATGTTTACCTATGGGTTAATCCAGCCTCTAGAGCCTCTCTCTGACAGCCGCTAGAGGCGCTTCTGTGATTTTCACAGGGAGAAGACGCCCATAGCATTGAGAATGCTTTCCTATGAGACTGGCTGAATGCGCGCTGCATTTGCTGCGCATGTGCATTCAGCCGATGACGGGAGGAGAGTCCCAGCGCCGAGGGAGCCCGTCGCTGGAAAAGAGGTAAGGGATTGATCCCACAGACTGCCGAGTATTTTAAAGACTTTATCCCACAGACTGCCGAGTATTTTATAGACTTTATCCCACAGACTGCCGAGTATTTTATAGACTTTATCCCACAGACTGCCGAGTATTTTATAGACTTTATCCCACAGACTGCCGAGTATTTTATAGACTTTATCCCACAGACTGCCGAGTATTTTATAGACTTTATCCCACAGATTGCCGAGTATTTTATAGACTTTATCCCACAGACTGCCGAGTATTTTATAGACTTTATCCCACAGAATGCCGAGTATTTTATAGATTTAATCCCACAGACTGCCGAGTATATTATAGATTTTATCCCACAGACTGCCGAGTATTTTATAGACTCCCGAGTATTTTATAGACTTTATCCCACAGACTGCCGAGTATTATATATCCATAATTACTCCATCTAATATTTGACGTTTCTTTTGTTTTGTTTTTAATTATATTTATTGTATTTTGTATTTTATTGTTCTATATTTATTTTGTTTGTAATATGTTTTTCCCACTTTCTCCACTCCTGGCATTTTAAGGGTATATTACCCTTTTTTCAGATGGTGCCTATTCTGGTCAAACCTATTTCACCATTTAATGTATTTGTAGATTAGGCCTTGGGATCATTTGTCTGTATATCTGCCAGTCACAGCCTGCGGTTTCTTTAGTTCAACTGAATAGTTGCCATAATTTTACTTAACTAGTAGTTGTTAGATAGTCACCTCATGGTGCAATCTCCATTGTTGCCAAGGGAAATTATATTTATATCAAGGTGATACAGACATTTTATTCAATTATAATAAAAAAAACACCGGACAGATAATACATGTAGCTTTAAAACTGTTACTGCAAATCAGGTTAATGATGATCTTCTCTCTTCTTCAGGTTTCACCACAAACCCGGCCGGATCATTGTTTGGCCAGAATCAAAATCAAAGCACAAGTGTGTTTGGTCAGGTATGGAAGTGCATCAGATTTCTGTACAAAGACCTAAATAACTTGAACCAGGAAACTTAACAAGTATAATTAGAAGCATGTTAGCTGCACACTATCCCAAATCCCTGTGCATATTTTAATAACTGGAGGTTTATAGTATCACTCCAATGGCCATTAGGTGTAAGCCCACCTGCCACTTCAAGGCAAACCTTATAGGGTTCACCTGGCTTGCTTCAGCTTCAGGCAAAGAAATCTGAGACAGAAAGGGGTATTTTTCTAAACCCCCTACTTACTTACTAGCCCTTAATAGGGTACACATACGGTGGGTATCCAAAAGCAAATGCAAATATACAAAGATAAGTTCTGCCCTCCAACTCACTCTACTCCTGGACTTATCCTTGGCTTCCACCTAATGGCCATTGGAGTGATACTAACAACCTCCAGTTATTTATATATGCCCAGGGATTTAGGATAGTGCGCAGGTAACTCTCTTCCTCTTTTCTTTGTTTTTTATTTTTTGTATTGGGGCTGATGTGTATTATGGACATTGTGTATACCAGCATTTTCAATATAAAAATCAACAATTTATTGGCATTTTATTGCACAAAAATCCATACTAAAATAATTCAATAAAAGTATGCATATATAAAAACAAAATACTAGCAGTATAATATAGCAGGATCCTGACAGAGATCGGCTTTCTCCTCCGGCTATTCGGAACAGCAGGGAATCTCCGGCGTCTGTAGTGACGCAAGTTCGTATACACAATATAGATTAAGAAACAGTGCACTCCGCTTCCCTTTTGTTTTTACTATTATAATACCATCTGTTTGATAGCAGTAATAGAAAATATGAGAGCTATGTATGTATATTCTAGAAATTACATTTATTCCTGATATTTCCTTCAAAGTGACCCCCTGACATTTTTATTGAGGACAATGGTCAAGCCACATAAATATCTTTTGTTCACCGTGGCAGAGAGTGAATATGTGATGTCAGCCATGTTTTTCGTCATTTAACATTCTGCCATTTGTATTCTCAGTCACCTTCCTCTAGTGGAGGTTTGTTTGGCGCCAGCACCGGCACTGGGAGTGGTGGCGGTTTCTTCAGTGGACTGGGAGGTAAACCAAGTCAGGATGCCGCAAACAAGAACCCCTTTGGCTCATCCACACCCACATCCACAACCAGATTCAGATTCTCCAGCAGTCCTAGTGAGTTGTCTTTTTTTTTTTTTTTATCCATCTTCACATAACACTAAATCACCTATTGCTTTAAAATACATCTTGGCTTAGAAAATTTAATTGTGTGAATCAGTCATATGTGTGATATAATGCAATCAAATCTGTGAGCATTTTCTTTCACGACTTTATAAAAAATCCCAAATCTCATCTTTACACAATATACAGTGTGTGGAGCAAGTCTCTTACTAGTGTTTCTATGACTGTCTCACTTTAGCCTAGTCTTTCTATCACTTTATAGATGTTCAGTGTGGGCAATCAAGTGAGAGAGAAAAGCTGTCTAGTGTTGGTTTAGTTTGAATTAAGTGCTTCCTTGAACATTTCAGTTTCAGGCACCATGAAAGTCTGAAACATCCTGGATTTACAAAAATGTGTTTATATAATTCTTTCCTAGTGCTGTGGGCATATTTGCAGCAATTCTTTACATCTCAGTCTGGGAATATAGTCAGTCACGCACCTAAGACTTTTGTTTAGGTATCAGCATGTATGAAACACTTACAAACCAACATATAATTCCTAAAATGTTTGTTACCTTTCTGTTTCCTTTCTAAGACAGTGAGTTTGCAGTGCTTTGTTTTGTACAAGAGCTTCCTTGCTAACTGCAGCATAATTCAGTATCCCTCTCCATATAGTTAATGGTAAGAGGTGCCCTGCATTGTAGGTGTTTACATGCGCTTGCAGAGAGGCTGAGGTTTTCAGATCTGCATGGTGCTCTCACCTTCCATTTATTTTGAATATAGCGTCTGTTTTAGAGCCCTATTTCCAACATGCCCTGCATGGCATATTGTCACCAATGAAATATTTAACACAACATTTTAAAAAAAATTGTATTCATCAGTAGAGCATGAAAGACTATTTTTCATTCTGAATAGTATTTTGTTTTATGTGTTATGTATTATCAGTATATTTGACCTCCTTGTAATAGGATTGGATATTTAATGCACCCACCAAGTCTTTCCTGATTTCTATGCCAACTGTAAGATGAAATCCATACATTTAAATGAAAGCTAATTAGCCACAGGATCAAAAATAACTCAAATACATTTTTGTTAGTATTTGCATTTGTATAGCGGCAGCATATTCTGAATCTCTTCACAATTGTAGAATGGGGATGTTTGACAACATGTTGACATACATATAACATACAGACTGTTAAGAGATAAGAGGTGACGAAGGCCCTGCTAAATGAGCTAACAATCCATGAGGAATGGGTAAAGAAACACAAAAGGAGTAACGGCATGTCAGAGTGTAGGAGAGACTGCCGAATAAGATGCCTGTGTCAAAATACACTATTAAATGTAAAGGGTGGAAGGAGAGCGTGTGAACTGAGCTATGGTGACAAGGTAACTGTGAAGAGCAATTGTAATGAGAGAAGTGTTACCCAGGATGATTGTAGGTTATAGGTGTTTGACTGCGTGAAGGACGGGAAGTTATGGGAGAGTCTGATGACACTGGCTAAGGAATTCAACAGGAATGGGGCATCCCATGAACGTTCTTTGTGTGGGAGCAAGCAGATGAGAGTAGAAGGTTGAAGAGAACAAGGAGGGGTATATTTGTTGAGTGAACAGGAAATATAGTGAGGGTGGAGTTAGTGATGACTTTGTTGGATAGTATTCGCAGTTTAATCGGATCCGGAAGCATACCTGAAGCCAATGTCATGATTGGCAAAGGACTGAGGTGTGGGAGTAGTGGTCAGCCAGGAAGATGAGCCTGGCAGCAGCATTCATTACAAGCCAAAATGGGACAACGCAAGTATTTGGATGGCTGATGAATAGTGAGGTGACCCATTGAAGTGCATGGAGATAGGTGGAAGTCAACTTTTGGAGGGGGGAAAAAGTAAGTTTAGTTTTAGAAAGTTTAAAAAAAACAAAACAGGGAGACATCCAGTTAGAGATTGAAGAGAGTGAGGCTGTTATGTATTCAAGAAGGGGAGGAGAGAGGTCAGGGATGGTGAGGTACATCTGAGTAGCATATAGATGGTATTGAAATCCAAAAGAGTTAATAAGGTTACAGGAGAGATGCAGTGTAAATAGAGAATAAAAGAGGGCCAAGAACAGAGCCTTGGGAAATCAACAAATAACATGCAATTTTCAAAATGACAGAATACACAATGATTTAATAAAGGGATACTATAGGTGTAACCGATGCTGGTTCCCCTATTTACCACTATAACGTCAAAACCTCTTTACCTTAATGAAGAAGTCTTTGTGTAGACCATGCCTCTGCAGTCTCACTGCTCAATTCTATGCCATTTAGGAGTTGTCACTTTTGTTTCTGTTTATGCAGCCCTAGCCACACACCAGCTGTGACTGACACAGCCTGCATGAAAACAAAATGGTTTAATTTTCAGTCAGATGTTTTTTATCTCCAGCTCTGTTTTTCTGAAATTCTACATTAAACAGACTGTGCAATAAAGGAAGTATAAACATTAGCTCTCTCTTTACAGGAAGTGTTTAGGAAGGCAATGCCAGTCACATGCAGCGACTACGGCTGCATGAACAAAGTGACGCCTAAATGGCAGAGAATTGATCAGTGAGACTTCAGGGACATGATCTATACACCAAACCTAATTCATTAAGCTAAAGTTGTTTGGTGCCTACAGTGTCCCTTTAATTACTGCGCAACATTCTTGTGGCTTTTTGTTTTTATGTTTTTTTAACACTGTAGGAAAAGTTTTATTTTAACTGGGCTCAAAGATAGCCTACCAAATACTGTGTTCTCCCGGCTTTCCAAATCTGGGTTGACTGTCAAATATGTTTCCTCTCCTTTTTCCTGCATGCTTCTAATCAATGGAGAAGAAAATATGTCAACATCTTAGCTATTTTGTGTTTAATGTCTGACTTATAATAAAAAAAAAAAAAGTAACACAAACATAACTTACTTGATCCTGACTTCATACAGATGGTTACTCAGGTTACCTACTACTTTTGTAAGCCTTGCTTCTTCGATATGGGAACCCACATTTACTGTCAAATGGTTACAAAGGCACAAAAACATGTTGGTTACCCCACTAAGTTATCCCTCTTGACGGGCATGCAGCCTGGCCAGGAATTGGTGCCAGGGAAGGACTGGCTCACTGTGAAATGTCTCCATGGGCTGCCATATCCTAAGGCTGGCAGATGTCACAGTAGGCGTCGGGTATAGGGAGGTGCGAGTAGCAGCATAGTCTCCTCGCTATGCGCCGAGTTGAAGGTCGATGAGATACAACATGATGTCACATCCTGGCGTCTAACAGTCATGCATGAATGAAAGAAAAGTGAAGGGGGCAAGCTGCAGACCGAGTTATGGACCAGGCAGGATGCTGGTAATATGAAATATGCAATGGGACAGCGCAGTATGTTGGTCAATAATATGTAGTTTGTGTATAAATGGTTCAGTGTGTCAGCGAATGTCTGTCTGTGTGTGGATCAGTAATTATGTGTTACAGTTTGTGTGCATCAAAGAAAGTGTGTTTGGGTCAGTGAGAAAGCAAACTTTGATTGAAAGCAAATTTTACTTAATATATGGGATTTCTGAGAGAATAAATGCATTTATGTTAGTATATGCATCCAAAACTCATATATTGTAGAGAATAAAATCTGAATCTTACTACTTTAAAAAAAATAAAGCCAGCACTGACCATACACACACACACACACACACTAACTACTTACAGCCAGCATACATCAAACACATTACATATAGCCAACAAACACATACAGACCCTTATTACATACAGTCAGCACACACATTTCATCCAGCCAGTACACACATTAGATGCACACACCACACATACACAATTACATATAGCCAACACACATATACCAATTACATACAGCCAGGACACCTCTCCCACACATACTATATAGCCAGCACACACCACGTATACACTACATAAAACCAGCACACACCATACACATGTTACATGCAGCCAATACACATCACACATGTTACATGCAGCCAGCACACAGACAACACACACACACACTATATACAACCAACAAACACACTCATACCTATTACGTACATTCAGTACACACAAATTACATACAGCCAACACACACATGCTACATGCAGTCAGGACACACCACACACACATATTACATACAGCCAGCACACCGCATACGAACATTACATACAGCCAGCACACATGACACATGTAATATACAGCCAGCACACACCACAAACACACCCATTGCATATATATATTCAGCTCACACACACACGCAGTTGCATACATTCAGATTTATTTTGTGAAAATTTGAAGTTTATCACATTAACCTGTCAATGGCTCTCGGCAGGGGCTCCTATCTTTGTAATTGAAATTATTTTGTGTCAAGGACAAGTTGAATAGTCATGACAGACAAGTAGATTGGGCTACCAATTCAACACTCCTGGACTACTGACACTCTAAGGACTTGTTTGAAGCTGGGACCTTTGTCACATTTTCAATACTAACAGTTAAAAAAACCAATTTGTTTAGTTAGCGACACTAGCTCACAGTGTGTTTCTTGTTATTAAGTTACAGCTCTTGTTTCCTTGTTTCTCACTTTCCTTTTTTCTTTGTTACAGACGGCAACAGTCTGTTTGGGAACAGCGGGGCCAAGGCATTTGGCTTTGGCAGTTCAGCTTTCGGGGATCAAAAATCCTCTGGGACATTCAGTGCAGGCGGAAGCGTGGCAAGTCAGGGCTTTGGGTTCACAAGTCCCACCAAGACAGGTATAGTAGCTCTGTGACAAATTGACTGCCTTGAGGGCAGTAACCATCTTACTGTCTCATCGTATGTTGGTCAGATCAAACTTTCTCAGCTGATCGTAGAGACCAGGTCACACTGCCTCACCAGATCACGCAGGCCGCTGTTGCGCTGCCTTGCCTGATGATGCAGACTAGGGTGGAGCTGCCTGGCCAGGTGATGAAGCCAGTGGTTATGCTGCCTGGCCAGATCATACAGGCCAGGGTCACGCTACCTCACCAGATAATACAAGCCAGGATCAGGCTGCTTCGCCAGGTGATGCATGCCAGGATCGGGCTGCTTTGCCAGGTTATGCATGCCAGGATCGGGCTGCTTTGCCAGGTTATGCATGCCAGGATCGGGCTGCTTTGCCAGGTTATGCATGCCAGGATCGGGCTGCTTTGCCAGGTTATGCATGCCAGGATCGGGCTGCTTTGCCAGGTTATGCATGCCAGGATCGGGCTGCTTTGCCAGGTTATGCATGCCAGGATCGCGGGCTGCTTTGCCAGGTTATGCATGCCAGGATCGCGGGCTGCTTTGCCAGGTTATGCATGCCAGGATCGCGGGCTGCTTCGCCAGGTGATGCATGCCAGGGTTGGGCTGCTTCGCCAGATGATGCATGTCAGTATCGGGCTGCTTTGCCATGTGATGCAGGCTGGGTACGCACTGCCTCTCTAGATGATGCAAGTCGGGTTCGTGCTACCTCGCCAGATGATGCAGGACGGGTACGTGCTGCCTCGCTAGTTTATTCAGGTCGGGTTCGCGCTGCCTCGCCAGATGATGCAGGTTGGGTTCGCGCTGCCTCGCCAGATGATGCATGCCAGGGTTGGGCTGCTTCGCCAGATGATGCATGTCAGTATCGGGCTGCTTTGCCATGTGATGCAGGCTGGGTACGCACTGCCTCTCTAGATGATGCAAGTCGGGTTCGTGCTACCTCGCCAGATGATGCAGGACGGGTACGCGCTGCCTCGCCAGAAGATGCAGGACGGGTACGCGCTGCCTCGCCAGAAGATGCAGGACGGGTACGTGCTGCCTCGCTAGTTTATTCAGGTCGGGTTCGCGCTGCCTCGCCAGATGATGCAGGTTGGGTTCGCGCTGCCTCGCCAGATGATGTAGGTCGGGTTTGCACTGCCTCGCCAGTTTATGCAGGTCGGGTTTGCGCTGCCTCGCCAGTTTATGCAGGTCAGATTTGCGCTGCCTCGCCAGATGATGCAGGTCGGCTTTGCGCTGCCTCACCAGATGGTGCAGGTCGGGTTTGCTACCTCGCCAGATGGTGCAGGTCAGGTTTGCTGCCTCGCCAGATGGTGCAGGTCGGGTTCGAGCTGCCTCGGTCACGCTGTCTCGCCAGATGACACTGCATGTTATATCCTTGTGTTATTAACATTTTAGTTTTAAAAGTTATTAGTTTTATTCATGCAATGCAATTAAAACAGAACAGCATAAATTCTTATTGTACAAAATAAATAAATAACTTTGATAGTTATTCATCTCCTGGCCTACAAAAGCTCCTGGTTTGGACAGATGAGAGAAATTCTTCAGGAAAGCACACAATTGCTTTGTCCTTATCTTTAAACTAACTAAACTAAAAATCATTAAAGTGAAACTTCAGAGGCATAAACAAAAACAGCCTCATTAAGCTAAAGTTATTTTGGGGACTATAATGTCCCTTTAAGCACTGAGACTTGCACGGTCACCACAATTGCTTCATTAAGCTAAAAAGTTGTTTTAGTGACTATAATCACCTTTTAAAGCTGCTGCCACATTTTCCAGACACAAAATTCACTTTTTAAGTATAATTGGTGAGGTCGTTTATATGATGGAATTAGGTACCAGAGAGCAGAAGAAGAGCGGGTGAGCAATTGTCATAAATATAGACAAGGAATTTACATCTGTAATCATCCTCTTGAGTACAAAATTGGCTGTTGTGATTTTTTTTTGTGGGGGGGTGAGTATTTATTTTGATGATGTTTGTTTTGTGATGATGTCCTGAGACTATCCGTAGTAATGATGTAGTATGGCTTTATTGGGCTCACGCTCAAACTTGTTAATCATTAAGATACTACAAATAATGGATCATGGCTTCAAACCTTTGATGGTCTCCTCTATACTATTGCAATGGAGCGTTGTCTGCGTGCTCTGACATCTCTGCTATTGCCAGATGGCTGCTGTATACATCCAATAGAGTAAAGAAATCCAGTTCATTTAATGCATGGATCAGCTTTAAGCGAACATTCCAACTCTCAGGGAAAACTTGTGCTGTATGATAGATACTTATTAAACTGTTTTGTGCACTGGATGTTGCGTGATCAATATATTTAATAACACGGATGATAACGATAATCTTCCCTATTTGTTTTTTCCCCCAAATCAAATAATTAGAGAAGTTATAGTTCTGCAAAAATTTGAGGGGGGACGGAGCTTGACCACCAAGCAGATTACACGCGTGCTACCAGAGCTTTTGCGTCTAGCACCTATTTTTGCAGCATATTCCCAATCCAAACAACTTTCTGACTGCAGTGGAGCAATTCTCCTGCACCGGGGATGACGGTGCATCTGGGAAAACCTGTCACAAGTTTTCTAGGCACCAGATTGCCTGACTCAAGGTCCTGCGGCCTACAGGTGATAAAGCGGAGGAGAGATGGCTGCTCTCCTAGTGCTTTTCCTGACTGTTTGGCGATCAACACAAGTGCAACAGGCACTAGATTTGATCTTTGAGCGCTTCTGGGCACAACTAGAGTCTCGAATTTTAGCATCACCGTTGCACCAGGAAGGTGAATGGAAAGAAGAGAAGAGAAGCAACGGCTGCAGAAGCCACATCTGGCCGATGCATCATCTAAGACACCTGTGCCTCTTACTAAAAGCCTACCTGGGCTGAAGGCAATTTGGGACATTACCCCATTACATCGGTCACCGCAACGAAGGACCCACCGCTGCACACAGCGGCAGACCACCAAGAGCCTCCATACTCCCTTACCTAAGAAGGCCATGGACTTTGTTCGCACTCATGGCCGTGGCTTCAAGATGCAGGTCTTCCCTCGTGTCTGGGGTTGTGGCGGAGCCCTGCCGCACTACGAGATTATTCTGCTTCACCAAACCAGGGCATTGGCTGGAACTAACGCTACAAAGGGCACGAAGCCCTCTTTACTCAAGGGCTAATACCACCTCTCTGCCCTTCTTAGACCGGGCCGCTGTCACCGTTGACCATGTTACCTACGCTGCTGCTGAATTTATAAAAGATAGTGAAATGCAGTGCTAGGGAGCTATGTTTTTGAGGTCTCTTCTATTCGTGTACCGTTATCTTGTTAAACAGCATTTACTATATGTCCGATACTATATGGCAGATCAAGGGACACGGCCTAACCTATTAAGTTTTTCTTGCATATGGTAGTATATTTTTCACACTGTCTAGCATATCTCTTCTGACAGATTACCTTACCTTTTTTTTTTTTTTTTAATTAGACCGATTTGCCTAACAAGTTTCTTACTCTCCAAGTATTCTAAAATGTGCAGTCTCCTCAGAAATGCTGACCAACTGTACTATGTTGTTCCTTGTACTTGCATGTGCTGTTGGGGTATTGCAAGGTAATTGATGTTATTTTCATGCACAAGAAAAAAAAAAAAACATGACCCAAAAACTTTGAGGAGGCACAATATGACACCCCTGTAGTGGGCATTTTAAGCGGCACTGTCATGCTGAACTTACCTTTCCCTAATCTCTTACTCTTCTCTTCCTCTGTCAGGATCTGTTCATTTCTTCCTGTCTGCTCTAGTTTTCTTTCAAATATAAGACAAAGTAGGGACTATTTTGTCTTATGTATATTTTCTACACCTGACCAGCTATGACCAGCGGAGGAGCAAAGTGTGCTCTATTTCCTGTGGTCAGAGAAAGTTCCCCACAATTTTCACCTTTATTCCGTGATCTTGCGATGCCTCCTTTCACTATTCCCGAGCGTCCTGTCGTTTAGACTGAACACCAGCGAAACTAACAATTTTCGTCCTAACAGAATGAGAACAGATTGTTCATTCATGTTAGACGACAATCGGTACTTTAAGGTCGGTTTGAAGTTTCGTTCTAATGAATGAAATTCCGATCCGTGCTGCAGCTGCATCTTGCAGTCGCTTAGTAGATAGCTCCCTAATTCCCACGGTATCAGGGAGCTATCTACCAAAAGTCTGAAAGACCATGATTGACATAGGCTATTGAACTAAACGGAGGTCCCCCCCATTGTCTTTTAGGGCTCCCACCCGCCGCTCATGCGGGGTTGCTGGGGACTATAGGTCTGTCCCATCCTCCCCATTTTCATTTAGGGCCCCCACCTTCCGCCCATGAGTAGTAGACATCCCCCTACTCGCTGCATAGCGAGTAGGGACATAAGGGAGATTTCAATCTCCCTAATGCTAATATGGGGGTCATATTGAGTGAGGGAGGACGTGGGGGGGTGGCTTAGGAAGTGGCGGGGTGCACAGCTCCCTGCCACTTCTAATTTTACATATTAAATGGAGGAAGCTGCGCAACGGTAGCTCCCTCCTTGCTATAAACTGAAATTTCTATTCATTCCTTTTGTCTTTCTGACAAATTAATGAATATACGAAATTCACGTCCGTTCTTTGGACAATAGCGAATGCCCAAGTGTTTAACTGGGCGTGCATGGGAATTTCACAGCACTATCTAGTGTGGGCAGGTGACAGGGAGCTGTAATGTCAGGAAAACAACTTTGGGAAAATTTTGGGAAGTGACTGTTCCACTTTTGTCTTGCATCGAAGTTCTGTATATGTTTCCGTTATTGCCAACTCTGTTTTTTGTGTGCCTAACATAACATTGATATAATTGAAATGTTTAATGTTTTTTTTTTTTTTTTGTGATATATTATGTTGGAGATATTTTGAAAGTTATGCATATAGCTTAAAAACATACATTTATAGCTTTAGCCTTTTTCATTACTTTTCTCTCACTGCTTTTCCTTGTTTTCATAATTAATCTCCAACTCGTCAGCTGATATGATCAGAAATTCAAAGTGCATTTAAAATTTTCGTTTTAAAAAAAAACTTTTATAATTAAATTTTTGCTAAATGTTTACATCCCATAAACATTAATTGGCAGTACAGTGATACATTCTGTAAGGATATTGGTACTTGAGAGGATGATAGTGTGACAATCTGACATCAATTGGTGATGCAAGCAAAACAAAGTAACGATATAACTTACAACGAGAATAGCAGTCTGGAGAAATTGAAACATGTAGGCAATAAGAGTGCACATAGCAATAAAATGCCTAAAATACTTGTAGTCATTTGAGAGCATGGGGGAAACCGCTTAACCCCTGGCAGCCTCTTACGAGGAAGCCTGTGTTCCAGCAGGAGGCTATAGAAAGGAGACCTATGGTAAATAAATTGGCAGGTACTAATCATAATGTTGGCTGATGAAGTATTTAAAGGATCACTATAGGGTCAGGAACACAAACATGTATTCCTGAGACTATAGTGTTAAAACCACCATCTAGCCCCGCTGGGCCCCTCATGCCTCCCTAAAAATTGCAAAATCTTACTGTATTCAAGCTCGAAGCTGTAATTCTGCATGCTGTTGGCCCCCCAAAAAACAAGCAGTCTGCTGACATAATCAGAGGTGGTAGCTTGATCCAATCACAATGCTTTCCCATAGGATTGGCTGAAACAGATCAGGGGCAGAGCCAGCATGATTCAAACACAGCCCTGGCCAATCAGCATCTCCTCATAGAGATGAATTGAATCAATGAATCTCTATGAGGAGATGCAGAGGGAGGAGATACTGAATGTTTGGATGCATTTTAGGCAGCCATGACCCAGGAAGGATCTCTAACAGCCATCTGAGGAGTGGCCAGTGAAGTTATCACTAGGCTGTAATGTAAACACTGCATTTTCTCTGAAAAGACGGTGTTTACAGCAAAAGGCCTGAACGTAATGATTCTACTCACCAGAACAAATTCAATAAGCTATAGTTGTTCTGGTGACTATAGTGTCCCTTTAAGCTAATAATTTCCACTTTGCCTGTTTAAAATGTTGATGAATCAGGGTCTTGGCAGCATTTAGTAAGTGGGGAAGCAGAGACTACTTATATTTATTTAGGGACATGGAGGTATAATGGAACAGTTAAAGTTCCAAATTTAAAGGAAATTTGGTACCAGTGATTGTGTTAAGTAAAGTTGATAGTTTGGGCCTCTAAGTCTCTCTTTAGTCAAAGTGCCACCATATATGTGTATGAATGTCCAGGTGGGCATGACATCTCTAGCACACCTATTGGAGACAGTGGCGGACGCAAGTGTCAGTGAGAATATTTCCCCCACTCATTCGACGAGCAAGGGGGATTAAGTTCTTTAGACCAGCATTTCGCAAAGAAAATCAATCTCGGAGTTGCTGATTTTGGAGTGATGCGCAAAAAGTAAAGATAACTCACTAAAGCATTTTCAGGCCTCAATAGTCAATCTGGAAAATTTTTATTTCAGTTTGCCTATATTAATCTAAAATTAAATTCACTTTGAAATCCTGGCACTTCATAACAGCAGCAGTGTTCTCTTATTGTGGTATTTCCACAAAAGTCCTTTTAAATACAACACACGGGTAATATTCTAGATTTCATGCACTTCTATAAAGTGCATGAAAAGTAACCTGGTATAATTTGCCCGCTTACTGGCAGTCTATTGGCAGCTTTTAGTAGTTTTCCTTGTAGAGTGTTTAGACGTATTATTGTGTATAGGAACATGCATGTAAATGAACGCTACTTTTAATATGAAATATATTTGTTTAACCCTTTAACTGTTCCTTTAAACTTGTTTTGGTTTTGTTATTGTCATAAAAATGATGTTTTTTTTTGTCTCCCCTTTTTTTTGCCTCTGTTTTGCTCAGGTGGCTTTGGTGCTGCTCCGGTGTTCGGCAGCCCTCCAACTTTCGGGGGATCCCCTGGTTTCGGAGGGGCGCCAGCATTCGGTACAGCCCCAGCATTTTCAAGCCCTCTGGGCTCGACGGGAGGCAAAGTGTTCGGCGAGGGTACGGCTGCAGCTAACACAGGAGGATTCGGGTAAGTAACTCTGCCAGAAAACTAATTTTCTGTCTTTTATTTTATGTTTCCCCTGAGTTTCTGATTAGGCAGTAGTGACGCTTGCCATGGCACCACAAATTAGTTTTTAGACTACATGTCTCCTAATGCTGAATCATTTCTTAAATTCTCTTCTTATCATTGGAAATTAGTTCACTGATATCTGGAATGCTATGATTAACCATTACTATACCATTACTGGTATAAATGCACACTGGTATTCTTATAGAAGTAGGTTCAATCAAAATAAGTTCTGTTTTTCCACTATAATATCAAGAATGCAATCCACCCTTAGAAACAAAAGAGCATACAAAAATCCTAATATTCCTCCCTGCCATCTCTCGCTCTAACAACTCCATCCCCTTGTCTTTTCCATCCAGCCTTCTCTCGCTTCCTGTCCTCCATCTCCCCATCTTTTCCAGAACAAATAGTACAATAAGGATGCGCCCAAAATGGATACTAAAATATATGAACTAAAATAAAATATAAAACAAAGTGTAAAATATAGTATAAAAATTTATAAAAATATAGTTTACAGTTGTCCAAAACTTATCAAAGTCCGTGATGAGTAATCCCACGTAAAAACAAAGGAAGATTCTTTAAGGTGTGGAGTACGGTCAAATCTTCATAATGGTATGTACAGGATTCAGTGGAACATATGTGGAGAGAAGAAGAAACAGGACTCCAATGGTACAGTATGTAGATACGTTGAAAATAAAATAGTAGAATAGGTCTTACTCACAATTTTCAGAGCTGAAGATCCAGCTCTGATGTTATGCACGTGAAGTGGAATAATCCCCACTCAAGGATATATGGAGTAGACTTCAAATGGCGATTCTCTGGTACACGTACAACGTCCAAAGTACAGACCCAAAAGAAGAAAATAAAATATATTGTGCTCTCTGTGTTACGGTAAAATATTAAAATTATAAAAAGAATATTACTCACATTCTTTTGAGCAGGTATATACTGCTCACTATAAGAGCTTGGGTGGTATAATCCCCACCTATGGATTCTTTAAGCTTCTTCTGAAATTAGGCAATATACGTAGTCAGGTGAAAGACAAGAAAAGAAAAATGGCAATAAAGTGTTTTATGCCAAAAATTCTTTATTATAACGTAATAAAATAATATCTAGACGCGTTTCGCCACAGGGGCTTCTTCAAGTAGATAAAAGAGGGAAAAAAGGGGGGACACACACCTGACATACAAGGTTTATATAAGATGCAATAGGGCTATGGGTTTAAAATTCCCGCCAAAATGACATCATCAGAGCATCAAAAATAGTGCAAACAGAGAAACAGTAATTTTTCATACATATATGTAGATATATAATAAATGTAGATATGTAGATATAATCTTTTCCAACCCACCTTCTCTCGCTTTGTCATCTTCCCTTCTTTTCCTTCCCACGTCTCTTGATTCCTGCCACTCCATCTCCCCATCTTTCCTTCCCACCTTCTCTTGTTTATTGGCACTTCATCTCCCCATCTTCCATTCGGCCTTGTCTCGCTTCCTACCACTCCATCTTTCCTTCCTACCACTCAATCCCCCATTTTTTCCTTCCTGTCTTCTCTCGCTTCCTGCCCTCCATCTCCATTTTTTCCTTCTCACCTTCTCTCGCTTCCTGCCACACCATCTCCCAATCTTTTCCTTCCTGCCCTCCATCTCCCCATCTTTTTTCCCGTCTTTTTTCGCCATCTCCCATCTTTTCCTTCAACCTTCTCCCCCCTGCCCTCAATCTCCCCATCTTTATCTAACAGCCTTCTCTCGCTTCCTGCCACGCATCTCCCAATCTTTTCCTTCTCACCTTCTCTCGCTTCCTACCATGTCATCTCCCCATTTTTTCGTCCCTGTCCTCCATCTCAAGGATGGAGGCAATTGTAAGTTTTGAGCAAAACAAAACCTGGAATTTGAGCCATATCTATTCAACCATAATTTACCTCTCTTTTTAAGTGCACCCACACTTAGTATATAACATTTTGTTGGGCTTTCATTTCACATCAAGTATTCATATATGAAACATCATTTAACATGAAGAAAATCTAAAAAAAAATGAAATGTGAAAAATTATGAATTTTCCAAGTACTGAATGGCATTTGAGTGCTTCCCTTTTCTATAATATTTATATATATATTTAATCATCAATTGTTCCTGCATATATAATTTCATTCTAAGTGTATATTTATTTATTTTTACATAATGATGTGGTTTTATTAATTAAATGTTGGAGGGATTTTTCTGATAAACAAGGCAGTCCCCTTGCAGTCAATCCCGCTGATCCGAGTCATGTGATTATGGTGTCAGATAGTTCTGGTACAGAAAGGGCCTGATCGTAAAGTCATGCTATGCCGCCCTAATGGCGCTAATGCCCTCCTTTTGTAGGACAGCATAGCACGTCCGAATGTCTGGAAGGGGTTAATATATTATGCATATTTTGTTTGTTTTTTTTGTTTGTTTTTTACACATAATGTTTTGTATGTATGATTATTTTCTCCTTGTTATATTGTACTCTAGCCCCTTAATATTGCCCCATCTTGCAGATTCGGAGCCAGTCCTGGTAACACCACCTTTGGCAACATAGCAAGTCAGAACACCCCAACCTTTGGATCTCTGTCCCAGCAGGGCACTGGTTTTGGGGAGCAGCAGAGTGGTGGGTTCTCTGGGTTTGGGTCAAGCGGAAGTGCACCGCCAGCAGCAAACAGTGGAGGTACTGGGTCCATTTGATTTTACAGTAGTAGTTGGTCTTTATTAAAGTGTAATCACGTGAATAACACTCTTCCTATAATTGTTTTTATTTTTAGGATTTGGATTTGGAGTTGCTAATCAGTGAGTATCCACTGTCTTTTTTTGTAAATTTGCCCATTACATTGTATTTAGCAGAATTGCATGACATCTGAGATTGTGGTATCATATGAAGAGATTTCTTTTCCTCCCTTACTTTCAGCCAGGCACAGCCAGCATTTTGCACCAATCCCTTAGGCATGGAATACATTGGAGGATCCTCTGGCCATTAAACTATTAATCATGCTCAAATCAAGAATTCTAGTTTGTATGTTTTCCTTATATTTAAAATGTCTTTTTCAGTTTTAAATAACATTCCCCAGAACCATCTAACTTCATATAGACTATAATTATTCAGTAAATTGCTGCTCTGCCATAAAGACATTTTGGCACAACAGATATATGCAAACTCACTCCAAGCATTGTGGGTAATGTTATAGAGAAAAGGTTTAATATCTCTACATAATGAATAGAACTTCCTAAATTCATATCTTGGCTAGCGATCACCCGATCCACCATGTTTTTCTTGAAAACCTATATTTACATATAACATGGGGTTCTACCTGGGCTGTGTACAATTCTTTTGCTGCAGCAGGAAAATCAGTTTGTCAGGAAGGAGTTCCAAAGGACTTTAATTTAATTCATTTCCTTCATGGGTATTGGGGACATGCTACAGGGCAGCTCTTTTCATGTTCTGCCCAATGTAAATGGTGTATGTCCAGGAAAACATGGGGGATCTGACAACTGAACTCTTAACATAGTTTTGCAGCAACAGTAATGGGGATTTGAGTGAAAACCTGATGCAACTTGCCCATCACCAAATGCCTTTCACTGCGTGTACATATTAAGATTAACTTGTATCAATTCTCCCATAAATTACTATGAAACAAGATCTTTTTTTGAGCTAGATTATGTTGATTTAACTTCCCTTATATCATAGCATGATGGGATTTTCCAATACACTTGTCAAGTTTGACACTGGAAAAGTCATGTTCTATTTTCAGTTGAATTCGGGGAATCTATTTGAAGCATTCGTTGTGTTGAGATATTTCAGTTACTTTTTTTGATTTGTTCATTGCAAACAGCTGAAAGTCTGTACATTTTTACAATAAACCGGATTTTCAATGAGGGTTGAATAATTTTGATTACAACTGAATATATTTACTACGCATGTGGCCCTAATGCTCAATTTTATTTGCCCTATAATTGTAATCCTTAAATTGTACTGGTCATTGTACGTGTAAGTAAACGAAAAGGAATTAAAGGAACATCAATTTCCACTTCCTGTCAATGAAGTGGTCTGGGTGCCATGTGCCCCCCATTTTAACCCTGCAGCTGGAAACAATGCCATTCTGCAGTAATGGCAATGTTTTTATTTCATGGTCAACCTGTTTGTACTGGCTGTCAGTGTGACAGCCACTAGAAGCACGTCGGTGAAATAGTGGAGTGAGTCAGGAGGCCATAAGAGACCATCAGTTTGGTGCAGTGTGCTGTTCTGCTGCACATGCGCACTGGACTCCAATGCATTCCTATGAGAAAGTATTGGATTGGCTGATATCATCGATGTCAATCAAAGAGGCAGGCCAGCCGCGGAGAGAGCAGCATGGCGTGGGAAACTAGGTAAGTTAACTCTCGAGGAGTTACATTGTAACCCTTGTGTGGGGGAGCAGGGGGGCATCTGATAGTGTTTCTTTAAATGGCAGAGAATTTCACCTATACATGGTGCTAATAAAAATATATAGCAAATGTAAATTCCACCACTTGTTAATCAGTTTTCAGTATACAAATCTCTGTTGGTGATATAGAGGACTGTGTCAAGGATTTGGTCACATTAGAGAACAAGATTATCCTCCTAAATGTGGTTCTCCTGCAGAGAGAGAACCCTTCTCATACTTGCTGGAGGTATATAGGAGCCATGAGCTGGCAGTGAACCATTTAAGCGCCTGCACAGAGTAAGCAGGCTGTGCATTCTGTCATCCTCTTTTACCATCAGGACCTGTTTTGCAGGTATCTGTATCCACTGCACTATTCCGCACTGCGCTGAAAGCACATTTTCCTGAGAAGGGAGACTTGATTTATCCAACATGAGCATGCAGTTTGTGCTTTGTCCTTACAAGTTCTTAGACACCTTCTGGGAAGCATTGCTTCCCCATTTGTTAGTGGGATGGCAGGTGAGTCTATTCACCACCAATCAATAAGAAAATAAGTGTGCATATGCAGACACATTCATAGCATCATAACTAGTACAAGTGGTAGTGATTATGCTTGCAGTTTCCCTTTGACCAGCGACAAAATCTAGTACCCACAGTGTTGCTTCGCATTTGTTTCATCTTTCTGGGTTGATTTTTATCCTATTCTTTTTCTGAAATGGCCTTTATTGTCCCAACAGGTCCACGTCTGCATTTGGCGGGGGCTGGAGAGGCTGAGAGATGGAGAAAGTAGCAGAAGAAGCTGACTTGTTAAATATTTTGATAGCGTCGCAATTTTCTTTTCTCAAGTTTTTTCATTTCTCAAGGTCCTCAATAAATTATAATTTTTTTGATTTTTCTTTTGTCACTTCATTTCTTTGTTACTTACAATTAAAAACATTAGTTCCACAAAAATCTAATTTAGCGTTTATCTGCCAAACCATCTGTCATTTCAACCATTAATTTTATAAAATGCCAAAGTATGCTGCCACTCTGCAGTTAGCTTTCCCTGCTTGCCCTCTGCTTGCGGGCCCTATTACAGCCTTTATTTTTCTGGTGAGGTGTGCTTCTGTAGTTTTCAATACTAAATATAACAATGTGATAAATTGAGGAACTATGCTAATCCTTATAGTCTGATTGCACGTTTTTTGTGAATGCCAGCGAACAAATCACTTTGTTTTTGATGTAGTAATAATCCTATTCTAGGCCAAACTGAGGTTAGCAGGTTGCGTGCCAGGATCATAGCTGTTGCAGTACAATAAATGCAGCACTTGCTGTTGGGCCCCCCTGCTATATATTCACTTTAACAATAGCAGTGTTCACCGCAAAGAGTTTAACTTGCTCCCCAGGTATCTCTCTTGGCATGGATGTTTAGTTGTTGGTAAATTACTATGCTAGATATTTGTATGAATGTCTGAGGTGCCATCGTGGGAAGGAGTTGATCATAGCACTCGTAATCCTTTATATATTGTTGATTATGTAGATGAATATCTACATACACATATGCAATAATTCCAAGTCCAAGATGTATTTTTGTTATAGCGATGAGTATAAAGAGTTTGTGTGAGCCTGTACAAGGCAATGTTACAGTATAAAGTAGGATATAAATTAAGTGCAGATTACTTATAATTGGTCATTCTAAGAGCTCACAGTTAAAGCAATACACAAAAACAGTGTCTTGTAGTGGTTATAGGTCAGGAGTGCTCTGCCAAATTTAAAAGTTATACTGGAAGAAAGACACAAAACATGAAGATGGTTACAGATGCTATTAAAGATCCTGTCTGTTTGGGAGGACGTGGTTTGAACATCAAGGCAAATTGATGCACAGAATTGAAGCTACGCTCTTACAAAGGCCCTATAAACGACTTACTGCTATTCCGCAAGAGATTATTAGCCTATAACAGAGGATGAAAGATGGACCACAGTAGCACGTTGAGAAATGCTAATAGGGCTGGCAAGGCTAACTTCTTCAAGCTTGTAGTGTACAAGTCAAAGTTTCTACACCTCCAGAGCAGAAGCAAGATAGGGCAAATGACCGCTAGTCAGCACACAGCCTTCTTGGGCCTGATAACTTGCCTATGACTCAATATAAAGCCTACATGAGGTGGTGTCTGTTAGGATCCTTCCACATTTCAAAAATCGGTTTGTGATATCTGCAAGTTCATACAAGGCTTAAGGGCCAGAGTGGTTCATGAAGACACCAAACTTTATTAATTTGCAGTTGTCCACAGTAGCTTGGCGGATAGACTGCAACATATGGAAACACAGCTGAGCAAATGCGGCAAAACTCTCCAATATTGAGAATAGGTCATGTCACAATAGTGTGCACCTGAGGCGTGTACCAGAAATGTCTGCGCCAAATAGTCTGCATGCCTTCTTAAGCGGCCTCTTCTGCGCTTCGGCACCAGACCTCCCAGCTGACATATTCCTTATGGTCTGAGGGCATAGTTTTTACTGGCATCGGCTCCATGCGATGTCCTTATTAGATTGCACTATTTTCACATAAAAGAGGCCATCATTAGTGCAAGCAGGCCAAAGAAGGATCTCCCAGTGGAGTACAAAGATATCCTGCTTTAATATCACTCTGTCAGCCTTGACACTGAATAAGGGAAAGTTGGTTAAAGACCCTACAGAGTCCCTGAGAACATTGTATCCCGTACCACTGGGGTTACCCGGTGCAGTTGGTAATCCACCGTAATGGCAAAACTTCTAATGCTGCACACCAAGACCTGTACTCTTAGGGCCTAGAGTGTGCTTCTTCTTCATGCTCCTCCAGTGCCAAGTTGTCACCAGAGTGTAAAAGGGAACCCAACTGAGGTATTCTACTGGAGGTCTCCACTTGGAGCTGGGTACATAGAGGATGACTTCATTCACCCAAGGAACCAAGCAAATATACCAGAGTGGGTTCATGACATATCTTTTTTTATATGGGGACTCTGTTGGGGTCATGAGGCCTTTTTAGCCCTGTTCACTTTATATTATTACACTACTTCCTGAAATGGATATATTTCCATGTATTAACGGTTGATATCCCCAAGATTTAGCTAGCTTTTCCACTATTCTATAACACAAAAACACAGGGTGGAGCTAGTAATACTTCCCTGTCTTCTTGATACAGCCAACAATGCTGAAACCGAAAAAGAGGGGTATACAATAGTGCTGGTTATCCTTATAACAGCATACATATTGTAGGATCTCCGTAAAGCACACTCACACGAATAGAGCTTGTGAATCTCCTTAGGATCCTTTTTGGGAGATCCAACCCCCAATTGAGATGATATAAGGGTGATCCATTTGTTTACACTGTCGTGAACAAATGAAAATGTTTTATAGGTATTTTTGTATTCTACAAGAATAAGAATTATTTTTATTTTTTTATATGATTCTAAAATTCCATTAAACTTGCACAAAATTAGTTTTGGATCAAATCCATTTTAACCACAACTGGACAAATCGATTGTACGTGATTTACCTCTGGAGTCTTATTCAATGACTCAATAAGTAAATCTCAGATGATCAAATTCATACGGTTGTTGACTAAAAAGGCATGTGGGCTTTGATTTTATATTCCTGGTTAAACCTTTAAAAGTTAAGTATCAAAAAATATTCAAAAAAAATGAATATATCAAAAATATTTGAAAAAGTATTAAATTGTTTTAAAAGTTTATGTAAACATTTAAACTGAGGCCTTGATTTGGTCGAAACTAAAATTTTACACAAGTCTAGTAAGCATTATCATGTATTCCCTCTAGGGGGCGTGTGTGTCTACATGTTTTTCTTATACAAAATAATTTTGTGATGTATAGCATAGCCTTTATGATAGGTTATTATGTGTATCTTAAAACATTTACATTTGTTTTTAATTATATTTCACTGTATATATTTTTTTTACTTCAGTTTTATTTATTAAATGGATTCTCATTCTTCAGTTATAAATTTTTCAACCCATTTCATTGTCGTGTTCCAGGTAAATTAAAATATATATATATTTTTTATTACACATCTATGCTTGCCAAAGAGGACATCAGGGATCGCATTTACAATTAATTTCATCAACTGTAAATAAGTTAATATAAAGGATTGACCAAAGCTGTTCAGATTTGAATGGTAGAGTTCTGTGCTTTTTATTTTTTTAAGCACTACAGTTCCAAAATTTTGGATAAATACCACGGCAAGCATAGATGAATCTGCATACTGTGACTCGCCTGTCGATCAGGTATAAGAAAAGGGATAACCTGTTGCTCTAAAAAATGTTTTTAAAAATTCCATAATGCACAGGCTTTAGAGAATTTTTAGTTCATGGGCGTACAGATGGATAGCATTTTTCTAGAGGCATAAGTGGGTTATGGGTCAATGCCGCAGTAGGGATAATTTGGGCCTGAAGCCTTTCTGTCTACCTGAAAAACCATATATGAATTCTAAAGCATTTAGAGCATAACCGTTTAAAGCTGAGAGTATAGTTACCGATCATGGGAGCTCACAAATGTTAGTCGATCAACAGGCTTTAAAGGTTTGTTCATTAAACTTGGCAGATTGTTAGTTTGAACCAAACATATTCAGGCACATGATCCTATGCCATTCATTGGCTTCTCCAAAGTACACTGAACTTCTATCTGACAATGGAACGGTTCAATGGTTGATTCATAGAAATCATACATTTGCGCACTCCTGCTAAAATAATATATTTTTTTAAATGTTTGTTTATTTTTAGACACTGTTCTTCCATTTGTTCTGTTTGAATATATCCCTGATGATCTCATTACGACCAGCGATATCAACCTGTTTCCTTGTTAGGTATATCTACAATCCTTCTCTGCAGACCACTGGATGGCCGTGATTCATAGGAGTTTGTGTGACCGCTGAGTGACTACAGTTTGACCACGTTACATTCCTTCACAAATCTTCTTTTCTACAGTAAGTATGAATAGGTATGCCACAAAGTGCGAAGCAATTAAATGGTTAAAGATGGATCTATGGATATCTCCTGAAACTTTGCTATTCAACACATGTAACTCTACTTAGAAATTATTAATAAAATAAGATGAAAGGTTAGTTGAGCTGCGGACTTTTCGTTACTCTGTAATTCATTCCACCTGTGTTGTAAGAATCTAAAGGTCATTTGCAGGGAAAGGGTTTTTTTTTTTTTAAAATTTGTGAATTAAGCCCTGGGACGTTAGCAGTCCCTAAAAAAAAAAAAAAAAACCCACCTTCTGTAATCGTCCCTCCCTTTTACTGGGCAGGACTAACATCACCCTAGTTAGAGTGACAAAACATTTTTCAGTCTTCTGCATACAGGACAGATAAGGATCAAGAGAGGAGAAAACACCAGACACGTAGAAAGGGCTCCTACAGACATCTCCAAGTATTAATATCAAAAATTTATATCCATTATGTCAGACAGTCCAAAGGAAGGCTTAGCGCAGACCGGTGAAGAGTTGAATGCAACACCTACAGAAAATCCGTGTGCTGAACTCAAGATAGCCATGGAAAAATGGTATGTAAACCCCAATAAATGGACATGGAAAAGCCAGAAATGTATATTGTATAGTGTAGAAGTCATTCACAACGTTCAGTCGTATTGTCAACAAGACACACTGTTAGTTGAAAGCAAATAAAATGTCTAAAAAAATAGAGATTTTTTTTATGTACGTTTCTCTCACCCCCGGCAAGTTTGTTGCATTTTTATTTTGCTTTTCATTCTATTGAATTTATTGTAAGCGAGACTTGGCAATCTTTGTGATTTTACAATTATGCATGAGTAACAATTGGTTAATGTCTCCAAATATTATATTTTGTCTTGTGAATTTCATGAGCTTCCTGGATAAACAAGCAAAAAAAAAAAAAAACGCAAGCAGATCATGTTAAAATAATAAGCTAAATGTTTCCCAGTTAAATTAGCATGAAATTTTATAAAAACTGTAAATTTTATTACCGTATTCATAGAGGTTGTTGTTTTGTTTTCTTATATGATATCTGTCCCCATAAGCATTGGCCTTTAAGTTTGGTCAATGTGGTTTTTTTTTGTTTTTTTTTTATTCAACACTTAGACTAAATCTTTGGGTTTAAAGCTTTTTTTTCAATTAGGTCAAGGGAAAACATGATGAAAAGAGTAACTCACAAATGAGAATGGAAGCATGAATAAAATCTATGTGGTTGTTTTGAATGGTCATACAATCTTAAACTCAGAATAACTAGTATTTCAAATTGGCAATATCTATGTGTGTGTGTGTGTGTGTGTGTGTGTGTATATATATATATATATATTATTTTAATAGTCATTTGTAACTTGTAATCTATAATATTTACATAGATATTGCCAATTTTATTGATGCTTCCATTCTCATTTGTGATTTATTTTTTCATATGTTTCAATGCGTGCGTGTGTGTGTGTGTGTGTGTGTATATATATGCATTGCATATGTTGAGAACATTATACTTTGCGAAAAAAATAAATATTTTAATGGCATGAATTATGGCTGGCCTTTCGAGGTGACATACTTGTTTGCAAAATGATCCTAGTTCTAAACTGCAAGGTCGTTCCAATGACAGGTGCGTTCTTCAGCTTGTGGAAAGATGGCAGATAGTGGACATTAATGGATGTTATGTTGCAGTTCGGTACAATCCATAGCTATTTGAGTAGATTAATAAATTCGTCAAGCCTGTTTAGCTTAGAGATCAAAAATATATTCTGCATTAAATTGTCGGTTATATTTATGGGGAAAAAAATTATATATTTATTTTTTTATCTATGATTTTTTTATTTATTTTTTGTGTCATGTACTCTTGATGGTGAGTTTATGTTCCAGTTGTAAAAAACATTTTTATTATCACGAGAAAAAAAAATGATTACAAGGTTTTGATGCTGCTCTAAGATTATATAACAAAAGCATTTTTCCATGTTTCATAACATATCGCAGGAGGGGAGGGAGGGGGTTTCTCGAGGATAAAATAACAGCCTAAACAAAAGAAAACCTTAAAATCCTCATTAATGAAACGTTATTTAGATGGAAAGTGACAGTCCGAGTGAATTAGTTTAACTAGTAACCCTTTCCGGCAGGAAGAGTTAATATCGTGTTCACCTCCATGTTTCTTGGAGGGTTAAGTAAATGTGGTAGGATTTAGAGATTTGAGCAAAGGACATTTTTGGCTGGGATTAGCCAATCCTCTTTTTTTCCCAGATTTAGTTTATCAATGTTATCTCCCTATTACAGCACTAAAATGTGTATGGCTTAATGGTTATTTTATTTTCTAAAGTAGTATGTACTATTGGAATATATTTGCTACAGCATATTCCAAATAATTGAGATCTTGAAAATTCAGCCCAAACTAAATGAGTTGAAAAGAATCTCCACTTTGCCTTTTCCAAATCAAATGTATTTCTCTAATCACCACCAATTCATTTTTAGTGAATTATTATTATTATTATTAATATTATGTTATATATATAGTGCCAACAAATTCTGCAGCGCTTTACAGTGGGTGGACGAACAGACATGTAGTTGTAACCAGACAAGTTGGACACACAGGAACAGAGGGGTTGAGGGCCCTGCTCAATGATCTTTCATACTAGAGTGGGGTAAAATGATACAAAAAGGTAAGGATAGTATTAGACTAGTGACATTTGCAGAAGAGGAATCAGTCAGGAGCTATTAACAGTTTAATTGATAAGCTTTTATGAAGAAGTGGGTTTTTAATGATTTTTTTTTGAAGGAGTGGAGGCTGGGTGAGCATCTAACGGAGGAGGGTGAGTTCCAAAGGAATGGTGCTGCCCTCGGGAAGTCTTGAAGGCGAGCATCAGAGGTGGGAGTACGGACAGAAGATAGACGTAAGCATTCAGCATCGCATAAGGGCCTAGAAGGGACATACTTGTGTATTAGGGAGGATAGATAGGTGGGAGCAGCACTATGTAATTCCTGTGTCAAAAAGGGACACTATAGTCACCAGATACACTACAGTGTACTATAGTGGTTCTTGTGTCTATAGCCTATCCCTGCAGTATTATCACTGTAAACACTTCATTTTCTGAGAAACAGCTGTGTTTACATTAGTGCTTAGGGACACCTCCAGTAGCAGTCATTCAGATGGGCACTAGAGCTAGTATGGCGACGCGGAACTTATCCTATAGAGATGTATTGATTCAAAGCATCTCTATGAGGAGATGCTGATTGGTGCAATGTGGCGTTTTGCTGCGCATGCGCAATAGCCTCTCAAAGCATTGGATTGGCTGAGATGATCAAGACTGATGATCTCAGCCATGGAGGAGGAGCCAGACATAGCATGGGAAAAAAGGTGAGTAAAAACACATTTTCCATGCGGGGGATGAAAAGCTAAATAGTTAAACACTATAGTATCAGGAATACATTTTTCTATTCTTGACACTATAGCGTTCCTGTGGGAAAGCATTGGATTAGCCATGATCATCAAGAGTTATGAGCTCAGCCAAGGAGGAGGGGCCAGCCATGGACAAAGCAGTGTGGTATAGGATAAAATTAAGTGAAGTATCATTTTTAAATTTAGTTTTTTATTTTACAATCTTTATTGTACGTTTTTACATTGAAAGAAAAGGAGGTTCAGAGATAAGTCTAACAGAAATAAAAAGATTATATTAGAAAAATTATAAACTGTGCAAATTGACTGCCTTTATGTAGAGCGTGACATGGTCTTCCAAAAGAATTCTGTGTAGAATTTTAGTAAATAATAATATAACTAAGCCACCTGAGATAATATTTCAGCCATTGACATCAGAAAGCTGACAGTGATTGTACACTCAACTCTGGCATTAGACAGAGTATGACTCTCGCATAGCCTTAGGGCTCACCTTGTTCCTCTGCTGATGTTTAACTAGATATACCACATGATATCGTATGAAAGAGTTTTAGTCCGAGTAGGAAGAGAGAGTGTAAGAGTAAAAGAGTAAAGCACTTGCAAGTTGCAACCCACGCCCTCCACCCCCATCAGCCAGGTATTCCTGGTTAAGAATATGGACTTATGAGATGTACCCCCTCTCACATTTTGTCTGCCTCCCTCACAAGTTCATCTCTCTACTAACCATCTCTGTGGCTAGAAATACAAACAACTCATGGGTACCATTGTTCAGTATGCTTTGTGCCAGTATCAGCGAGAGTCTCAAAGCAAGGCTTCACCTGCTTTAATTTCTTCTACCCTGGAAATAACTGCTCTTTGCTGGGAGCATCATGGCTTTTCTAGAGGGCAGGCTAGAGATTTAGCTGCGTTCAACAAATGTCTCATAATTGAGTTCTTGTATTTTGAAATGGGCAAGGGGATGATGTGTAATAAGACATTTTCGAATTCAAAAAGTGTCGGAGAATCAAAAATTTCCATCAGGACATCTCTTACCATCAATCAATAGGGATTTATCCAAGGGCTGTACCACTAGATATGCCGAATGCATCCCGCTCCCTCCCAACATGTCCAGTAGCTGGATGAAACCGAAGAGAAGATCCTGTGTAGGTTCTCAGGAGTCTGATACCAAAGTGAGGGCAATGTATAATTAATTTACTGGAGCTGGCAACTCATTGAGCTTTTATGGTGAAATAGAAGGACTAGATCTGATTGAGACTTGGAGACTGTCTTGCCAGGTATTCTCTCCCATGCTTGCTTAAACACAGAAGTCTTCTTCCAGCCATCCATCAGCAACTACTGGTAGAGGTCTGAAATTGACCCACGCAGATCTGAGCTCCCCACACACAGATTTTATGAAAAACCTTTTTAACTGTAGTCAAGGGGGCGGTCACCTAAACAGTAACTAGGATACTATAGCATATTCCTAATGCTATATTATTCCATTTTAAAAAACAAACAAACAAAAACTTGTAGGTTACTATGGCTATGACTCTGTATATATTTATTGTCAAATGTAATCTGCTTTAGATTAGAATTAAAACACAATGATCATAAACATTTTTATATTGAATTATCACTTTAATTTACAATTGATTTGTTCTGGAAAGCCTACTGAATACTATAAGTTAAATAGCAGTACAGTGAATAAGTAATCCAAGTATCAGAGAAACACCGACCCAGCAGTTCTATTTAGAGAAGTGGCTGTAAGAGAAGTACGTTTGTTTTGTAGTGTGTTACCTCCAGGAGGGGTGTTGATCACAAGTCTCCCTTTGAACGAATTATAAAAAAGAATACTGCATTAAAAAAAATGCAAGTTTATGTAATTAAAAAAAAAAATACTTTACTCTAAATTATTGATTTATATAATTTTACTGTAGCTTATGTAGGGACCAGGAGGTGGGTGAGATTTATCAGACATAATTATATTTAATGGAAGCATTGTGCATGTATCATACATCACTGTAAAACATTATGGTATATGTAGTTGCAAATCATTTCATTCATGAAAATACATGGGGGAAAAAAAGCTTCTCTGTTAAATAACATTATCCACAGAAGGAAGGATTTTATTAGCACACCAAGGAGCTCAAGTCATGTTTAATGTTTATTTTTTTATTTTTTTGTTCTACAAATTAACACTTAAGGCTGCATGTTAGTTCATCTACTTTAAAGATTCTGCCATAGAAAGCTATGAATATGCCTTTACAAATTACTTAGGACATGTATGGCATGTACACACTGTACAAGATCTTGTACAGATAGTGGGATGTATTGCTTAACCCTGTGTGATGTCATCGAGCAGATGGGATGAACATTTTGCTGCAGCAAGTTTTTCAGGAACTTACAATCAACAGAGATAGGATAAATTTATCATCAAATTGATGTGTAAATATCCTAGTACTTGGAATGTTTCTAATATTTCAGATCATCAGACATATGTCTTTAGAAAAGTTCTATAAGGGATGCTAATGGTGGCACATTGTAATGGAATTTTTTTACAGCTTGCAATGCAGGTAAATTTGATACAAAGCATAGATTGTTGCTAAAGAAATCATATACAAAAGGTATATGAGCTAAATCTGTATTTAGTGAAATTATAACTCCCGTGCTGTGTAGTGATTATGAATGAATGTCATTGTTCAAAAATTCCAGATACCCATTGCTTGGATAAGCTTTCATTTCTAGTCTGATTGCAGTTTTCGTCTGCCTTACTATATTGCTCTGTAGATAGATTTGTCTAACAGTGCTCTTACAGATACACGACCCAGGATGTACACTTTAGGTCAGTGACTTATTGCTATAACATGCTGTCTTCTCTCAGAGGTGAAGCTCCAGTCCTCATGGAATCAAATATAATACGACTAGTAATAAGATATAGAAAGATTCCAAGAGTTCAAAGTAAGCAAACTGTCTTTTAAGTTTTATAGAAAAAAGTCTTGGCATGCACACATACTTTTAGTGATCAAGATAAAGCTTTTCGAAACAATAAAACTATAAATATGCAGAATTCTAAAAGAGAGATCTTCCTGTCGAAAGGTATCTACCCTTACCATTTGCAGGACCCAGCACCCACCACCACTGTCATTCACACAAACACATACCTGTATTTAATGGGACACTCCGCTGCATTGTCCCCCCTAAAAAAGTAAAAATGACCATTTACTAGATATACCCCAATGAAAACGTGTGCATTTAATTGTGATTTTTTTATTTTTTTTTACATTGGAGTTATATCTAAAAACGGCTTGGGAAAGCTGCAGATTTTTGGCTGTGGCTGTCGAATCATAGACTTCCTGTGCCTGTCGAATCATAGACTTTCTCATGTAGCTCAATGAGACGTCTTTGCAAAGCAGGTGCTCTGAGCCACTGCTGCCTTTTGAGTCTTGCTCCACTGAGTTAACCTACCAGGAAATAACAGGACCAGTTGTCTGTTTGACACTCGGGTTGGTGTAATAAGGTTTATTTAGAAAACTGACATTTTATTTTGAAAAAAAAAAAAAAAAAGAGGACATGCTCTTCACACATAAAGCACCACTTCAGAATGCTGAAGTTCTGTAGGGGTCTGGAGTGTCCATTTAACCACACACACAGGCTGTAGACATATACATTACTAGCTACTTTACTCAGTCTTAACGTGACAGTAAACCTAATATCCAACATAATTACACACACAAGCATCCATAGACACACACTTACATCATAGGTGAAAACAGTCCTGAATTTTCCAGGAAAGTCCTGTATTTTGGGGGTACGGTCCCAGAAAAAAAATAGATCTGTTGATCCTGTTGTACATTATCAAAATGCCAAGCTCTTCAACAGAGCCCAATGCCTGATTTGCTTGAGGGGGCGGCTGTAAGTCAGTCTGGCCCTCTTTAGGCCACCTGCCCCACACTATCTTTCCTGGCAGGTATGCCTCACACGCATAAAATTCTGGTTCTTGCTTTCAAATCTCTACATAATGCTGCTCCCACCTATCTGTCCTCCCTTATACACAAGTATGTCCCGTCTAGGCCCTTACGATCTGCTGAAGACTTACGTCTATCTTCTGTTCGTACTCCCACCTCTGATGCTCACCTTCAAGATTTCTCGAGGGCTGCACCGTTCCTGTGGAACTCACTTCCCTCCTCCGTTAGATGCTCACCCAATCTCCACTCCTTCATAAAAGCGTATCCATTAAACTGTTAATAGCTCCTGACTGATTCCTCTTCTGCAACAGTCATTCGTCTAATACTATCCTTACCTTTTTGTGTCATTTTACCCCACTCCCTCTAGCATGTAAGCTCATTGAGCAGGGCCCTCAACCCCTCTATTCCTGTGTGTCCAACTTGTCTGGTTACAACTACATGTCTGTTCGTCCACCCATTGTAAAGCGCTGCGGAATTTGATAGCGCTATATAAATATCATAATAATAATAATAATAAACAGATACATTAACACTCCAAAACAGACTAACACTGACAGATTCAAACTGACACAGAAATATATTGGCACTTATACATAGACTCACACTGACACACATGCAATGACTCTCAAACTAATACTTGCATATAATGCACCATTAGTCACTTTAGATTTATGTTTTGGCTGAGGAAGCCACAGACCTCTACTTAAGGGCAGGGCCGTCTTTAATAACGAATGGACCCTGGGCAAGTGTTTGCTTGGGCCCCCTGTGCCCTGCCGCTCTCGCCCCTCACTCCCTGGTATGCAATCACGGCATCCATCCCAACGCAGTGGCGGTACTAAAGTAGAATGAATTTTATTGGGACCCCCAATTGCAAGGTTGGACTAAAGGTAGAACCCCATCTGTCGTGCAACTCCAACAATGCTTTGACAGCTGGGACTCTACCAATTTCCCATGCTTGCAGGGTTGTATTTAGCACTGAGCCATGTTAGTATGTTTGAATGTAAGCATGTGTTTGTATGGAGTATGTTTGTGTGAATGTGTTTGTATGTGGTACTGGAGTTTGAATGCAAGTGTGCATTTATGTGTAGTGTTTGTTTTTGAATGTAGGAGTGTGCTTGTATGTAGTGTTGACGTTTCAATGCAGGAGTGTGTTTTATATGTAGTGTTGAAGTTTGAATGGAGGGGTGTATTTGTATTTAAAGTTGCGGCTCAGATGCACAGGTACACACTCTGACGCACAAGCAGATACACAGATACATACACTGACTACATACAGATAAACAGGCACATACACTGACAGACACACTGACACAGGTACATATATTGACACACACACAGACACATACACTGGTAGACGTACTGACAGACATACTGACACAGGCACATATACAGACATACTGACACACAGACACATATACCGACATACTGACACACACACACAGACACATACACTGATCAACATACTCACACACATACACTGACAGAAATACTGACACCCACACACTGACAGATATACTGACACCCACATACACTGAGAAATACTGACACACACACAGGCACATACACTGACACACACAGACTGATATACTGACACACACACACACAGACACAGACATACTGGCACACAGACAGATATACTGACACATGCATACACATGCACTAACAGACATACTTACACATACTGACACACACAGATATACACACACATATATACTGACACACAGACACAGACATGCTGACACACATACACTAACACACATATACACTAACACACATATACACTAACACACATACACTAACACACATACACTAACACACATACACTAACACACACAAACTAACACACACACACACTAACACACACAAACACTAACACACACAAACACTAACACACACAAACACTAACACACACAAACACTAACACACTAACACTAACACACAAACACTAACACACAAACACTAACACACAAACACTAACACACAAACACTAACACACAAACACTAACACACACTAATACACTAACACACTAATACACTAACACACTAATACACTAACACACTAATACACTAACACACTAATACACTAACACACTAATACACTAACACACTAATACACTAACACACTAATACACTAACACACTAATACACTAACACACAAACACACAAACACACAAAAACACACATTTTTTTTTTAAAATGTAATCCCCCCAGCCTCCTTACCTTTTGGAGTGCTGGGGGGATTCCCTGGGGTCCAGTGGTGCTGCTGGGCTCCTGGGCAGGCCGTTTGCAGGGGAAGGCGGGCTACGCTGGTGGCACCTACTGCTTCCTCTTCAGCTCCCCTCACGCTTAGGATGCCGGCGCCGAAGATGACGCCATCTTCTGACTCCGCATCAGTGCGGTGCGCGAGGGAGCTGAAGAGGAAGCAGTGAGTGCTCCCTCGCGCGCCCGCCTGCCTGCCCGACCGGCCACCCGCCCGCCGGGGTCAGCGGGGCAGGTGCCTCGGGCCCCCCAAGAGAAACTGGGCCCGGGGCAGCTGCACCGTTTGCCCCGCGTTAAAGACGGCCCTGCTTAAGGGTAATGGCAAGATACAACAAATTCAATCTGGCAGCAATAACTAATTGGTATTTCCTCCCCATCACAGCAGAAAGGACAGGAAACATAACTGGGATGCTAGTATAAATAGGACTGCTCACTCCTGGGTAACAGCTGTCTAACCCAATAAAAATGGTGGGAGTGTTACGCTGCCGTGGTGATTTATTACTTTAAAATCCAAACTATTATACATATTTTATTTAAAATTGTATGCAGATTTGTAAAAGGTTTCATACAGCCAGAATACAAAGTACTTTCATCACAAAAAATAAAGACATAGACCCGTGGCAATGAGAGTGCCTCCATAATACAAGGCCTCCAGCAGCAGAAAAAAGGCAGAACAGGAGTCCCTTAACTTCATACCCCCAACACGTGAATTCAAACTCAAGTGGGCAGGGAAAAATGCACGCCAGGCTGCTGCCCAATCACTTAGTGCAAGTGTTTTCTATATGGCCCTAGTGCCTTTAGTGTAGCGTAAGCATGTCTAATGATACGCTCACGCTAAGCTTCTTCCACATTTCCCTGGTGTCCTCAAAACTGGGACCGTGAAAACAAACTTGGGACAGCAGGGCAGGACCCTAAAATCATAACTGGAGGCCTGTAACTTGCCTTTGTCAATATCATAACAAAGATACAAAGAAAGATTGGTAGGACTACCAGTAGTGACCGTGCCAACCCATTGAAGGGGATCACTTTATTGGAATTTGTGATTTATTTTTTCAACAGCCTAGCACTCTGTTTGAAGTAGAATTCTTTTTAATGACATACCTCTGTTTTTGTGCTATTTTAGTCTATGATATCAATTTAAAATATTTTAGTTTCAATAGAAATGGGAATGTTTTCCCACTGTGTGCATTTTCTCATCTGAATGTAAGTTACATAGAGGTAACATCTCCCCAGAAAGAAGTTGAAATGATTATACTGCTTGTATATTATATAAATGTTCTTTTAAGAGGTTGCAATAAAATTCCTAAAGCTGCGCTGTTAGCCCCTCCCCTCCCCCTTGGATTTTTGGAAATGCTCGTACAGATTGTATTGAAATTTAACTGAAATTCCAACCCAGTCAAGAGATATACTGAGACAAAATAGGGACTACTCTTGGCCATGTGCGAGAGTACAGCAATGACGTGGGCTACTGGAAGGGAAGAGGTCCCGCTAAGAGATTATGGCTGCGTGAGGGACAGGTTCAGGGAAGTAAAACTCAACTTTACCTGCCCCCCGGTCCCCCAGCAGCTATGTCACCGTCGGGGGTTTTTGCGATTCCACTTCAACCCCAATGAAAGCTTCACAGTTTATTCTAGAAGTATGTATAATTAATTAAGCTTTTTTCTACTGTGTATGCTTACCCTTCAGAAAACTAAAGGATCTCAGAAGTTGGTGCCTAGGTCTATGTGTTATTCATTTTGGTTTAATATCCATCTTTGCAACCATTAGATTTACCAGACCTTTCTAAAATGTTCATGTGGGAGGGGTTACTACTAATTAAAGCTTAGTCATGCTCATTGTTTAACAAGAACTCCAGATGACTTGTTCATATACTCTTATCAGAATAAAATGATAGATTGTTTTGTTGCAGAATTTGCAAGTGGAACAGCAGATTATTCCTCTTCAATTGCTCTTGTGTAGCAATCATGAAAAATGTCCAGAGTGTCTTATATCTGGTGGAGATAAAGCTGAAGGGAAACGTCAAGGGTGCATTATAAAATTACACAGCTGTCATCTCTCTCATTAAAGTTTTTTTTTTTAACCTTTTGGGGTCTCTTCTGTGTAAAATCCCTTATTGGGCACTAGGGGTAAGGTCCCCCCATTCTGATTGCAGTAAAACCTTTAAAGATAAAGGTTCTACTTACCTTGAATCCAGCGCCAGGTGAAGCTCCTGATGCTGATTACCGCACCCCGTCTTCACAAAACAAGAGACGCACGCATTTCAACCACAGGCTTCTCATAAAGGAGCCTGTGTTTGGACCAATTGACGGCTCAGAGCGCATGTGCGTGCTCCAGGCTAGTGTTGTTTGTTGTTCTTTCTTTTTTTTTTTTACTGCCTGTAATGGAGGGAGGGGGTGAGGGGGGGCTTCAAGAGTAAGATCTTAATATCTGACAGGCAATGTCAATGTCTAGTGCGCTGGTAGTGCAACTAGCCCCCAGCACACAATTAAAAATATGTCTGTATGTGCAAGGTTTCAAGCAGAAACACTGCACATTTATTTTCCTATCACCATGAAGACTTCAATCACTGAAGTGGTCATGGTGTTTGGCGTACCCCTTTTAATCACACACTATGAATCCTCTCTCCTCAGCTTCCATCCTTAATAGCAGGCAGAAACTCCTGGTAGGCAGCCTTGAATTGAGAAAGAGGTGGATGTAGTGAGTGTAGAATTAAGGGGATATTGCACTGTGCAAATACTCTCGCTGCTTTGAGAGACAGAAGCTTAACATTTACAATTCTATATTCTATAGTTAGCTAGTCCACACAAGTATTGTTCCTATAAATAAAAGCTGAAGTATTTAGTGTTCCAATTTATGACACCATGAACAAACCTCTTAAAAGTCAGAATGTATGCATGGCTGTTATGCATTTTCTCTTTGACAGAACTTGTATGTAGTTTTCGTCTTACAGTTTATGGTCGGTTGCTTATATGTCATTCTACGTGCCCGCTGGCAATAGAAGATAATAAAATGTCTTCCTCTTCTCTGTGGCATGCTGCTACTTGGATATTCAGTTGTTCTCAGACTAATATTCACATCTTTGCAGATAGCCCTTATAAATTAGAAAGGCACTTGGAAGGGGCTATATGGACTGCTCCTATTGTAACCTTTACATTGTGAATCAAAAAACAATTTAATAAAACAATCTTTTACCTTAAAGGACCACTCCACACCCCTAAAACACTTCAGTTTAGGATTTATTAACTAAACCGCTAATGCTGGCAAAATGTAAACTGAGTAAATTATTCACCATAAATTTCACTGTAAGTATAGTGGAGCTGGAGTTTTTTGTCCCGAATCTGCTATTTTTGTTTCCATCTTGTGATTTAGGGTACAATTTACTTGTTATTTAGTAAATAGGCCTCCGTATTTACTTGTTATTTAGTAAATAGGCCTCAGTATGGGGCATAAGTCTCACGTCTGTGTAGGAAGCAAAGTTAAAAAGCAAAGGAATAATGAGATCACCATATAGTAAATGTATAGCCGCTTGCATATAGAAAAAAATGCTAGCTTGCTGGTAGATTATTTTACTTTTTTTTACATTCGTATCCAAACACTTACAATAACATGACTGATAAGGCGTATAGACCTTTATCACCTTGATAGTACGATGTGCATGGAGCAAAATTATGTATTATGGGATTATGTGTATTTAATCAGAAAATATATTGCTTTAAACCAAGCCTGGAAATGTGCAGATGGTAGCGGAGAGATTTAGAGAGAGATTATGCTAGTTTAAGCAACAAATATTACTGTCCTATACTTGGTAGCAATGTGGAATAATCTTTTTGCCTATGTGATATACAGTATAATTAATTAAACATACATATGTTTAAGGGGAGAGAGAATTCCTTCCTGTAAATTATCTAATGTTCTTTGCGGAACAAATCAATTATAGACTTTTCTAGATAAAATTATATAATTATGAATTGTAGAGCAAAAAAACGGGTCCAAGAGGATTCTGAGAACGGACAGCAACTGAAATAGCCTGCCCTTCAGTGGGTCCCCGCTCAGAGCTGAAACATATCAGACTGGTCCCACCCATACGGGCAGTCCAGATCCAAAATGCCAGCAAGTTCCCTCTGCACAAGAGACATAGCAACCTCAAATGATCGTTTCAGCCTTGTTAGGCATCATCAGTGAGGCATAGCTGATATCTCTCTAGGCACCGTGAGCAAGGGGTCCACGTCTGGATTACCCTTTAAACTAATGGAGAGCAAAAAAACGGGTCGCAAGAGTATTCTGAGAACGGACAGCAACTGAAATAGCCTGCCCTTCGGTGGGTCCCCGCTCAGATCTCAAGCTGGTTTTAGCTCATCTTGTGCCATTACAGAGAGAACATCTCTGAAACATATAATTATGAATTGTATTTTGCCTATGATAAATATTCGTATTACCCTGTCAAAGCAATTTCTGGATATTAAACCTACTACATGCCGTGGCTATTCAGAATGAGAATTCAATGTTCTGTGCCACTTTCCAGCCTGACAACCACAACCAAAATTGCTGCTGACCCATTTTTGCTAGGCATGTAGCCATGGCAACAACAGGCTGGCTCATCTTTATAAAGGGTTGATCTGATTCTATCACCGCAACTGGCTTTGCCCTGCTGGCATTAGAGAAAGAGCATTTAATGCCACGGAGCTGCTGACAGACAATTTTCTTTACGTCATGGGATTGCATGGAAAATTTAAGGGGACCTGTCACTCTCAAGGATTTTTTATAATAAGTTTACATATCCCTACAATAAATAAAAATGGATTTGTGAGAATTGAAGAATAAAATGAAATGTAGTCATCCAAACCCCTTTATCCTGCAAATGGGTGCCTCCCTTTTGGTTCCCTGTCAGTCAGTGTTACGAGCTCTGTCCTTTGCACCCAGCACTCACCTAGAGAAAGGTTACAGAGAAGACAAAATATGAAGAAATGTCTCTATTTTTTTGTCCTCCTCTAAAATTCAAGGCCTAGCTGTGCCGGGACAGAATTTATATTTGCTAAAGTGTTAATATAACACTATATAATATAATATAAATTTAAAATAATATGGAGCATGTACTGAAAAATGCTTAAAGGGACAATTTAATGCATTTGATAGGTTTTGACCTTTTTTGCGCTATGCTAGGGATCGACCGGTATTGATTTTTTAGAGCCGATACCGATAATCTGTGAACTTTCAGGCCGATAGCTGATAACTTACTGATATTCTGTACATTTACCATTTTGAAAAAAAATAGACTATTTTATTATATAAAGTTAAATGCACAAGATATACATGCCACGTGTAGTGGATGCTGTGTGTTTAGACAGGGGAGCTGTGTGTGTTTGTGTAGTGTGTGTGTGTAGTGGATGCAGTGAGTGTGTATATAATGAGTGTAGAGTGTATATAATGAATGCAGAGTGTGTGTGTATAGTGAATGCAGTGTGTTTATATAATGCAGTGTGTTTGTGTAGTGTGTGTGTATATGATGAATGCAGAGTGTGTGTGTTTGTGTAGTGTGTATAGTGAATGCAGAGTGTGTGTTTGTGTAGTGTGTATAGTGAATGCAGTGTGTTTATATAATGCAGTGTGTTTGTGTAGTTTGTTTATATAATGCAGTGTGTTTGTGTAGTGTGTATATAATGCAGTGTGTGTGTGTTTCTGTAGGTATGTAATTTGGGGGAGAGGGGGCATTTTAAATAAAAAATAATTATTATTTTTTTAGTCCCCCCTCCCTGCTTCTTACCTGGCCAGGGAGGGGGGATATGGCATTCCCTGGTGGTCCAGTGGCATGGAAAGTACAGAGGGGGCCACCAGCAAGCTCTTACTTACTTTCCCAGCAGCTCCCCTGTGTAAATCCCGCGGCGTGTCGCGCGGAGCGTTGCCATGGTAACCCGTAGCAATGCTCTGACGGCAGCGGGACTCGCAAAATTTACACAGGGGAGCTGAAGGGAGCTGCTGGGAAGGTAAGTAATAGCTTTGAAAAAGCAAAAAAAAAAATTTTGCCAAATGCTGCACCATACACCCGCCTTCTTAGCCACGGCCACTCACTCCAGAAAAAAGACTTCCCTGTGAAATGCATGTACACAGCCCAGCCACGAACAGTACTGAATGACCTTAACTATAAAACAACCTGCAATAGAAGGAGATGACAAACAGTGAAGACATATAGTCAGGATATAAATACTGGTTTATAGTTTCTGTGACTGTCTGCAGTCAGGTTGTGAAATAAAATTAGCTCAGTGGTGTTGGAGATGAGAATGTGTGCATACATTTGATAAGGAAGACTTTCTCGCATGTTGTGGCATTTTGCTAAACTTTTGTGTGCGTGTAAAAAATGTAAAGATTTGATCATGCAATGAAATAAAGCATGCTATTGAGGCCAAAGTCTAAATGCATTAAAGTATTCAGTGGTGTAAGTGGCAGAGGGGGGGAAAAGTGTAAATTTTAGAGGAGTTTGGATATAACATGCCAGATAGACGTGCCAAACTAATTGTGATGAAATGGTAATCAGTAAAAACGGCTGCCTTCCAATTTAAAACTTGATCTTGCTCAATCCAACAGGTTGTTTTTTTTTCTGGGAAAAATTATGAACTCAGTAGATGGGTTCAGTATATTCCAATAATTAAAACATTTAAGTTAATACATTTTTTTTATATTTATTTATATTATTTATCACATTTGTATTATTCTATTTATTATTATTATAACCATTTGTCCTCCGGCCACTTGTGTTGCCAGTGGCCAAATAAGAGTTATCTACTAAACACCTCCCTAATTTACTATCATTCTATATGTAAATCCCACATAAGCATCCCAAATTAGGGAGTTATCTGCTAAACAGCTGGAAGAGCAAAATTAAAAATAAATCTATTTTCTTAATTTTGGTTTCTCAGTGTTCCCAAATTAACGAATTACCGTAATGTATGGAAGAATTGCTTTCATCGTAATGTGATTTGCGACTCATTTGATCCAGTAATCTGACGATTCAATCATTCATTATTTGGACGACCCGCCGGACTGGCCAATTTTCAGCCTAATTGTTTTGTTGTGCTCAGAGCAGTGGGCTATGTTTCCATCATATAAATTAAAGATAAAAACCTACTAAGTAAAAGAAAGATAACTTAAAGAAATACTTTGAACACCATAACAACTTCATCAGAATTAAGTTGTTATGGTGCAAGGAGGTCTCTGGACACTGGTTTAATTGAAGGGGTTAAAGCATTTAACAAAGTTTGTTTCTTCACTCAGGTGCCTGATTACTCAGCCAAGCTACATCCATTGCAGATCGAGGCTTGAATCAGGGTGTCTTGGTCTGGAAGCCACTGATCAATAGCGCCCCATTTACAAAATTACTTGATAAAAATATGTACGCACCATTCACTTTTTTATTTTTATTTTAAATATACAAATTTATGTTTAACTGCATAAGATATGGGCATTTATTAAAAAAAAAAAAAAAAGGCCCATGCACGGTAGTTTAGAAATATTGGTCTCTCAGACCTCTCTCCCAGAAGGCCTTGCAACCACAACTTGAATAACACTTAGTACATAGCTGTAATAGAAGCGTGCCTCCCTTTTTAGTTTTCATGATGTAAGCAGTTACTTGGCACCCAAAACCTTTTCACATGCCTGACTGCCTTAACACAGCCTGACAGGGAACTTTGCCTGTTTATCGGTTAGTAACACCCCAGGCCAGACACTCCCAGTACAGAGCTAACAGCAGCCTGGGGTGACCGTGACTAATGGCGGGGCCTTGCTGAGTCAGGCTCGGCCTCATTAGCTAAGGACAATGAGCACAAGATAGTCAAGGGGCAGTTATGCAGGGCTAATGCGTACAGTCAAGTTATGTAGTACAACCCCAGACTGAGAGCAAATTTAATTTCACTTCAGAAGTTTAAACAAATACTTTCGTCTACTATCTAATAGTTCTCCAACAAAATGCAGGGCAGGTGCAGTGTTATTTCTAAACCTCTTCTCCAATAATCCTTAGATCTATAGTTAAATTATATATCCAGTTGAAGCATTCTACCTTCTGGAACTTTTTAGATCATCAACAACACTATTCACTATCTACAAATGCATGCAGAGAGGAGGCAAATGGTAGATTAGGACATGAAACCAGTTTTTGCTCCAATATCGCCACCTAATGGCTAATCCTAGAAGTGCAAGATCTTTTATTCATGGGTCGGTAGAATTAAACTATTTTTTTGGAGCTCATGGATATTTGTCATATGTTTAGTTAACATTAAAATGAATAATTGAATTAATTTAAAAAGAAAAATCATCCTTGAAATACCAACATCATTTTGTACATTAATGCTATGAAATATGGACCATAATACATATGACAATTGCTGAATGAAGAGTGGCACTATAAGATAACTAAATGCATAGTCCTTGACTTCCTACCTTCAGTAAGGCCCCTCAGTAAGCTACTATATGCCTCCCCTCACAGCGCTGAAAAGGTTAAAAACCCTTTTGTCACTTACCGGATTCCAGCGTCGATGTCCCTCATCACTGGGTCAGGCACAGCCTCTGCTCCTCCGCCGACTAGTGCCGCAAACTCATTAGGACTTCCCCATAGGAAAGCATTAAATCAGTACTTTCTTTAGGAGTTTTAGCTGACGTTAGATGTCCTCATGCAAAGCGTGAGGACGTCCAGCGTCCGTTAGTAGACAGCAACTAGAGGTGGAGTTAACCCTACAATGTAATTATTGCAGTTTCTCAGTGAGATGAAGTGGTCTGGGTGCCTATAGTGTCCCTTTAATGGAACCCTGAAAAAGCATAATAGATCTTTTGGAACTCCACGCTCCTGAAAAGTTAATCTCCCTGGGGCATATGCTACAACTCTGAAATGCTGGAAGCAATGTTCATAGCATGTGGCCAGCGAGACACAGATACATTCCTTGGTCTGGCTGAACATCCTATAAAAAAAAAAAGCCCATAAAGTCTAAAATTCCACATGACACATAACTTGGATTCCCAGTTACTCATGACCTATTGGATTCCTGGTGCCCTCTGACCCCATGAATGTTTGTTCTCCTAGTAAATTTCTGTGTTGCTATTCCTGCTGGTGAAGATGAATTGTACATGCTTGAGGGAGTGCAGGGCTGCACAGGGAGATGCTTGCTCAAAGCCGGAGCTCCAGGCCTGGGCTGTAGGTGACAGTCTTGGCTGTCTAATGGGTAATCCGGTTCTGTAAACATAGCGGAATATTTTAGATTCTGGTATGACGCCAAACGTGAAGCTATAGTAAGCAGGCCCGGACTGGCCATCGGGCACACCGGGCAAATGCCCGGTGGGCCGCGGTGGCCATGGGCCGAGGCCGGCAGGGGAGGTCCCAGGACATCCCCTGCCGGTCTATGCAGGGCCGGCACTATGCGAGCGCCGGCCCCGCTGTCTTCCATGGAGGGCCGATGGGGAGATCAAAGATCTCCCTCACCGGCCCATTTAAACAGACCTGCGGCTGGGGAGAGAGGGAGAGGACCCGGCGGAGCTCTATCTTGTAGCTCAGCCGGGTTCCTCTCGCGAGATCGGGAGCGTTGCCATGGCAACGCCCCGATCTCGCGAGAGTCACCATTGGACCACCTGGGATCGTGTGTGAGTGCTGGTCCCCCCCACTCACCAGCGTGCCGGACCCCTCCTCCTCCCAGGCTACAGGTAAGGGGAGGGGGGGGATAATGCATGATTAGTGTTTTTGTTTATTTACCCCCCTTATTTTTTTTTATTTGTATATTTAGTCCCACTTAGGTTTTTATTTGTTTATTTACCCCCTAACACACAACATTTATACACAGCACTCTCACACTCAGCACACTCAGCACTCACACACATCATACACAGCACTATTACACTCAGCACTCACACACATCATACACAGCACTATTACACTCAGCACTCACACACATCATACACAGCACTATTACACTCAGCACTCACACACATCATACACAGCACTCACACACATCATACACAGCACTATTACACTCAGCACTCACACACATCATACACAGCACTATTACACTCAGCACTCACACACATCATACACAGCACTATTACGCTCAGCACTCACACACATCATACACAGCACTCACACACACATACTGCACCCCTCACATACACACACAACCCCCCGATACACTGCATCACACACATACACAATACTTCCAAACATATTTATATTATATATATATATATATATATACACACACAGCACCCCTCACACACACACACACACACACACAGCACCCCTAAACACATTTCATTCCAGACACACACTAGATCCTCTATCCAACTCTGAATCATCTACACACACTAGATCCCTATATACACTCTGAATCCGTTATATACGCACGCTCACTAGATCTCCTATACGTAGTCTGGGTCCTTCACACACACACACACACACACACACACACACTCTGGATCCCCTATACGCACACTAGATTCATTGTAAGCAAACCCATACATTCCCTGAACACACACACTATAGCCTGTATATACACACACACACACACACACACACACTATAGCCTGTATACACACACTTGCTACATCCCCTATAGACACATTCTCTACAGCCCCTAGCCACATATGCATTACATTACACCACAAACACAACACGACTAAAACCGACCTTATTACACAATACCACACCACGACCAGCTCACTCTGCACACACGCAATACCACAAGCAGGCTCCAAACACATGCACAATACTCTTTCCTGGCCTTTTGTCTCCTGGTATCCATTTATAGAGACACCAGAGACAAGTTGCAAGGAAACACAGTGCAAGCATGTTATTAAATTTGCTTGCACTGTGCAGAACAAATACAGGGCTTTTTTCTCATGCTAGAGCTCTTCAGCAGAGCTCTGTGCATGGTCTGCCCTGGAAGAGCATTGAACCAACATGCTCACTTTGAGAGGGCGCGTGTTGTCATGAGTGATGACAAAACACACCCTCTCTGCCCCGCCCCCTTCTTAATGGGCCGCTGTGATTAAAAAATGCCCGGGCCAAATTTTTATCCCAGTCCGGCCCTGATAGTAAGTCTCCCTGGTGGTTGTCTCATTGACATTCTCTATGATTATAGGTATACTGACTGAAAAATGAAAACATTACCTTTTCTCATAACATAATGAGATGCAGTGGAGTTGGTACTTAGTGTCCCTTTAAGTGAAAAATGGGTAACTGGATAAAAAGGAACAAAGAATTTAATCATTAAATTTTTTTTCTGGCTTTTGTTTGTGGGAATATGGTCTTAGCCTAGAGGCTGATGTCTGTTGTTGAAATGAACGAGCAGCATGTTATCTGTTTGAGGTGCCCTGGTAGCCACTGCTGATCTCTGTTCTATTTCTAAGTTGAGCAGGAAATGAAGAGCACAGTTAGGCCTCCAGGATATATCTGAAGGAATGTTGGGAACACTGCAGATGGAAGCTTTAACTTGCTAGAGCAAGGCTGTGGCTCTGGGAATGCAAGCTTCAGGTTTTCAGTGTTCATAGTATGCTGTTATTGTTCCCTGGGTATTTATACATGTCATATTAAAGGAAGACTTCAAGCACAATAGCCAACAGAGCACTGTAGTGGTTATGGTTCCAGGAGGACTATGGCGTTGTTCCAGTGTAATTACTCAAACTATTTTAAAGCGGTTTGACAATTGCCAGGACCCACGTTAAATGTTAAATTGTGTGGTTTTTTTTTTTTTTTTAATTCTTTATTTTTGCTTGTGCATGAAATTACAGTGGATCTTGCATTGCCACAACAGCGAATGCGAGGGTTGCAGTACGATTAATGATACATGTTGAGTAGCATTGAAAAACTTTAGACATTACTTTGCATCATTCGAGGGGTTAGCACAGATTTTTATATTTATGGTATTGTAGCTTAAGTCGAACATAACATAGTAATTACGAGTAAACCAAGCAGTCATTTTAAATATAGGTGACCTGAGTGGATTAAAATAATTTGGCTGAAAAACATAAACATAGTATCATAGGTAAATTAGTATCCCTGGTGGTTGGTACCACAGTGAACATCAGCCATACAGGTACAGTAAGTAAGACTTTGTTTGCCTGTGTGTGGTCTGCGTGGGATCATTGAGGTTAAAGGGTGTACGTTATGATGTGCCTCTTGTTGTTTAAGACTAGCAGTAAGTGCAGGGCGTATCTCAATGTATACTTGTAGGTGCAATACACTATGTTGGTGACTTAATATGTCATGCCTGACAGAATCATAAAGCAGCTATAACTTGTATACTGGAATAGTGGCATGAGGAATCACACAGTTTTATATAGTTATATCAATCATCAGCTTGGCAAAGTAGATTAGATTACAGTGGGAAGGTCCTTGCTCTACAGTGCTAGGTTAGCTATGTAAAAGTATTTGGAAACTGTACATTTTAATTATTGTGTTGAAACTTGCTAGTCACAATTTTTAGTATATAATGAAAAGAGAACACGATAAACCTGTATCGCTAAACAACAATGAGATAACAGGCTAAGCTGTAAGTACTCTGAGTACTCTGACTGACAGCATATGAGTGATTGGCCAAGGTGAGTATGCATTATGTAAGCAGGGTTGCAGTTATTGCCTGCAGATCATCCAGTATTTTGCAGCGAGCATCCTGGTATGCTCAATGTGGCAGGTTATGGACAGACGCCACATCGGCGCATTTCAGGATTCACCAGCATTAAGCAGTGGCATGATACTTCTCACAATTGTTATAGTTTCGGAGTTTAACTAAACAGTTATTTGGTCAAAGTGAGATTCAGATAAAATAAAATGAAGATGCTCGGTGCCTAACACCGCTAGATCGGCTATGCTAGTATAGGTTGAGTAAGCACGATTTGTAGTGTGGTAATAGCTGGTTATAAGGCCATGCGCAGATACCTTATGTTGTGAGTGTTTAGGCTAAGAGGCATTAGAAGCACAGGCTAGTGACACAATAACGGTACACAAACATTCTGACTGCTGTGTGTGACAGTTAGAAGGCAATTATAGTGCAGGTTAAAGCGTGTATAAAGCTGCTGTGCTTTACTGTTGGATTGGTGCTAAAATATCTGGGATCTGTCTAAGCTCCCGTTGACGTTTGTCCCAAATGCAAGGGAGAGAGGAGAGAGAGAAAAAAAAAGGGGGGGGGGAGAGAATACTGCAGGTGGATTAGCGCAACACGGCCCCCTGGAGTCCTCCAGGTAAGAGTCCTGCTCCCAAGGGCTTGCATACATAGTGAAAAAAGGGAGATGAGAGATGAGTCCTCAGGGTCCCGGTTATTGATATCATCAGCGATGCCTTGCGGGGTATTGGTGGCACCCCGGCGTGGTACTCTATTTCTCGGGAATGTTCGATGTAGGCAGGTTGTGGTGTTGCTGAACTTAGAGGATGCGACCTTTGGCTCCATTTATGTGGTAAACGAGGCGTAGGTGATCGGTGTGGTGTCCGCGGTCTGAATGGGGCACTTTTTGCTGGATCCCAGCTGTGGGTCAGGGAAGTGGGGGCACAGGGTCCCGTTTGGGAGAGTGAATCCTGTGACAGACCCAGGGTTTGTAGAAGTGCCGCTGCGTCTTGTATGCTGTAGATTTGGTGTGTTTTTTCGCCGTGTTGTACCAGGAGCATGCGTGAGGACCGCCAGTGATACTGTATGTTGTTGCGCTGGAGTGTGGAGGTGAGAGGCCGAAGTGATCTGCGCCATGCCAGGGTTCCACTGGACAGGTCGGCGTAGAAGGTTAATTTTGCGTTCTCAAACTGTATGGGGGCTTTGCCCCGGACGGCGCTGAGGACCGTCGATTTGTCTGACCCATTTTTAAAGGTAAGTATAGTGTCCCTTGTGGCCATGTCTGGGGCCCTAGCGGGTTTTGGGATCCGGAAGAGATCTGTGGGTGTGATGGCTTTGGCATGGTCTGGGGGCAGTATGGTGGTTAGCAGGTAAGTCAGCCTCCGTCAACCCTTCTGGAATCCCCCTGACCTTTATATTGAGTCTCTGTCTTGTGTCTTCCTGGGTTGCAAAGCGCCGTTCATACAGCATATTTTGGCTGTGCAGGTCTTGCATGTCTTTCTGCAGTGAGGCGATAGTGCGCTGCTGTTTTTTGAGAGGAGTCCTCTAGTACTGTAATGCGGCCTGTCAGGCCCTGCAGCTCTCCCCTCAGTGCGGTGACATCAGCGAGGATGTTTTTTTGTAGGTCCGCTAGTAGGATCTTTAACTCCCAGTGGTTACCAGGTCGGCGTCTGGATCCTTCTTTGGGTTGCTGGGTTTTGCCCTCGGCTTTGGGGCTAGGAGGCATTCAACTGCTCCCCCTGAGCAGTCGTCTGAGAAATCCGAGCAGCCTCCGTGGAGCGCCGCCATATTGGATCCGCTCGGGCCGCATGCCTGCCGCCACATCTCCCCTATTGTGAGTCCTGGGGCTGGTTTGTCCGGCATCTATTTCTTGTGCTTGCGTCCCATTAGGGCTTAAGGGGTCCCTGCTGTCGGACAGTGGTTATTGGGGGTGGTATCTGCCGTTGATAAGTTTATTTTCTCTATTTTTCCTCGTAGCTCCTGAGTTTTGCGTCCGCTTGCCTCTGCTGTTAGGCACCGCCCACAATGTTAAACTGTTTTAATGGAGGAATGCCTCACGGGACACCATTGCCAATTCAATGAGGTGAAATGGTTATAGTGCCTAATGGCCCTTTACAGGCCTCCAAACATTTTAAAAAGACAAAGAGGGACACTTTAAGGGTATGGATCTGGCCAGAGGCTGGGCTGTCCTGAGAAGTTTTAGCTGACTTACTAGTAACGTTTTATGTAACTAAAATGTAATTTAGAACAAGAACAATGTATCTTATTGACAAATACTGATTTCTAACATTTATTGTAGTTTCTAAAGACACACTATTGTGAGTATTTGTGATGTGGAGCTCTGTTATACACTCAGACACACCAACAATATTGAGCTCTTTGAAAAGAGGGACAGAGAGATTTGGAACCAAAATAGGGACTGCCCCTCCTAAATAGGGACTCTTGGGAGACTCTTGCCTTTAAGAAAGAAAAAAGTTTATTATTTGAGAATGAAATTTCCATCTAAAGCAAAACCTTTACTCGTCATCATCACTGTGTCATTCAATAGCCCTCCTCATTACATTATATATTATAACTGTTGCATGCGTGGCACTGGCATCTGCAGAGTCCTTGAACATTATGAGCACATGTTCACCCAGGAGATGCAGAGTGTTTTCCACTTACCTAATTTATCTTGAAGTCCATAAAGTCATCGATGGGACATCAAACCTCAAGGTGGTGCTAGTGAAAACCTTTTGTGCATTTAAAGAAAAATAATTTTGGTGTTAAAGGAACACTGTTATAAATACACTTTTTCTTTTCTTTTTTTTTAAATAAAGAAGTTAAACTAAACTTCATCAGCACCATCCTGGGGTGCCACCCCTCTTCTCCTGAGATGCTGCTGATAGATAATATCATGCCAATCCAATGCTTCTCCTATAAAAACATTGGAGCCCTTTCGGTGAATGCATTGAGTGCTTTTCTCTGGGGGCTTCTGTGTCAATTGACCAGGTTTTTTCCTGCAATGTTTTACATTGCCAGGTTAAAATGACAGGGCACTACACTTAGACCATTTAATTGAAAAAAAAGTGGTCTGGGTGACTATAGCGTCCCTTTAATTTTTCGGATCTTGTGCTTGTATAAACACACAGTAATAAGACCTGCATGCAAACCTCCTGCGACTCTTGGGTGACAACAATGACTATGGTATTTATCATCCTTAATGTATCTGGCAAACCAAAAATGCCAGCTAGATCTTATCTAAAGTTGGATCTAAGCCTGGAGCTCTGGCCACGAGCCTACATTTATTTATTTCCAAAAAAAATCCTCTTTTAAACAAGTAAGATTTTATGGTACAGTACACCTTGTTCATTTGTTTGGTCTTTGTTTTTGCAGTGTGACAGAGAAAGGTCAAGAAAGCTGCCAGGAATTAATTCAAGCCTACAAAGAATGTATGAAATCACTAGGATTGCAAATCGAATGAATTTACAGGTAAATCGGCACTTATAAATACTTATAGAGTGTATGTTAGTCACGTTGTGTTTTTAAAATCAGTCAGATGTCATTGATGGTGTAGTCAATTCTTTTTGATTGTGAAATACAAATACAATAATATACAGGCAAAGGTGGAAGCAAAAACAAAAAAAAAGTTTAAATCTAGGAAAAAGATTTTCTTAGTGTGTGAGAAGTAAGATGAACCAAAAAGACAATTATCAGAAACCTATTTTTTGTGTTCCTGTATTAACTTTGTTTTGAAAGCCTGGTATTAATACACAAACCTTATTTCAGAAAGCAAAGGTCCCCAGACTCCATAGATTTATCAAAACCGAATAAATGAACCACCAACCCAAAGGAATCTCCTTTTAATCCAATATTTTTCTAGTAGGTGGGAACAAAGTCTGTATGTTTAGGTTACAGCAGTGGTTCTCAAACCAGTCCTCGTGGCCCACCAACAATCCAGGGTTTATGGATTTCCTTTTTGTATTTCAATGGAGATACTGACCTGGACTGTTGGTGGGCCAGGAGGATTGGTTTGGGAACTGGGTTAGAGTAAGCTTTCAAAGATTGTCAAAAAAGGTTGTAATCTACGCCTTCGTTTGGCATTTCTAAAACATATTGTGTTACTGAGCTCTGGTAGATCACAAAATATACCATACAGGTGAAAAACTGTTTGCAACGGCCATACCCAGTACAATCTTTAAAATTGTATCACAATACAACAGTGTTTAAGTTCCACTCAGTAACATATTTTGCAAACCATAATAATCCTGATGAATCTTGGGATCCTTAAAGGCATTGGAAACTGAACTGATTTGGACAACAATAAGTGTATTGAAGAAAATAACAAAATATTTGTACTATTTTATGTCTTTGTTGGACACGTTTAGGTGACATTGCTAATAGTATTAGTAACAAAAAAAATTGCCCCCCCTCTGGCCCCTGTACTCAGGTCCATAAAGTTCAGCCTTCCAAACATCTGTTTCTGCAGTTGATCCAAAAGAAGGCAAGAAAAAATATAGTCTGAATAAAGTCTGAAGCCATTTCCAATTGTGCCACATACCGGGAATAAATGATACATTGATTGCAAAATGGCAGCCAGACATCTCCGTGGATCAGAACGTTGCTACCACCTACATTAAATTTCATATCCTGTAATAGTCTGCTTTTTGAAAAAACATTCAGATATTTTTTTAAATCTCAACAGAATCCGCTTTCTTGTGTAGCAAATAATTCCACATCTCGATTGTACTTCCTGTAAATAATCCTTTCCTCCGCTGTAGGTGTAATTTCCTTTCTTCAAGTCTCAAAGGATGACCTTTGAGTTCTATTTACAGGCCTGTTAATAAACAGATTGCCAGGCAGATGTTTGTTTTGACCCTGTATATATTTTTATAGGGCTATTATATCCCCTCTGAAACACAATTTTCTCCTCAAAGTAAGCAATTTCAGCTTTCCACCCTTTCTCTATATGTAATTTTTTTCGTTACCCTTATTCATTTTTTAGCCTACTTTCGTGCTTTTTTTAACAATAATTTTTATCCTTTTTTTAAAACTGGTGTCCAAAATTGCATCTCACTGTGTTTAAAATTATTTATACTCCACTAACATTAGTAAATAATATGATATTTCTTCATTGATATTTATCCACGAATAGTCTATATTATTACCATGATACTAATTATATATGATTAATATTAATAATAGTCAATTATAAGTGGATAGTGTGTATATATATAATTATGTATACATTTGTCTCTGGGTGAGTCGCATTCCTTAGCTCAGACTTGCATGAACAGAGTGATAGAGAGAAATCTTGTGTCTGTCTTAGCCTTGTAATACAAAATGGAGTCACCTCTGTTCTGAGAGTGACTGGCAGTGTACACTTTTAATTTCTGTCTTAACACAAAATGTCTACCCATATAAATATACTGACAAAACCCCTTAGTGATTAACATAGCAATGATTAATTTAGTCTATGAATAAGCACTACAGAAGTTACAAGACATATTGTGCACTCATATCATTTCTTCTGGCGTTAGGCCTGTGCGTGCAGAATGAACATTTTTGCATATTGTGGTACCTGTAAGAGCTTAGAATTTTACACTTAGTACAATCAACCATAATACCATTATTATCATTGTAAACCCAATAACAATTTTAACATACATGAACCAGTCAACACGCGCAATATGGTCAGTATCTAGCTCAGAAAACTTAAATGTGTCCACAGAAATTTTATCTTTTCTGATTGACATTTGGATGGTGTGGTTGGCTTATGGTCTAGCAAGAACTTTAGATTAGGATCTAGTGGGATATCTAGATTCTGGAAAGCATGCACCATCTCAATATCACTTTCAATGATGTCAGTGTACACCGGGTATAGCGTAACGACACCAATGGTGATACAAGAGTAGTGGGGTACCTTGATTAGTGAGACAGGTGCTGGTAAGGCAATTACTTTATTAGTCACCTGGTCCCTGCGAAAAACACTTATGTTTTTAAGACACGCGCTAACTAACCATTTATCTTTTACCAAGATAGCATGTACTAAAGCATTATCGTCGGTTTTGGACATAGTGACTTGACATGTTTCAGAGCCATGTTTAATGTACTCAATCCCACACAAAGCATTGGTAGAATCGTACACGAAAGGTTTTCCATCACACTGGAAATTGTCTTAGAATTTCTCGCAGTCATTCAAAATGGGCATTGAATACCAATCTGGTACCCATGGTTGAAAAGCCAGAACATTGGGGGCTTGAACTTTTACGTGGATATCTTCCTTCCATACACCAACATTGTAAATTGTTTTCATTTGAAAAATGTTTTTGGGAGTTACATACGGTATGGCCAATAAAAACGTGGAGCACTCCCCATCTCAAAGGCCAGATTTAATTGCATAGGCTTAATTGTCTCTCCATCCACACTGGCAAGCATCGCATGAACAATATCCTTGGATACAACATTCAGAGGTATGCGTCCGCCTGCCAATTCAATCATTCCGGTTTGCACTTTGTCAAGAAAAGCAAGTGTGTGGAACAATATTGGGTCATGCAGAAATAGAAGTTCACGCTTAAATAAGTCATGACTTTGGTGCGACTCAGTGGACCCCGAATGCAAATTTGTTGTAACAACTGTGTCTTCCACAATAGTAAACACGTCTTGGAGAAGTATGCTTTGCTGTTTTATCACCTGATGAATATCGTTAATGTGCTGCTTTAGTGCATAGATTTCCATATATAGTTGTGACAAAAAGTAACTTAATAGGTGAACATCAGTTATAGTGATGAATGATCTCTAAAGTTGGAAAATGAGAACAATACAACTACCATAACCACTTTGTCACTGCAAGAATAGCCGCCAGCCACGGTTAAAGAGAATACAAGGTATAGGTGCCTATTGAATAAGTCAATAGTATTTACAGGACTTGGTGGAAATGGAACTCAAGGATAAAGATGTGAAAATATCTTAATAGATTGTAGAATATAAAAGTATCAGCTGATCGGATCAATACCTCCCATGTGAAAGGGTAGGGGAAACCGAAAATCGCTGAAAAAATAATATAGTAATGGTTCTAAAACACCAATGTAAGAGAACCAATACAAACTGTAAACGTAACATAAGTCAGAAAATAAATTACTCATACCTCATAGGGGGTTAAAAATCCTTAAAATGGTGTCAATTATATAGTGTAGCATACAGAGTGCTTATTACAAAAGATTTTATTGGCACATTAATACTGTCAGTACAATACACATATATATAAATGACTCATAAGTAAAATGAACAAAATGTCCCAAGTGAAAAAAGCAAAGAATACCAGGTATGTAGACTGAGGGTCCAATATTGTTCGTAACACTCTGTCACTGGCCGGATAAAAGTGAGTGTGGACCTCCTCGTGCTGTATCAACACTGGCTGTCAGCCGCGTGCGTTCCACTGCAGCTCTGGATGCGTTCCAGTCTATCACTTGGGAATCAGTGTAGGATGCTGCCTTACGCGTTTCGTGATCATAGGATCATTTCATCATAGGATCAATATTGGACCCTCAGTCTATATACCTGGTACCATCTAAAGACAGTTTAATCTCTGCCTCTCTTAACTGAGTGAGAACATGTCTAATCTCTATGCTATGTTTATCAAAGGAAGTGCTTTTCAGCAAGACATCGTCGACATATAACGTTCCTCTCTCGAGTACGTCAGGCATAGCTTTATGCATGAACACAGCGAATTCATGACCAGAGTTTATGTAACCGAAAGGCATACTGGTCCAGGTATACTGCTGCTTTCCAAATGTGAAGGCCAATTTGTATTGGTCTTCATTATGAACTGGTACAGTCCAATATACCTACGGACAGTCAATGGCAGTGAATATTTTGGATCCCAGCATTTGTACCAAACATTGGTCTATGTATGGCACTGGCCAACCAGACATATAGACACATAAATATAAGAAATTTGGGAAAAATCAGTACAAAATGGTGCTACTATCACCTAGTGTGAATCACTCAACCACACAAATAAAGTGTACAAAAAATATAAAAGGCGGTGAGAGCACTCTAAAGCATGCAATTAAGATTATTACCAGATTGATCTTGAGTTCAACTCTAAAAACAACAAGATAAAAGAAACATAGAGTAGTATTGCCAGATTACAAATATTGTTAGTAAAATACTGGAAAAACTCACATGTTACTGAGTCACTTAAAAAGCTGACTCAGACTAAAAGCTTGTAATGGAGATGAATATTCCTTTAGACTGGACGTCCTTTGGATGAATTTCTTCTGGATGTTAATGTAATAATTATTCCAGGATACAATTCCAAAGTGAAACTAATTTATTGATTAAAACAAAAGTTTTTAAATCAAACATAAAATAAAATTGTCCATATGTAATTACCACGACGCGTTTCGGCAAAATAGCCTTTCTCAAGTGGTTTGCATTCATCTCCATGATTGTAGCTTTTAAGTTCAAAAGTTTGGCGCCCTTTCTCACTATTTCCGGTTTTCTTTACTTCCGTTTTCGTCATCAGTAATCGTCCGACGTGTCCCACACGTCATGGCGTCATCTTTCGTCGTCCGACGTGTCCCACACGTCATGACGTCATTCCGGCACCCCGGACCGGAAGTGTTGCGGGCGCCATTTTTAAAAGTCCTTTTAATACTTATTTTGCCAGTTCTTTCTCAAATGACGAGCAATTAAAGCATAAAAAAGTTTTATATATAAAATTTTGGTATAAACCTTCTCCAAAAAATAAAAAAGGGGGAAACATATATATTATTAAACAAGAAGAAATGTCATATACAATATATATAAGTTAAGATCTAGACAGCTGTGTAATAAAATAAATATTAAAATAACTATAGTTATAATAATAAAAATAATTAAAATATATTTATATATAGGAATTGACCTCAAAATCTATATTTAGACCACATGGGGATAGAGTTTGCATGTTAAAAATCCATTTCATTTCGGTTTTGTTCAGGAGATTTTCTATGTCTCCTCCCCTCCAATGTGTTTTGACCCCTTCTATACCCATAAAGTCAAAACCTTGTGTGTTACCCCCATGTACTTCTAAAAAGTGTTTAGACACATTATGAAGAATATATTTTCTTTTAATATTATAAATATGTTCTCTAATTCTTATTTTTAGTGGTCTAGATGTTCTACCTATATATTGGTATCCACATGGACAGGTGATCATATAAATTATATTTTTAGAGTTGCAGGTTAAAAAAGATTTAATATCATACGATTTTTTATTAAAAAAAGAATCAAATTTGGTAACAGTTTTATTTTTATGTTTTCTTAAAGTGCACCCTCTACATGACCCACAATAATAAAAGCCATTGTCTCTTTTAAACATAGTTAAAAGTTGGGGATTTTTTTCTTTCTCTAAAAAACTTGAAGTTAAAACCTGTTTAAAATTCTTTGCTCCTCTAAAAATGACTTTGGGTTTAGTTCCTATATATTGTTGTACATCTTGATCCTGCTCCAAAATGTGCCAGTTCTTCCTAATTATTTTTTGTAATTCATTACTGTTTGAGCTATAATTAAAAATGATAGGTATAGTAAGATCATCGTCCCTTAATTCTTTTGTTTTAGATTTTAAAATATTTTCCCTAGATTCTTGTCCTACTCCTTCTTTTAGTCTTTTTAATTCATCATAATTGTACCCCTTTTCCACTAGTTGATTAATTAAAATCTGAGTTTGTTCATCATATTGTTGAGTTTCTGTACAATTTCGCTTGATCCTTAAAAATTGTCCCTTAGGTATATTCATTAACCAGGGTTTAAAATGGCAACTTTTCAAATTAATAAAACTATTTACATCTACTAATTTAAAAAAAGTTTTACTTTTAATTTGGTTGTCTTCCACATAAATATTCAAATCTAAAAAATTAACTTGTTGAGTACTAATTTCGTATGTTAGATGAATGTTCCAACTGTTTGAATTAAGACCATTTAAAAAACTTAAAAGGGACTCTTTTGTTCCTCTCCATACAATAAAAATATCATCTATGTATCTTTTGTATAAGACCAGACTTGCCCCAAATTCTGATTTAGAAAAAATCTCCAATTCCTCCCAATGTGCCATAAATAAATTAGCATAGCTTGGGGCAAATCTGGTCCCCATAGCCGTTCCCTTTGTTTGTAAATAAAAATTATTCTCAAACCAGAAAAAATTGTTGGAGAGGATTATTTGTATCCCTTTTATAATAAAATCTATTTGCTGGGAATTTAATTTGGTCTCTTTAGTTAAAAAATGTCTAGCAGCCTCACATCCTATTGTGTGTTCTATAATAGTATAGAGGCTACTGACATCACAAGTGGCCATAATTAGTCCATCCTCCCATTTTAAATCTCTTAAAATCTGTAAAAGTGACATAGTGTCCTTAAGATAAGAGGGACATTTTTTAACTGGATCTTGTAAAAAATAATCTAAAAACTGGGACAAAGGAGATAGAAGAGAGCCAATTCCAGAGACTATTGGTCGTCCTGGGGGATTTTTTATGTCCTTATGAATTTTTGGTAAGACATATAGGACGGGAATTCTAGGAAATTTTACATTAAGGAAGTCATATTCTTTTTTATTTAATATCTCTAATGCTAATCCATAATCTAAAAATGATTTTAATTTCTTTTTTATTTCTTCTAAGGGGTTTTTTGGTAATAGTAAATAGGTTTCTTGATCTTTTAATTGTTCAAAAATCACTTCAAGATACTTTTCTTTTTGCCATATCACTACCCCTCCCCCCTTATCGGCTGGTTTAATAACAATACTAGAATCTTTTCTCAAGTCTTGTAATGCTTTTCTTTCAAGTTTTGTTAAGTTTTTTTGTCTTTCTTTTATAGGTTTTATTTCTCTGAGCTCTTTAATGCAGATTTTTTCGAATACCTTTATTGCATCTGACTTTAAATAGCTTGGAAAAAAATTCGATTTGTTTTTAAAAGTGGTATGTTTAAAACTTTCATCATTTTTCTCTTCTATTATATTAAGGGTCTTTTGATTAAAAAACTTTTTTAAACATAATTTGCGCGTAAATCTATTAATGTCTAAAAATGTCTCAAATTTATCAATGTCACAACTAGGAGCAAATTTAAAACCATTATTTAAAACCTTTATATGACAATCGTTTAAAATTTTATCCGAAAGGTTAAAAATTCTTATGTCCGTTGGGGTCTTTTTGCTAAATCCTCCCTCCTCCTCTTCTCCTCTTTTTTGTTTTCTATTTCCTCTTCTTGTCTTCCCCTTTTTATTGGGGTTTGTGTTTTTTGATTCCCTTTCATTCTGCTCATCGTCTGGCCTAAAAAAAGATCCTCCTCATTTAAATGTTGTAGATGACTATATCTGTTTGAAACAGTTATGGATTTTTCTTGTTTCCTAGGGGGAGAATATTTAGGGTTTCGGTCATAATTGATCCTATTAAAATTATTTTTGTCATAATTGTTACCTCTAGAGGAATTTCTCCTTTCTCCTGTTCTAGATTTTACTTGAATCCATTCCCCTTTCTTTTCATACTCCCTTTTTTGTTGATATTGATTTGATATAGGAGATCTCTCCCCATACGATCTATAATTCTGTTGGGGTAATCTTTCTTGTTTTTTAAAATTTGGTTTCATATAATTTCTTTTTGTATTTTTAAGACCATTTTTTTGTGGTTTTATTTGACCCTTTAAATAGTCTTCCTGATCTCTTTTCAATTTCTTTTTCTTAGTTTCAATTACTCTTTTCTCTATACTCTTTATTTTCTCTATTATCTTTTCCATCAGAATCTTAAATTCCTCATTTTCTATAAAGGGTTCAAGTTTTTTCTGGAGGTCATTAATTTCCTCATTCATTTGGAATAAGCTAAGTGTTCGTTGTTCTATAATGATGCCCATCATATGTTTTGCAAAAGACTCTAGGGCTCCATCCCATGCCTCCTTAAATCTCTCATTTTCATTTTCGGAAGTAGGGGATTTTTGGAATCTTAAACCCCTAGGGGCTATTTGTAATTCCACATATTTCTCTAATGTAAACTCTATCCCCATGTGGTCTAAATATAGATTTTGAGGTCAATTCCTATATATAAATATATTTTAATTATTTTTATTATTATAACTATAGTTATTTTAATATTTATTTTATTACACAGCTGTCTAGATCTTAACTTATATATATTGTATATGACATTTCTTCTTGTTTAATAATATATATGTTTCCCCCTTTTTTATTTTTTGGAGAAGGTTTATACCAAAATTTTATATATAAAACTTTTTTATGCTTTAATTGCTCGTCATTTGAGAAAGAACTGGCAAAATAAGTATTAAAAGGACTTTTAAAAATGGCGCCCGCAACACTTCCGGTCCGGGGTGCCGGAATGACGTCATGACGTGTGGGACACGTCGGACGACGAAAGATGACGCCATGACGTGTGGGACACGTCGGACGATTACTGATGACGAAAACGGAAGTAAAGAAAACCGGAAATAGTGAGAAAGGGCGCCAAACTTTTGAACTTAAAAGCTACAATCATGGAGATGAATGCAAACCACTTGAGAAAGGCTATTTTGCCGAAACGCGTCGTGGTAATTACATATGGACAATTTTATTTTATGTTTGATTTAAAAACTTTTGTTTTAATCAATAAATTAGTTTCACTTTGGAATTGTATCCTGGAATAATTATTACATTAACATCCAGAAGAAATTCATCCAAAGGACGTCCAGTCTAAAGGAATATTCATCTCCATTACAAGCTTTTAGTCTGAGTCAGCTTTTTAAGTGACTCAGTAACATGTGAGTTTTTCCAGTATTTTACTAACAATATTTGTAATCTGTCAATACTACTCTATGTTTCTTTTATCTTGTTGTTTTTAGAGTTGAACTCAAGATCAATCTGGTAATAATTTTAATTGCATGCTTTAGAGTGCTCTCACCGTTTTTTATATTTTTTTAGACATATAGACACGTTTATTTAGCTGTCTTAAGTCAGCGCATAAACTCCATTGTCCATTAGGTTTCAGAATTCCCAGGATCGGATTATTATACGAACTGTGCACCGGACGTACAATTCCCCTTTCCTTTAAATTCTGAATGATGTCTTGTAGACCATCATATGAAGCCAATGGAAATCTATATTGTTTGATAAATACAGGTGGTAAATTTGGATCCGTTTGTATTCTGGCTAAGTGGAGGTTAGTTAACCCACAGTCGTAGGAATCCTTGGCAGAAATATCTTGGAATTCCATAAGGATTTCCCTTAGCTGTTGCCACTCAGCATCGTTGGAGCAACCGTCAGCTAACGATATTTGTTCTTCAAGCCTTTCTTGAAATCCTGGAAAGATTTCAGGCTGGCTTATCTCATAAACTTCTTCATGCCTAGAAGTTAGGTCAGTTCGGTGTTTACTTACCTTTTCTCTTTGGTCGTGATATTCTCGTGATTCCTGCTCAGTGATCGATGCTTCTTCGATTTTACACAAGCCTTCTTCGACGTTAAAGGGATATACAGATAGGATAGTAAATAATCCTTCTGGGAAGGAATGAAATATTTGATTGACAATTTCGTCCTCTGTTAATTATTCTTCAGGTATGAGACCTATAATTTGGTTTTGGAAACCAAATGTATAGTACTCCGCATCCAATGCTAGACCTAATAATGTTCCTTTTGGTAAAGTAACACTATTGGGTGTAACATTGTTGACTATTACATAGGTTCGATTCTTACCAATACTTACGATTGGTGTATGTGTTACCACCGTCCCTAATTGTTGTATTCTATTGGATAAACCGATTAGGGCGTCAGTTTTTCAATCTCTGACCCTTCTTGACCTGTAGGGGTAAAAGAAAGTTACTTGTCCCTTGTGGAATGGTTATGTCATCAGGTACTTGGATACTTACCGCATATGTTAGTATTTGTCCTGATTTCAGAGCATTTTCCTCGTGTTGGTATCCACAAGGATTACCTTTTAACCTTGTCCACAAGTTGGGAGTTAATCAGGTCAAGGTGTATGGCAAAGCGATGTATGACATCATTGCCAATGTAAACCTGATAGCAAAGTTCGTCTATTACTGGGAATAAATGTTTAGCCATTTTATTTCCGATGGAAATGGATAGTAAACATTTTGCTATCACATTGTGACTCTCTGATTCGCCATGTTCTGGATCCACCTGTCATGTGGGGAAGCATACCTGATCATTTTAAGATTAGCTAACTGCTTTTGCAGACTCCTGCTAATATAGCTGTTCTCACTCTTTAAGTACAGCTTTGCATTCCTAGTTCTTCCTAAGTCATTTATTTGAAAAGGAAAGAATAAGTTGTTATTAACCCTTTCAATTCTGGCAAGGGGTGGAGTATGACCTGCCAGATCAACAGATTCAACATGGTCCCTGTGGAGAGAAATGGTTAAAACATCACATTCCAGAAAGACATTCCGGATTCTCTCTGGAGCAACTCTTATGGAATGTTCATCTACAGGTGCAATTGCGTCATTCACCTGCAGGATAGTCACGTCAGGTGACTGACTATTCCTAAAATGTACCTCAATAGAGTCAGGTCTTTCTTCTATCACATGGCAGTTACGTTCAGGTTGAACATGTGACTTTGCATAGGTTATAGGAACCTTAGCTTGTGACCATACAATTCCATTCACACAATCAATAATTGTGTTAAGTCTTCTGAGTATGTCTATACCCAGAATCAGTCGATTATAGGGAAGATCTACCACTATTACCAGATGTTTAAAGGTTTTGTTACCTATTTTAAACTTTAACCAAGTATTGCCAATAAAATGAAGGAAAGTTCCTCCTACACTCGACAGAGCATTGGGGAAATCTCTTAGCTTCTGCTTATCCGTTGCTAATTCCATTACCTGCTGGAAGTAGGTATTGAATAAGATAGTGGCTTGTGAACCAATATCTATTAACCCTTTGAAAGGTTGGGGTAAGGAATCCTGTATTTTTACAGGCATGTAATACCTTTCTTCATGTTCTTCTAATTCACATAAGAATTTAGAATGTGTCAACATATCACTCGTTTTCCATACGTTACCTGTCACAGCAGTAGTTTCTACCTGTACTGAGGAATGCTCAGTCTTACCCACTTGGCCCATCCTTCTTAGGAACATCTTGAACTATCAAGCAGGAACTAGTGGTCGGCATCTTATCAGTTAACCCTTTCAGGTCTGGATCCTGGAAACTAGAGGCTGTTGGGGATATTTTAGCCTTTGGTTGAAATGAAAAAACAGAGGGACACGTTGTGCCTCCTTCACTCGGAAGTGAAGTGACTGGGTAGGCAATATGTTTTCTAACACAACTATTGTTTGTCTGACTGTGAGGATCTGGAAAGGAAACCGGGTTAGGCAATACATCTACTGACAACCTAGCCTGTTTAGTCACAGTAGCTATTATTGCGGTGGCACCTGTGGTTGCTGCTGCAGTTGAATAGGTGGCTCTGCAATTGGGGCTGTCCCTAAAAAAGGATTTCTGGCAAAGACTTGGTTAATCTTTGTCATTTTTTCCATTTATTTGCCCATCTGGTCGGTCAATTGACCAACCTGACAACGCAAATTATTTCCACCATTGCCGTTTTGTCCTTGCCCCTTAGAATTAGGCTGGGATAGCTGAGACTGTTGGGAGTTATTGGAAGCAGACTGGTTGTTTCTGTTTCCATATCTCCTATTTCCCTGAAGATTCCTTCTCCATTGGGAATTGCCTTGGTTCTTATTAAACCAGGGACGTTTATTCCCATTGGCATTGGACTTTTCAGAGTTATCAGAGGAATTAACAGGATTGCTTATGGCATTTTCCTGTTTCTGAGGTTTTGGAGTTTTCAAAACCTCAGAATAAGTCCTCTTTTTCTGTTGGGTTTCTAAATCTAACTGAATTTTAGTCTCTGACAGCATTTTATCACCAGGTTTCTTAACCTTTTGCTGATTTTCGTCATGTGCATGGTGTATAGTATACAATTTCATGCACTTACTAACCAGCTATTCCTATGGTATCTTACAATCATAATCTCTTGCGAGATTCATTTGTATGTTTGCCGGCATAGCATGAAAATACAGATCTTTGAATTCTGTACTTTCATACCTGGGTTTCCTTTGGGCCACGGAATATGCATTTTTAAGAATTATTAAAAATTCTCTGGGGCTTTGATCTGGACGGCACTTTAAGTTATAAAGCTCTTTCCTAGCAGAAGCAATGGTTCTATACTTATCATATTCCATGGTTATCTCATATTTCATCTTTTACCAGGACATTAGCTGTATATCTTGAAGACTCTCCAAATGAATACGGCATATTGAATCAAAGGTCCATGTAATGTACCATTTCTTATGGATGTCATCATACATGCCCAATGAATTCATGGCTCTTTCATAATTTTCTAGAAAATTGTGGGACTGTCTCTTTAAGGAATTTAATAACCTTAGGCGTTTCATAGACAGGAATAGTTGATTTTCGACTGTTTCTGTTTTCCCTGCGTTTAGGTAAACGGCTATGCGATCTGGCTGCTGAAGAGTAATTAGATCCGTATAACAGCGCAGATGGTATAGCAGTCACATGGCCATCAAGGTGGACAGTGCAATCACTTTCACTCCCATCACTCTGAGCTTCTTGTTCACTATCACAATTCTGATCAGCATCAGAGTTCTGCCAGTGTACAAAACCATGTCTCTTATCCCTCCTATCACCCTGAACCTGATTCCCTTTCTCAAGCTTGGCAAAGACAGTCTTTCCAAACTGTTCTGCCCAAGATTGCCAGTGTTTGGCAATATCATGAGATGAGGAAGCCTGTTCCACAGGTGTTTTCTCAGAATTACTCACATCTTTTCTTTCAGACTGTTATAGGAAAGTCTGGTCTGCAAATATAAGGGAATGGAGAAAGCCTAGGTCTTTTTCCATTGATTTTTCACTATACTGTTGACTTTCATCTAACTGTATCTGTATCTGTTTTATCTGCTGTTCATAATTATCCATCATGATGCTCATTCCTTCCAGTCTATTTGAAAGATCAGAGTTTTTAGCCTGAAGGATATCATGTTCAGCAGACAAAGTTTCGAACATCAGGTTTTTGTGACATTCGTCCAATCTAAGTTCTAATTCATTATGCTTTTTTTTTAACGGACAGTATCGTAGATTCTTTGTCTGTTACTAAGATGTTTACTTAGAGGTGCATTATTCGATCTATCATGAATAGAATTAAGAACTTGTTCTTTAATTTGGAATACCCAATCTTTAGAAGTCATTTTAATTTGTAAATGCTTAAAGGAACAAGTTGCAGGTCTAATAACCTCTTCCCACTAACTGATTGAGATGATGTGCTGGATTCAGCCATATTTTTATACACGTAATTAATCTCAATACAAAACTCTTTTCTATATCAAGATTTATATTGCATGAATTACACAAATAGCAGTGCCTCCGAATTACTGTGTGAAATATAATTTCAACTAATGATGTCAGCAGTGTGCCTCCAAATTGTGAGGATATTTATGGGGTGATTCCCCGAATAATGATAATATAAAGCTGAGAATTACTCACATATTTTAATTTTCTTAGATCCTAGAAGAAGTTTCACTAGAAGATTTTTACTTCACACAGTAATCCCAAATTAATTATAAAAATATACTTTATTGTGACAATAATAAAAATCATAATATGTAACATGCGTGACAATCAGTGAATATTTAGGTATAACTTAAGCATTACATATGGCAATGGTTTCAACATGATTCAGACAGCTAAAAGCAACCAGTTGTCAACAAGATTTATGATAGGACACTGTTTAGAAACCAACTTCACACAGAAGACATAATTTAACAGCACAGTGTATAGCAATCACACTGAATTAACTCTTCCATTGCTGGCCACAATCCTCATAGGCAAGATATCCTATTATGTTACAACTTTACAATTAAAGTAATGTTCATACCAGATCATTTGACCATTCCTAGGACCATCCAATAAGAATAATTCTACCAGATTTTACGTTTGCCGAATTTTAACTTTCCTAAATAAGATTCACTATCTTAAATCAGAACAAGTCAATACCTCTGAATAAAAATTTGGTATGCTAACATTTGGCAAATTTACTGTTAATATATCGTTATCGTTATTCCACCTGCAGGAATGGAATTTTTATAACCATATATTTCTTAGCTAATTATGATTTCTAATGATTGAAATATGACCAATATTTATCTAGATATATATTCCTGCTATTAGTAAAAATTAATTAATTTACTTAAATAAAACCAGCATAATTTCCAGTTAGGTTGTAGATTTTCTCTCAGATGAGTAGATATGTCCCAGGAATTTCGAATGCAAGTATGATATATAGAGAACTGTATGGAAATAGATATGTTTTCAGTTCTGGAGTTGTGTTAATTGGAAAAAGTAATAGTAAGAATTAAATGTGTCCAAGAGAGTGTTGTTTCTTGAGTACAGTCCAAGAGTCAGAATATGTTTCAAAGAGACTTCTAATGTGGTTCAAATAGTGTGAAATCTCTCAAAGAGCTGAGTTTTTCCTTACTTCTTAAAGGGAAAAACTCTCTGCACGTCACTAGTTGGTAGGACCAATAGGGAACTGTAGGTGTGTCTTCCCTAGAGACTATAATCTAGATTTTGGTCAGTAGGTGGCGCAATTACATCACCAAAATTTCTTGTCAGGCGGTCTATGCCTTTTTGCATAATGGGTTAACTGAAATTGGTGATGCATTTTACGTCATTTTTGGTTATCTTTATGGCTACTAAAAATCTAAATTCCTGCCAATTTCAAAGGCTTTTTCACATTTATACCAGACAGAGTGTCGGCAATTTCGATCGTAATTTTAGAATTTACACCTCCTAACCTATATTTCATCATTTTCTTACAATGGAACTTTTTTAGAAAGTAAAATTAATTACTTAGTGTTATCTGTCATTGGTGTCTGGTTTTCTTGTGTGAAGCTGTGTTTAAGATTATTTATACTCCACTAACATTAGTAAATAATATATTTCTTCATTGATATTTATCCATGAATAGTCTATATTATTACCATGATACTAATTATATATGATTAATATAATAATAGTATAGTGGATAGTGTGTATATGTATATATAATTATGTATACATTTGTCTCTGGGTTAGTCGCATTCCTTAGCTCAGACATGCATGAACAGAGTGATAGAGAGAAATCTTGTGTCTGTCTTAGCCTTGTAATACAAAATGGAGTCAACTCTGTTCTGAGTGTGACTGGCAGTATACACTTTTAATTTCTGTCTTAACACAAAATGTCTACCGATATAAATATACTGACAGTATGTGAATGAGCTCAACAAAGAACCACCACAACCACAGTTTTTCCCCCACCACAACTCTTTTGAGATATACATATATATATTTATATATATATATATATATATATATATATATATATATATTAAAAATACAAAATTGCTTGCATTCCTGAAATAGGTATATAATATGCCCGGTGCTGGTCAGGCAAATAGCATAGAAAAACAGAGAATGACCGCACTCAGGGACTTGTAAATATCACTAAAATTTAACTTTTAATGTTCAAAATAAATCAAATCAACGTTTCAACCCCATATTTGGGCTTTCATCAGGATGGCAAAAACTTTTTTAACATCCTGATGAAAGCCCAAATATGGGACTGAAACATTGATTTGATTTATTTTGAACATTAAAAGTTAAGTTTTAGTGATATTTACAAGTCCCTGAGTGCGGTCATTCTCTGTTTTTATATAAATATATATATACACTCTCTCTCCCTCGTCTCCTATAAGAGGAAGTGTGCTCATAATTGAGCACTTTAAGTAATTAATATTAAAATAGCAGCTCTAGGTGTGTGAGTGTACAACCAAGAAAGACACTGGATATATAAAAGGAAAAATACTAAACAAATATAGTGCAGATTGTAACTGTTACATATGTGTGTACAGATAATTAGATACATTCACATGGACAGAAGCCTAAACTTATTGACTTTGTAATTAACATTTCTGTGCTATTGGGGCAGCAACACAACCCTCTTCTGACAAGGATGATCCTCCAATCAAAACACAGAAAAGAGGGAAACCAATAGTGCAATATACAGAAGTCGGTCCTCCAATAATAAAAACAATATATTAAAGGACCACTCTAAGCACCCAGACCACTTCAGCTTAATGAAGTGGTCTGGGTGCCTGGTCCTTCTAGGGTTAACCCATTTTTTAATAAACATAGCAGTTTCAGAGAAACTGCTATGTTTATGAATGGGTTAAGCCTTCCCCCTAATCCTCTATTGGCTGTCTCATTGACAGCCACTAGAGGCGCTTGCGTGCTTCTCACTGTGATTTTCACAGTGAGAGCACGCAAGCGTCCATAGGAAAGCATTATGAATGCTTTCCTATGTGACCGGCTGAATGCGCGCGCAGCTCTTGCCGCGCGTGCGCATTCAGCCGACGGGGAGGAGAAGAGGAGGATCGGAGGAGGAGAGCTCTCCGCCCAGCTCTGGAAAAAGGTAAGTTTAACCCCTTTTCCCTTTTCCAGAGCCGGGCGGGAGGGGGTCCCTGAGGGTGGGGGCACCCTCAGGGCACTATAGTGCCAGGAAAACGAGTATGTTTTCCTGGCACTATAGTGGTCCTTTAAGCTCACCTGGCTCTGAGGTAACCAGCTTTGTGCCAATTTGAAAGGGTGGCACTTAACTCTTAGAAAAGGTTTCTGGGGGCGGGGCCTGGCCGCCATGCTGACCGGTCGCATGCGGGAGAGGCTCCTGCACAATCTGGCCCTTTAGAATGCAAAACATGGCACGTCGCAGCCAGAAATGCAGCACAGTGAACAGGCAGCTGTGGGCGCTACTGCTGACCCCAAGATCGGGAGTTTTGAGGCCCCTGAAGGCTGCAAGAAACTTTGGGGCCTGCGGCCTACGCGGGAGGGGAGCGGGATGGACGGCCGCCGTCCTGTCTCCAACTCTAGCAACCACGCAGCAGCACTGAAGCACTCCTCACAGGTCCCGTTCCCCCCCCTATGGACCGGCGGGGGTTATCCCAGTCCCCACTGGAGGGATCCGACACCACCGCTCACCGATCCCATTGCGCCTCCCATGCTCTCGGAACCCGGAGTTTTACCACAAAATGGCTGCCTCGAGGTCAGCCCTGGGCACAGACCGACCGTCAATGCGAGGTACCGCCAGACGCACCTACCTCCGGACTTCCTCACTACACCAGCGCCTGATGGAGCACATGGATTCCCAAGCCTGGGCACCCGGAGACCAGGACTGGTCCCCGCGGCCGCCTGCGAGGTTGCCCCTCACACCGCAGCCCAACGAATACACAGACCGTTACTGACCACTAGCAGCGACAGAGAAGCGGACACAGGCTGAAGGCTCACGCGAAGCCTAGTACAAGCTAAAGGGCACTCACCGGACGCCCCCAGTTGCAGGAAACCTGCTGACAGGCTGCGGTCGCTTCCCACAACGGAACCAGCGGCGAAAGGGAAACTTGTTAATTGGCGGGACTAACAAGCATGCACATAACAGCCAACACAAAAGTACTGTGCTTGGGGGACTGTGGGGCTTCAATACCGGGACACCAGTGGTCTTCTCCTATTGCTAATGTCTCATTAATCTGAACCTACGCTAAACCTAATCTAAATCGTGCTATTAGCTAATGCCTTATGAATGCCTAACACGTATTGTCTCTCTAGCTAGTACCTACTCAACTTAACCCCTTAAAAATGTGCATGTAATATCCAAATGTCCTAAATGCTATATCACTGATGTTTATCTTTTTATTTTCCTTTTTCCTTCTAACAAGTTTAGTTATGAGAATGTTATGACTGGGTCTTGCCTCTTACGGATAGACCTGTAAATCAGCTTTTTTCTATGTAATGTTATCTAACTATCATACCATGCTGTTGCTTGCAAGTTCGTACCTCCTCTCATAACTACTTATGCTGAAAAATAGTTTTCATGTCATCATACACAAAAATGTGCACTGTGTTCCCATGTCATGCTCTATTGAATCGTCGTTTATTGTTATATAGTGAGTACATGCTCTTGGGGCATGACAAACGCATATGTAACTGCTTTCTCTTTATGCACTCAAAAATAAAGAATTATAAATATATATTAAAAAAAAAAAAAAAGGTTTCTGGAACTCCAAAGGACAAAGAGAAGTGTTGAGAATTTTCTTCAGTTGCCAAAATGCGTTTCATTCAATGAGCTTCCTCAGTCCACCCTTGGCAGAAGTGACGCCGCACTACTCTCGGTACGACTCCACCTCAGGAGTGATAACATTCCCTCCTACTGACTTGAAGTGCCAGCATGAAGTAAAATGACTAACATCACAAAACTGCTGTTTTATCAAACATTTCTGTGCTAGTTATACACCCCAAGGTTCAAATAAATGTTATGTTAATTCTTTTTTTCGAACAAAAATGGTTTGATAGTGAAAGGCTTAAGTCTTCTTGTTGATGTATCACTATATCATATTAATAAAAATTACAAGTAGAACCAGTGCTGTTTTTTAGTTTGTGTGTATATATATATATATATATACACAGACAGAGAATCTGGTTTTATACTTTCAACCATAAAATAAAACAAATTCCGAAAATTCCATCTCTCATCTGTTTCAGCTTTGTGTGAGCTTTTTGTTGGTTCATGGTAGTGAAGATGTCCTGTGTAAAGGTTTATTTCGAGGAATTCTAACTACTCTGAATATTTTTTTCATACAGATGCCATGATTTCTGAGAAGGTGCGTGTTTTGAGTCCTCTTCCCCATTATTCTCTCCTCTCCAAATCCGACCATTCCACTGGGATGAACAGATGGGGGAGTCCTACTTTCCATGACAAGCTGTTAATTGTTTCAGATACAGATCACCTGCAAGAACCTACCTTATACAATATCTCTATCCGCTCCAGCCATGGGGGAATCTGCAAACTCTTTGGAGGATACCAAACAACTAGGAATAAAACTTTCTACATTTTACCATTTTCAGCTCCACCAATTATTTCCATGTGTGTTTGGAAGAAAAGTTGGATGTGTAATCCTGTGAAAAGTCCTAGACATTTAAAATTTCACTAAAGATTTATAAAAATAAAAATTAGAAAATACATAGAATCTTGTACACTTGAATATCTTGAATTATATTATTTATTTGTCAAAGAGCACTTGGTAAAAAAGACTTAGACATCCTTTAAAGCTGAGGGGGAGGGGGAGGGGGAGGGGGGGGAGGAGATGCACAACATCAGAATAAATGCATTTCACTGGGACTGAAATGATTAATAATTCCAAGGCCTGCCTTTATAACAATCTCAAATTTGATATGTAGGATTTCCGCAATTTAAAAATGGACAAGGAGTGGTAAAGTTTGTTTGTGTTATGTCAAAATATCCATGCCTTTGTAAAATTTTAGTAATTCAAATGACAAATTAAATTAAATTTAAAAAGATGTACTTGGTAAAAATCCCAAATTATTCTAAGAAATGTTTTACTCTAGATCAGGGGTTCCCCTCCCCCCTGGAGTCCAAGCCAACCTCCTGGACGGGGGAGAGACAGACAGACAGACACACACACACACACACACACGTACACGTCAGGGTGTGCATTTGTGTGTGTATATATATTATATATATCAGTGTGTTTCTGTGTCTGTGTGCATGTATCAATGTTTGTGTGTATGTGTTGGTGTCTATATGAATTTGTGTGTATGTGTCAGTGTATTTGTGTGTTAATGTGCATGTATATCTGTGTAAGTGTGTATGGTCAAACACCAGCACAACATACAAACACTCCCCTGCATTCAAACTCCAAAAAAATATACAAACACACCCCTTGACTCAAACACAAATACTTCACACAAATGTACATTTAAAAGTGAACATTACATTCAGGCACACCCCTGCAAATAAACGCAAACTTTACAAACACACCCCTGTATTAAAACACAATAACTATATACAAGCACCCCTTCGAACACCAACACTGTACATTACACTACAGTGCCAGTAAAAAAATATACAAACACACCCCTTGACTCAAACACAAATACTTCACACAAATGTACATTTAAAAGTGAACATTACATTCAGGCACACCCCTGCAAATAAACGCAAACTTTACAAACACACCCCTGTATTAAAACACAATAACTATATACAAGCACCCCTTCGAACACCAACACTGTACATTACACTACAGTGCCAGTAAATGCTGCAGCGCTGTACAGATATACAACCTAGAAATTTTGACTTGGGGTGCCTTGGAAAAATACTGAAATATTAAAGGCACCTTCACCCTAAAAAGTTTGGGAACCACTGATATATACTAAATAACTGGGGAGGGACGAAAAAGATGTTGGAGTATCATGTTATAAAATACAACAAAAAAAACATCTCCTGATTGCTCAGCTGTTTACCCCTTTACTAACTAGCCATTAGGAAGAATCCAAGTATTTTGGGCATCCTGGGAAGTAATGCATTAACTCTAACTGTGTTTTCGTTTCAGTGTGCATAAATTGCATATTATTAAATGGGGGAAAAAACACAAACAATTTGGTCGGACAGAAACATTTATACATTCACATACATATATGCACATATTTAAGAACTCTGATACACGTTCATGTGTGCACACACACATATACGCACAGATATTCCAAACACACTCACTGATATAAATGGCAGAAAATACAAAACACACAGATATTCACTACTGTCACACAGACACAGTATCAGACATATATACACACTCACACAGACACACACCGACAGACACTCAATGTCAGACCCATATACATGCTGATATACACACATACATACAGGGCCGGCGCAGCCTATAGGCAACTTAAGCGGCACTGTCATGGCCGAATCCAGTTTTGTTTTTTTGACCCCCTCCCGACTCCACTACATCTAATTGTCCCCATAGACACCCCCAAATACCCCTAAGTCCTCCATATTGCCTATTTTTGCATCTTTATTTCATGCCTGGACCTAGGTACTGGGCGCCGCCATCTTTGTGTGGCACGTCAACTGCCCACACTAGATAGCGCTGTTAAATTCCCGCGCATGCGCAGTTAAACACTTGGGCATTCGAATGGGAATCTCAACCATTCATTCATCAGAAAGACGAATAAATTAATAGAAATTTCAAACGAATGAACGAATACCTCTTCATTCGTTCGGTTTATTACAAGGAGGGAGCTACCGGCATGCAGCTCCCTCCTTGTAATATGTAAAAATAGAAGCAGCGGGGAGCAGTGCTCCTGCCACTTCCTAAGCCCCCCATGTCTTCCCTCACTCTATGGGGGTCAATATGTCAATCACGGTAATGTATTGAAGGGGGGGAGGAGTCCCTTTTAAAGGCACATAGCCCCGCCCACAACTTCAGGCCAAGCCTTCCCAAAAATTGACATTGAAGGGCAGGGGGCATGGACACGCAGAGCATTAGCAGTGCAGTCCGTGCCCCCCATGACCGCCAGGCCTGTGACAACCATCATGGTTGTCACCCCCTAATGCTGGCCCAGCATACATACATAGACCCCCAACATTGAATGGTTTCCCTGAGGAACTCCCAGAGCAAGTAGTATTGTTGTTTTGGGTATTTATAGTTTGTGAGTATTGTGTTAACCAACTCACAGCACCCTCAGCCAACAACATCCATCAAGTCTGGGGGGGGGAATTATATTGATAAGTGATGGAGGGAGAAGACAATTTTCCTGCCAAATCATTCCCCAAACAAAATGACCACCAAAAAAAAAAAACGAGTTGAACAGGAGCCCCCCTCTATCTTATTTTAATTATGTCCAAGTCATACATGCAGCGCGTACTTGCTGCCAGTGGCGTACACATGACCCATGGGGCCCCGGTGCAAAAATTGATCCGTGCCCCCCCGCTGTGAAAATCACAGTGAGAAGACACTGAACGTCTATAGGAAAGCATTGAGTAATGCTTTCCTATGGGCGGTTTAAATGCGCGCACGCCTCTTGCCGCACATGTGCATTTCAGAGCTGAGTGGCGGACACTGGGGAGTCCGACGCTGGAGAAAGGTAAATGCTGAAGACACACACACACTCTCACGAACAGACGCATACACACTAGCTAACAGACACACATTTACTGACAGAGACACACTCACTTACAAAACATACATTTTCACTGACAAACACACACTCACTAACAGACATCAAACACACTCCGTAACAGACACACACCCAATAACAGACACATTCACTGACACACACACTAACACGCACTAACACAAATACTGACACACTAACAGACACTAACACACACAGACACTAACACACACACACATTTTTTTTTTTCAAATTTAATCCCCCCAGCCTCCTTACCTTTTGGAGTGCTGGGGGGATTCCCTGGGGTCCAGTGGTGCTGCTGGGCTCGTGGCCGGTCGGGCAGGCAGGCAGGCAGGCAGGCGCGCGAGGGAGCACTCAGTGCTTCCTCTTCAGCTCCCTCGCGCGCCGCGTAGGGATGCCGGCGCCGGAAGATGATGTCATCTTCCGGCGCCGCGTAGGGATGCCGGCGCCGGAAGATGACGTCATCTTCCGGCTCCGGCATCAGTGCGGCGCGCGAGGGAGCTGAAGAGGAAGCACTGAGTGCTCCCTCGCGCGCCGGCCTGCCCGACCGGCCACCTGCCCGCTGGGGTCAGCAGGGCCAGCCTCGGGGGGCCCTGGGGTGGTCGGCTCCTGGGCCCCCAGGGGAAGAGGCTGGCCCTGTGGGTACATACCGGGTCGCAGGGGCAACCCTGGTATGTACGCCACTGCTTGCTGCATACACAACTTGGACTGTTCTTGATTTCTTTTTGTTCCCGTGAGGAAGCCGACTCACAGCTATGTGCAGGTACAGTAATGTGAAACTTGCTGTGTGCAGATATACTAGCGTGAAGCTGGTTGTGCGCAGATATACTAATGTGAAGCTGACTCTTTGTTTTAAATATTGTTTCCCCTAATATTTTGAAGGTAATATATTAAACACTTGGATCTGAGTGAAAAATTTAAACCATACTTACCGTAATTTTATTTTCCAGGCTGTTATTCATGGCAGCATCTTCCGGCCTCTCCTACTCTAGCATACCATGATGTCATGCGCAGTGGCATTATGGTCTGCCATAGGAAATCATTGTATTCAATGATTCTCTATAACAGAATTACAGACACATTGAAGCGTGCCAGGCATGTCCCTTCATTGGATTCGACCATCAACCTGGAGGCATGCCTCCAGCATGACAGACCAGGAGTAGGCCGTGGCAGCGCCAAAGTAGACTTGCCGTCAGACAGAAGGTAATCTATTTTTTTGTTTTTACAAGAATAGTTTTGAAACTAAGTAAGGACATTAAGACGGTAGCATCAGGAATATCAGATCTGTATTCCTAATTCTACAGTGTCCCTTTAACAGAACAGTTTTTGTTTCCTTATAATCTGGCATGTTAGGAGTCACAGAAATTGATTTTGCCAACGTATTATAGGTGTGTGCAGTTTCAGAGTTCAACCCGTAGGGATAGTTGACCTAAAGAAATATTGAATGTGCAAAGAGTGATAAACGCTCGTGTTCATTATATTTAGTACAGATTACCTCATTCTAATAATACAGGAAATAACTCAAAGATCATGAGACTACGGACCTGGATAACCGGCCTGACAAGTTAGTGTAACTGTGACACTTTATAAAATAAACATAGGACATTGTCCACCGGCTGTTTGATCTAGACCACTCGTAAAAAAAAAAAAAAGTGAACTAAAAACAGAAAACAGCTAATTTCAAGCTAAACGAGCCAATCTGTCACTGTAGCGAAGTTCAGTTTTCAATTCACTGTTTAGTGAATAAACCTTAAACATTCTGACTGCTCTGGAGTAAGGGTAAACCAAAGAGTGTGGATTATTATGGCAAAATAAATAAAATCTGAAAAAAATGTTTGTATGTACATGTATGAATGTGAGACACGAGCCCATTCATATACACACACATTTGATTTTTATTTAGGCTTTTATCCCTGGTGTCTAGTGTTTTGGGGTTTTTTCTTCTTTTTTTCTAGGGCCAGTCTGTGCTCTGATTGCACTGCTTCTCGAAGCTCTGTGCCAGGGCAATGTTTTTTTTTCCCCCATGTCCCTGTATTAGTACAGGGTGGCGAGGGAGCTGTGCAGTTAAACTGCATACCGACCTCAGCAGCTGCGCTGGCACCTGCGCTGTGTCCAAGGTCTAAATCTGAAGAGTAGGCACTTGCCATAGAGCTCTGCCACCAGAAGGTAGGTGCCTGCTCTTACTAAATGGGTGCTCTGTGCACGCCGTAACAACTGGGATATCCTAGATCAGATGTAGGCAACATCTCCCATAATGCCCTTACTTAAATAATGCTGACAATGCATCACGGGAGATGTAGTATACAACATTGTGTGCTGAAGGTTGCCTACCCCTATCCTAAATAATCAAAACAATATCTTTGTGAAAAGATTATTAAAAGGACAGTCTTAATAACCATTCTTGGATAATCACAAACAAGTATCCTGGGGAAAGGGGATCAAATGCTACAACTACCCAAAAAAGGTTAAGCATAGAATTCACTAAAATGTCACTTACTTGCTGTAGTCTTCCAGAATGTCTAGGCAAGGACACAGGCTATGAAGTCTTCTAGATCTCATTAAATAGTCAAATATAAACACGATAAATCTGTATCTGTCAAATTAAGAGTGAAGATAAGCAAAATAACAAATCAGGATTATCTGTACTTGATAACTGGTAGCTACCAAACATGAGATAACTCACAGACACCAGACTAGGGACAAGATGTGTAGAAGATGCTAAAACACTGATGCATTTCTAAAAACAGGGCCAGATTAAGAGCCCAGTGGGCCTGGTGCTGACAATTCTAAGGGGCCTAAGTACAGAATGTTATCGACCAAAAACACTAACACAGTCATACCTCTCAAGTGTTCTGTATCTGGTGGAGATGTTGCCGGAGGGAAACTCATAGGATGCAGCTATAAGAAAACTCGGATTCTCTTAAAATATGCTAATTTCTCCCTCATTCATGCAAATCCATATGCCTTAACAGCAGTGTCTAGTGAAGCAGGAAGTCTATGGACGGGGTAAAGGGGTGGGCCACTGACAAGGATCATGTAACTAGAAGTCCTGAATGGGACGAACATGCCCAAAAAGGAGGCGTGTCTGTCCAAAGAATTGGAAGGCTAGCCTAGCATTAATGCATGTCAGGTTGTCTGCCAATCAAGCATGCTGGCCAACAGCATCCTGAGCTTGGCACAAATGCGTCTAATGATGCGCTCATTAGACGGATTTATGCCAAGCTCAGGATCATTAGATGTATTTGTGCCAAGCTGAGGATGCTGTTGGCACAAGTGACCCCAAGTGTTACCTTCTTACTAGCAGGCAGAAGCTCCTGGTATACAGTCTGAGACCGAGAAAAGGTGGATGTAGTGAGTGTAGAAGAAAGGGAACATGCCACAGTGTTAGAGAGACCTAAGTCAACATGACCTTAACTAATTTAATTTCAGCTAGACCACACAAGTTTTGTTTCCATATTTCTCCCTTAGGTTTTCATACTTAAGCAAGAGTATGTGAAGAGTAGTTAGGGTTGCCACCTTTCTTGGAAAAAAACATAACTAATTATGTATGTGTGACATCACGTGATGTAAATCACAAGGAGTGACATAAGAGAAAATTCTGTAAAATCACCAAAACACTACTTACAGTTTGATTCTGCTGTATAGATGGATTGCTCCCAGTGTCGCCATGTCATTAGGGGACACTGACTATGTATCACAGTGTCACTATGTATCACAGTGTCTCTGTGTCCCCAAATCGCTCAGTGTCCCCTACTGTCTGTGTCCCCATGTTTCCCAGTGTCCCCATGTCAGACAGAGACTTGGGGACACGTGCATACTGAGACACTGGGAGACATGGGCACACAAACACTAGGGACCCTGGGAGACATGGAAACACAGACACCAGGGATACTGACTGGGAGACATGGGGACGCTGAGACACTTGGGGACATTGTGTCCCTAGTGTCTGTGTCCCCATGTCTCCTAGTCTCCCCATGTGTGTCTGTTTCCCCAAGTGTCCCCATGTGTGTGTGAGTGTGTGTCTCCATGTCTGTGTGTCTGCGTCCCCAGAGGTCTCCCTGTGTCCCCATGCAGCCTTTACACCATCCCTCACTTCCCTGAGCTGTAGGCTGTCTCTGCAGACTGGGAACAGCGGTCTGCACTCTCTGTGCTGTATAGCTGCTCCCCTGCGGATCAGTGAGTAGAGAGATGCAGGTATATGCTGGAAAACAAAACAACACACACAACACACACACACTCACTCTCTCTCTCTCTCTCATTTAATCACTGTTACATATTTTACCGACAGTAAATTAGTGCAGAATAAATGATAGAATGGCAGAGCCTACCATCACATTCTATAGATTTCTAAATTACCAGACATTTCAGATAGAAAAGGTGATGAGTAGAGAAAGCTTACGACCATAATGACAAACTAACAGCCAAATGATTACAAGACTGCAGAATATTCCCTCTATAGTTTACAATTGGCATTCAGTTCTGAAATTGTATGTCAGATAATAGAATATTTAGAATCCAATATCTAATGCAGGATTCCTTATAGAGTTACTGAAAAACACAGTAATCACATTTGTGGTTTAAAGTGGTTATGGTGCAAGGACCCTGTATGAGCATAGTTTCTGTATTAAACATTGCACACTTTTATTTAACCCCTTAAGGACACATGACGTGTTACAAGTTTGGTCGTTAAGGGGTTAAGGAAATATGGTTGCCTCAAAACTCTTTACTATAATAATCCTTTCCTTAATTAATGAAGAAAATATACTTAATTTAAGAAAAAACATTATTTCCTTTCCTGACTTGGATACAGGACACCTGGGAGCAAAATTGGGACTGCAAGACAGTTCTGTAAGGCGGTTGTCAAGATAAGAAATAAAACATACTTGCACAGTGGCGTACATACCAGGGTCGCAGGGGTCACGGCTGCGACCGGGCCCGGCCGGCCCTGCGACCCGGTATGTACCCACAGGGCCAGCCTCTTCCCCTGGGGGGCCCAGGAGCCGACCACCCCAGGGCCCCCCGAGGCTGGCCCTGCTGACACCCGGCAGGCGGGTGGCCGGTTGGGCAGGCGGGCGCGCGAGGGAACACTCAGTGCTTCCTCTTCAGCTCCCTCGCGCACCGCACTGATACCGGAGCCGGAAGATGACGTCATCTTCCGGCGCCGGCATCCCTACGCGGCGCGCGAGGGAGCTGAAGAGGAAGCACTGAGTGTTCCCTCGCGCGCCCGCCTGCCCGACCGGCCACCCGCCCAGGAGCCCAGCAGCACCACTGGACCCCAGGGAATCCCCCCAGCACTCCAAAAGGTAAGGAGGCTGGGGGGATTACATTAAAAAAGTGTTAGTGAGTGTTAGAGTGAGTGTTAGTGTGTGTGTCTGCTAGTGAGTGTTAGTGTGAGTGTTAGTGTGTGTGTCTTACTGAGTGTGTGTGTTAGTGAGTCTGTTTGATGTCTGTTAGTGAGTGTGTGTTTGTCAATGAGAGTGTATGTTTTGTAAGTGAGTGTGTATGTATGTCTGTCGCTGAGTGTGTCTCTGTCAGTAAATGTGTGTGTCTGTTAGCTAGTGTGTATGCGTCTGTAAGTGTGTGTGTGTCTTCAGCACTTACCTTTCTCCAGCGCCGGACTCCCTTGGCGCTGGGGATCCCTCAGCCTCTCAGCTCCGAATGCGACCGCGCACGCATTCAAACCGCCCATAGGAAAGCATTACTCAATGCTTTCCTATGGACATTCAGTGTGCTCCTCTAGCGGCTGTCAGTGAGACAGCCACTAGAGGCTGGATTAACCCTCAGTGAAACATAGCAGTTTCTCTGAAACTGCTATGTTTTCAGCTGCAGGGTTAAAACTAGAGGGACCTGACACCCAGACAACTTCATTGAGCTAAAGTGATCTGGGTGTCTGTAGTGGTTCTTTAAGTGTGTGTGCATCTGCATGCACTGGCGTACATATCGCGGTCGCAGGGGTCGCAGCCCTGTAACCCCTGCGACCAGGTGCCCACCGCCATGTGTTGCAGCCCGGCCCGCACGCGGGGGGGGCCCACGGATCAATTTTCGCACCGGGGCCCCATGGGTCATGTGTACGCCACTGTACTTGCACAAGCGTTTTTATTCTGAAAAGTGTGAGAAATTGTCAACAGCATAAACCTACCAAGAAGTAAAATAAATCTGACTTCAAACTGAAGGTTATCCTCTAAGAATTATGTTTTTCCATTACTTAATGTAAGAATTTTTATTTTTTTAAATGATATATGGATGAAAGTGTGGGGATACCATACTGAAACGTCGATCCATTGACCTTTTTTGATGTAAGGCAATAAAAGTAAAATTGTTATAGGTCCCGAGAGTGCCATCATTTGTTTATTTTTTTGTATTTTGCTTGACAAGCACAGGGCCAAATTTAGAAGTTTATGGAGCACAAGATTATATATATTTGTGGTCATATACAATAAGCCAAATTATTGTAATGGTGCTGTAAGTTGGCTGTGGTGTGCAGGAACCGACATTCGGGAAGGCCTGTAAAAGAGGGCCCACCAAGATGAATGGCTTAATAAAGGGAGTGGTGGGTGGGTTGAACCAGGCAGTCTCAGCCCAGAGGAAGGGGAGGTCTGTGTATTTATAAGACAGGTAACTCCTCTCACAATTAGAGGCTTCGCCTAACGGCGAAGCCTTCTCATTTATGGTCGTATACAATAAGCAGAGTTATAGTAACGGTGGTGTAAGTTGGTTGTGGTGTGCCAGAACCGACATTCAGGTAGGCCTGTAAAAGAGGGCAAAAACTTGAACGTTTTAACACTGAATACGTGTTGACAATACATAACCAATACTTCAATGCATGTCTCAATTCCCTCTCAGGTTCAGGGATATATATGGCATATGCAGATGACTCTACTGTCCCAGCCATTAGGTAATGTAAACTGATATTACAAGAGGTAGTAGGAGCAGTGTGTATTCTTTTAGAATGACCTGCAAATGTTAACAGTTGTATTTGAGTAACTTTAAGTGTAGTGAGCTAGTTAAAGGATGAGCTGGCAAAAAATATGTGAACGCAACCATGGAATCGAGTGAGTATGATTTGACGATTTGATATGCGGAAGTGAGTTTATTGAAAATGACCAGAGCCCAGCGCTTGAACAGGTGGCATTGTCTGTGGTTGAGCTTGAGAAAGGAATATCATAGAGAGGAACCTAAAAACACAATGTGAACGTTAATGGAAATATTTCCAGTATGGTGTAAGTGCTTATTGAGGTAAGGGTATTAAGTACCTGTGTTGTGGTTAGGGATTAAAACGTAAACAGGATGATAAGTAGGGATAGAAGAAACCTGAATAATAATAGAGTTCCCAATAGAGTTTATGAGTTCCCACTGTGCGTCCTTCCACAAGAAGGACCTGAAGTATGTGACAAACTCCCCTTTCCAAGTGAGTTTGTCACGAGTTCCTGGAGGAGCCTGCTTGCCAGCCTCCAGGCCACAGACTGTGGACCCTGTAAAATGTGATGTAAAAGTCCCCGTCCGTGTATTTGGACTATATGGTTCGGGAACCGAACAGCCGCATGAACCGGAGACCACCCTGGATCTTGTTAAGCCTAATTAATAATGTCCACCGCAGTGTTCTAAGTGTTCGTCTGGGTGGCTGCAATTCCTATGGACAACCACAATGTGGCGGCCATCTTGTTCGCATGAACACAGGCAGCGGTGTTTGGTCATCGAGTTCATTATTATTATTATTATGATATTTATAAAGCGCCGTCAAATTCCGCAGCGCTTTACAATGGGTGGACGAACAGACATGTAGTTGTAACCAGACAAGTTGGACACACAGGAACAGAGGGGTTGAGGGTCCTGCTCAATGAGCTTACATGCTAGAGGGAGTGGGGTAAAATGACACAGAAAGGTAAGGATAGTATTAGACTAATGACAGTTGCAGAAGAGGAATCAGTCAGGAGCTATTAACAGTTTAAGTGATCCACTTTTATGAAGAAGTGGGTTTTTAACGATTTTTTGAAGGAATGGAGACTGGGTGAGCATCTAACGGAGGAGAGAAGCGAGTTCCACAGGAACGGTGCAGCCCTCAAGAAATCTTGAAGGCGAGCATCACAGAAGGGTGAGGCATGGGAGGTGCGGGCGGACAGGAAGATGAGCCTTGTCGCCGCATTCATTATGGACTGTAACAGCGCTAGTTGGGAACAAGTAAGACCA